TGCCTGAGTATGTCCGATGGTGACAGAAGCCAGCAGAGCTCCAGATTTGGATCGTCAGTGGTGACTGCCATGCGACGACTCCTTGGCATATTGGTGACGTTCGAGGCCGCAGCGACTTTGGAAGTCAGGGTGGTGTTAAGGTGCAGTAGGGATGTTCGGCACCGCAGAGTGAGTGACCCTTGAAGGTCAGGGGTGGTGTTCGATGGTGCCTCACTGTTAACGTATTTCATGTGATTGACGGATGCCTGATAATTTGCTCTCGCGCAAAGACACGTGGATGGAAAATAACGATGAATGGGAGATGGTTGGAGAGAGGAGGATACACTCGGTTTTTGGAGGAAGTTAACCGTCTTTTATATTCCATTTATATTTTATATTACAATAGGTTATATGTGAAGAATTCAAAACATTTTATTGCAATACAATTTGAAACTGTTAGGACTGGGGGATAGGATGAGCATTAAAATATATTTAAAAGGAAATGGAAAGGACAGGGACTCTGGAACCACAGGATAAGTTAAGGACAAAGGAAGAAGAACAAGGAAAATTAAATGCCGTTGGTGCGAGGCGACGGGTGCGACTGCGAAAAAACAAAGAAAACGTTTTGCCAAGAAGTATGCTAAGCTTTTATAAATCCTTATTCTACGTCTTTTGATTTTTTGGTAAGATGACGTCATTGATTATCATGTAGTATGGTAGATCATCATAAAATAAATCGGTTGTACAACACCAATTTCGTTTAATTATTATTTCATTTGAAATAAAACCACTTAATAATATTCGGTAAAATATTTTAAGGAAAATGAAATATATTAAATACATATGTTATGCCTAGGCTCTCAGGAGAAAAGGATCAACAAACGTTCTGCTGCAAATTAAACAATGCAGCAAATTAGCTATTAATGTAAACGTAATTAGCGAGACGAAAACGGCGCTTTTGTTTCAGTTATTTTTGTAGGGGTTTCAGATATTTATAGAGTTCAGTGGGTTGTTTCTGAGGAGATGTGGAGATGTGAATTAGTAATGAATCACACTTTATTAGTATATAGGGCCTTGCACTTTGTCATCTGGATTAAAAAAAAGTTTCCTGCTGAGTGCAGAAAGGTAGGTAGGTGCATCGCCAGGTTCTATCACAGGATTGGAGCAGTTATTGCAGTTGAAAGTCAAAGTTGGCTGTTCATGTTTAGGCCCTGTTTCTTTATTTGGCCATCTACCCCATATTGCAGTTGTGATGACAAGCAGTTTTCAGTGTAGTTTTGTGATCTTTGATGTCATCAATTGGTGTCATTATTTTTCGTCAACTAAAACTTATTTCAACTTTCCATTCAATCGACTCAATCATACGAGTCACTCTAATTTTCGGGAATCAAATCAGTCAACCAGTCGCTAAAGTCAAACGAGTCAGTCAACCAGTCATCTCGAAAAGTCAATCGACTCAATCCAATCAACTCAAAATACGCGTTGAATCAAATCAATCAATTCAATCGACTTGATTGGTATACAACCCTGGGTGATACACCCACGTGTGACGTTGCTGTCACTACCGCGCGGGGATCGCTGGTTACACCTATTTCGGCATTGCAGTCTCCTCAGTAAGCCACTTTTTCGACGGGTGGCCGTTCAACCAATAAGATGCCTTTGGCGACAAACGAGCGAGCGTAATATTCAACCCTGCACATGCGCATGTGCAAAGTGAGACCAACTACTGTCTTTCGCGGACCACGCTTCTAACCGATCGCGTTCGGCGCATCAACTTTGGGCGCAAAAGGCCGAATCTTCTTGAGATGTAGAAGCGGCCCTCTGCACGTGCGCACGTGCAGTAACACTCCAGTCTCAACTAAAACGCATAAAAATGCATCGACAGGTAGGTGCCCCGTGCCCATCGAAAGCCCAAGTTTCAGCGCAATCGACTCAGTCATCCCAGAGTTATTATCAATAACTTTTAGCTTTAACACCCCTCATTTGCCGCGTGTTACGAGTCGTGACGGTCACCCAAATGTATCGAAAGAATCAATGACTGAAGGTATAAAGCGATCTGATGTAGCAGACCGCTTGTTGATAGGTGAAGGAAGCCGTTCCCAGAACATAAGACGATAAAAATCAAGCTTGATCTGGTGACAGAAAAATTATAAGCTTCATAAATACAGGGTGTCCCAGAAAAAAGTACCACATTTGTTTAGACAATATATTTTTTGTTATTCGGCACTAATGCTTTAAACGCATATCAAAAGCGAGCCAGTTCCATGGAGATTTATTTGCGCTACAAATGGACCATGCCACTCCTTCCTGTCACTCACACCGGCACATGTTCGAAGTGCCTGCCTTCTTGGGCCAGGCACCGCTCCGCCCTGCACCAGGCTTCCTCTGCGACCCGAGCACATGCGGAAGGTGGAATCGCACGAATGGCCGCGCGAATCGCCCGTTTCAGTATCGCTAGGTCTTCTGGTGCCTCCTGATACACCACACTTTTCAGATAACCCCACAGGTAAAAGTCGAGGGGCGTGAGGTCAGGAGAGTGCGGCGGCCAGGTCACCGCGGCCCGCCGGGAGATGACACGCCCCTCTAGACACTCGTGCAGCCAGGCCAAGTTGGCGCGTGATGTATGCGCCGTTGCGCCATCTTGCTGCAGCCATTGCTGGTTCAGGGTGTCCGCACAACTCGCTGTGAGTGCCCGCAAAAAGCGTTTAAGCATGGTAAGGTAGCGCCGGGAATTGACAGTGACCGTCTCGCCAGCACCATTTTCAAACAAGAATGGGCCGATGATTCCCTGCGCGCTCAACGCGCACCACACAGTCACCTTCGGGGAATGCAGCGGAGCCTCGAGAACTTCCTCTGGTGGCCGTTCCGCCCAAAACCTGTAATTTTGGCGGTTCACTTGCCCGTTCAGATGAAAATGGGCCTCATCAGACCACCAAACACAAGACAAGAAGTTTGGGTTGTTTGTGCACTTTTCCAAAAACCATTTGCAAAATTGTTCCCTCTGCTCAAAATCCGCAGCAAACAGCTTTTGAAACACTTTAAGCTTAAAGGCAGATAAGGCGAGATCCTTCTTGAGAATCCTGTGAGTGGAGGACTTGCTGAGACCGACCCTAGACGCGAGGCGCCGCACCGACACTTTCGGCGTCTGACCAACCTGCTCTGCGACCTTTCGTATGGCCTCCTGGCTGCGAGATGTTTTTTTTTTCCGACCACTGTTTCCGGCATTCTGGTTACTAATGGACCCTTCTGCCAGAAACTTCTCAGTCAGACGCTGTATGGTCTTTATCGTTGGAGCTTCTCGGACCTTAAAATGTCTGCGATACTGCCTTTGCGTTAAAACGGCTGATCCGTGTTTGAGATAAAATTCGACTATTTTGGTTTTTTGTTCAGTATTAAACGGCTTCATGACTGACAGAGCGCTCGAGCCATACAACATAATTTCCATGAATGACGCTTTCGATTGATGTTAAAATTTTACATGTCACGCGCATATTTTTCTTTGTACTCCTAATTTAAATTTGGTACTTTTTTCTGGGACACCCGGTACCTTCCAGTCTTTCCACTAACTTCACTAATCTTTTCACTGACTTTCTTTTAGAAATTTCCACAAGACACTTCGATTGAAAACCCAGAAAAACAGAACACCAAACTGACGTCCAACGTCATATGATCACTTCCTAGCTATCAAGATGCCACAAAGTGGTCCCACCGGGCTGTCTGCCGACAGTGGGCGGAGCCGGCAGAGAAGGCCTTGGACGGCCAGGACGGAGCAGCTCCACTATAAAAGCCGGTCCGGTCGGCACCACAGCATCACACACCTCGCTGACGGCTAGCGACATGAACGCTCTGGTAAGTGCACTGTTTGGCTTTTGATGCTCTTCTTGGGCTCTTATGATAGCATTCACTACTTGGTTTGCATTAATGTTCTCACAATACTGTTTTAAAGTTGTTGTTTTCTTGTCAACTTGTATATTCATATTTTCGGACACCATATCCATTTTGTTAACATGGTGTTTTTTTATCATCAGGTGGCTCTCTCCGCCCTGGTGGCTGCGGCTTCGGCCCAGCTCGCCCTGCCCTACGCTGGCCTGTACAACGCCGGCCTGTACCACGGCTACAACGGCTATGCCGGCTACAACGGCCTCTACCCGGCCGGCTACACTGGCTACAACGGCTTCTACCCCACCACCTACGCCGGCGGCTACCACCCGGCTGGCTACGCCGGCTACGGCTACGCCGCGCCCTACAGCTACGCGTCCACCTACCACGCCCAGGACGAGCTGGGCCAGGCGTCGTACGGACACGTGCAGGCCGACCAGGCCCACTCGGCCGTGCGCGACGCCTACGGTAACGTGGTCGGCAGCTACAGCTACCTGAACCCCGAGGGCGAGACCATCACCGTCAAGTATACGGCCGGCGCCAACGGCTTCCAGGTGGCCAGCAACGCGCTGCCCGTGGCGCCCGTCGACACCGGCGTGGCGCCCGTCGAGACGCGCACGGCGCCCATCGACACCGGCGTGGCGCCCCTGCCGGTCGACTTCACGCCCGAGGTCAAGGCCGCCACCGCCGAGCACCTGGCCGCCGTCGAGGAGGCCAAGAGCCGCAACAAGCGCAGCCTGGTCTTCCCCACGCCGTCCGTCTACGCCGGCGTGCCCGCCTTCTACTCGGCCGGCTACGGTCTGGCGCCCGCCCCGGCCGTCACCTACTCGGCCGGCGCCGGCTACCCGGCAGAGCTGACCGAGGTCATCCTCAACCCGGGACACGCCACCGCCTACCGGGTCGACCCGGTCGCCTAGAGCGTCCGCCGCCCGTTCATGTCGCTAGTCTGTCTCTGGAGTCAGCCGTCCGTGCGGTGGGCGGCGGTCAGTGCGAGTCGCTCCGGCTGCGGCCGTCAGCGGACGAGCAAGTGGGCCGACAGGCCGCCGCGGCGCCGGCGCCGTGTGATCGCCGGCGTCGCAGCGCGGTGGCCGCTGGCCACAGTGCCCGTCCCGGCCGGAGCGGCTCGATCAGGACCGCCCGCCCGACACACGGACTCGCCGTCATCAGACGCAGCCAACGCCGTTATGATTGACGACGACGACCACTGTTTGATCCCCCTGTGACTCTGACGCACGGTTCATTGGTGTATAGTTCATCTGCTGAATATATACATTCACTTTCGTATTGGAATCTTTCTACACCTCATCTAAAATATGAAAGAGAACCGCCGAAAATGTAACCGGCATTGAAACGGAAACCTATCCTTTTTGTCATCTCGAATCAGGAGGCCATTAGAGAAAATCAAAACACACGCATCTTTCCTTTAACGTATACGAACGATAAATGAAATATTAACCCGCGAGTATTAACTCGCGGCCCCTTGAGGGTGACCTGAAGGATAATATAAGAAATTAGGGCCATAGACACCTTAGCAAACTAATTAACCCGTGCATGTCCTGATTATATTCCATAACGAGAGTAACGGGAGAGGGCTACAGAGCACCCATCCTTTCTCTGAAACTACTGGCTCGATTTTCAAAATTCAAACAGCGTCTGAAAGCTGTCAAAACTTTCCGGCAAAAATTCATTGACCTCGACTTTAACGATGACGTCAGAACTCGGCTTAAAGTGAAAATTAGCAGCATTTAAGGCAAGCGTGTATGTAATTGGTACCTACGTTTCAGGCCATAGCTATGTCAGGTTCAGTTTAGTTTAGTTTAGTTTAGTTTAGTTTATTGAGAGCATCATCAACGGGCATAGGAGGCCCAATTACAGATGAAGTCGAAGGTTAAAAATACATACCGTAAACCGGGGTGAGTTGATATGGGGTGGTGAGTTGATATAAATTGCTCGAAAAATGTTAAAATGTGTGCTGCTCATCCATTTGTAAACCAATTTTCAGTTTTACTTTTCTGTGAAGTGAAGCAACCAATAAGTGATGCATATAGCTGAGAAAGGCATGCATGTGGTGCAGTGCCTTCTTAACACATTACTTTTTTCAAAGTCCTTTTTTTCTTCTGATTTTGAAACTAAGGAAAAGTCCCCACCCTACAGCAAAGACGGTGGATATTCATGAAACACCATGTACTGGGAAAGAAACTACCATCAATTTACTGTTGATCCCAGGTAGTTTTGGGTTTCACCTATAACAACGCTTTTTTATAATTTTAAGAAAAGTGACAGGTGGTGAGTTGATATGCCATCAAGTGGTGAGTTGATATGCATGATAAAAGCTGATACCAGGCTGGTAGGCATGCAAATTAGCATGAAATATGGGTCTGCAGGTAAGACAAAGTCAATTAGACCAACTCTTCTCCTTTTCTTTCCCCACATCATTCCATCAACCCCCAAAAGCTTTAGTTTTTTTTTTCTGAATGCTTGAGACGAGGCCTGTTAGTATCACTGAATTTAGTTGTCGGACTTTCGTCCCCGTCTTGAGTTGAGATGTTAGTTTCACAACGTTTCAGCCAGTAACTTATCCGGCCATAGTCAAATCTGCCTCGATGGTGGAGTGATTACAACCGTGGACCAGCACCGGAAAAACCCGAGTTCGATTCCCGCTGACTACAGGAACTTTCGAACTGTTTGACGCGTACGGCGCAACGCCACCAACATCCAGGTCCTTCTGAGGGTCAAAGAACACCTGACGAGTGACGACGGCCGGAGAGTAACTGGCCGAAACGTTGTGAAACTAACATCTCAACTCAAGACGGGGAGGAAGGTCCGACAACTAGCATCAGTAACCCCAAAGTTTTTTTCTGTGGACATACCTAACATGCAAAAGGCACAGCACAACTCCCCGTCAAGTCTCAAGATGGCTCCCTACAAGCTACAAAGGAACACTATAGAACACCTATATACATATAGATTAAAAAACTGTTATAATTATTCGTAGTTTCGAAAATGACAGAACTGTCGTTTATGTATGGCTAACAGCGCGGGAATTCTGATCTCGTGAAACTGATTAGTTTTCCTGCTTGGCAGTTGCCAACCGAGAATGAGTGACAAAATGAAATGGAACAAACAATATAAAGAAATTGACTGGTGTTTTAGCCCTCGCCCGTATTCGTGTTTTGCCAGCGTTTAACGTATAGGGGGGGGGGGGGGCGTTGGAATCCCATCGTCGTTTGGCCCCTGGTGGAGCTAGAGCTTCGCGGAAAAAAAATGAGCGTGTTGCCCGAGACGCGAGGAAGCCGATGATAACCAACTTTAAGGTCCTAGGTCATTGGTTAACCTTCCAGGCCAGGTCAATTACCCAGAAGTCGGGAAAATAGGGGGTTATTTGAAGTTCGTAAAGCGAGTTTATTATTTTTTGGCTGTTGCTGATCACGAATGTCATGTTAGTTTTGATCACAGATGTCTTCGTACATTTAGGCCAGGTCAGGTCAGGTCAGGTCAACCAGTAGGTGTCCTGCCGGCTATCCATAGGGAGTGTCAAGTGTCAACTACCACTGACGGTGTCGTAACATGTTACGAAGGCACTAAAACTACTTCATAAATGATCAAATGCATGTTAAATTCGAATTCGGCCCGAAAGAAATTACCCTGGAAACATGTAAAACACCAAAGGTGAACCAAGGTCACCAAATGTCAATGACCTGACCTGACCTTCAGGTGACCTTGACAGTTGATTGACACCCACAATACTGCGTGGGACCAACATCATTTACGAGTACATGTTTGGATGTTACAATCACAAAAAGACTGGAAATGCGCGGATAACGTGAGCCGACTACGCCAAATCGCGATTCCGGCCAAGCATGGTCTCGAGAATCAGGTCACAAGTCAAAAACCATTTGAGTCAGGGTCATGAAATGTTTAGAACATGTGTAGAATTGATAAACTCGAGAGGTACTGAAAGTTTCGTCGTGATCGGTCGGTTTTTGCGCGAGTTATGTGCGAAAAGCCGAGGTGGTCCGTTCGCCCGCCTATAAGTGCGAGGGTTAATTTTGGCTTTTGACGCCGAATTCTGTTTTATGTCGCTTATTTCACCTTATAGAACACAGTCCGAATTAGATTTGCTTTACTTCACTTTATTAATATTTTGTTGACTACCGGTCAACAAAAGCTCAGAAGTATATGTATTCTTTCATTTCAATCCATTATCTCTGTCAGAGGCATATCAACCTTGACCCGCAACTGACAATGTGTTTTAATTGCAAGAAAATACACTTGTAATTCCAAAATATATTGCCAGTTTTGATACCGTTGGCTTGAGGACACGTGACTAGCCAAGTTCAGAATGTTCTAAGTAAAACTAAGTATCATAAAGCGAAAAAATGATGCTGCTAAAATCAAGGCATTTTGATAGCGCTGTGTTGGACATGATTGCGTTTTCATGAATGTGTGGTCTGCTGCCAAACTACTACCATTTTTCTGATGGTTTCTTTTAGGATGTGTTCTCACATCCTTTTTTTAAACACTGGCATTTTATCAACTCACCTCTGAGCTTCTTTAGCCGAGAAATTTGGAAAAATCCAAAACCATATCAACTCACCACCCCCCAGGGGGTGAGTTGATATGAACTTTGGCGTTTTAAAAAAGGGGCTTAATATATACATTTTTTATTCATTTTTGCTGATTGCCTCCCCAAGGTATGTGCCATGAAACTGGCACAAAAAGAATTCCGTAAATGAATGTGACTTTTAAAGAAATCTAGAAAAACCTCAAAATCCATATCAACTCACCCCGGTTTACGGTACATCAGTCAAAAATGGTCACGGAAATTCAAAGTCATGTATGGGTCATGTGACGAAGATTTTATGGCCTATTTTTTTTGCCAAAGAATCCGAAAACAGTGTTCGATGTTCGGTCCAAAGCCATTTTTAGCTGGTTTTACTAAAAGGTAAGGACATTGAGACTTGTCCATTGGAAAGGTCTCAAAAGGATGCAGCCGAAAGCAATGAAAGTTTCGTGTTGAACTATTTAGCAATTTTAACCCGGCAGGCGGTGGGCCTCCCGGCCACCTTCCGCGAGGGGGGGGGGGGCATTTTTTTGCCCCCCCCCGTATCTCCGAAACTACTGGACGGGTCCGGAAAATTCAAACGGCATTCGACAGCCCTGTCAAATTTGTCGAGGGAAACAAAATTTCATTGACCTCGGAGTCACCGATGACGTTACAGGTCAGGTCAAAGATAAAATGTTTCAACGTTCACGGGGCTTCTAGGGAAAGCACTATAACACCGAGTAAAACGCATTTTGTCGAAAATCAGCGATAAGGCGTCAGTTGTCTAGTACATATGTTGCTATTAGAGGTCACTGGTCATACCAGGTCAGGTCACAGGTCAGGTCACCAAAGGTCACCAAGGATCCCCACATAAACCCAACTTTACTAAGGTTGTGCTATGCATGTTTTACGGCCAGTTTTTCATTTCCAACTCAATGGTGGTGGTTATAAAATCATCAGGTACGATTTAGGTCACTTTCTGGTGGAGGTCAGGTCAATGTCAGGTCAAAAAAGGTCAAATTTCAAAGTTGATATTTTTGCATAAGATGGGTATTGATTCGATGCAGCTCGTCACGGGGAGTCTAATGGTGGTCTTTGTTTTGCGCTACGAGGTCTAGAATTGCTTAAATTGAGTTTGAAAATTTGACGTCATCAATTTTGAACAGTTTTTTTCGCTATAACTTGGCCAAAAAAAGAGGTATCGATCTCAAATTTGGTATGTAGATAGAAGGCGGTAGGGACTATCATACATATTCCGGTTTTTTTTCGAAATTCAAAAAACTTTTTGGATTTTTCGGCTATTATATTCAAAAAATCTATTTTTTTTATTTTTAGGGGTCAAAATCAAAAAAAAAATGAAAAACCGAAATAGCAGTTTTGTAGCCCTCTTAATTCCACACCTTTTATGTCTGAAACATTTTTCTGTATCTCTAAAGCTGTAGGCCTGGCAGTTCTTCCCGCGAAACCTTTCTTTTTGGGTCGAAAATGGCAGAAATGACGTCACTCTGACGTCATTAGCGGCCAACCTATCATAGCCTTTGGAAAAAAAAATTGTCACCATGTGCGCTAGCTACTCCCGGGAGGGTACTGAAAGTTTGGTGACGATCGGTGCAGCGGTTCTCGAGATATATCGAAAAAACTAAAGGGGGGGGCAAAAAAAATGCCCCCCACCGCCTGGAAGGTTAACCCTCGCCCGTAAACGGCGATCTGCCACCTTCGCCCATGCAGGGGGGGGGGGGTTGGTGCGACCCCCCCCCCTTGGCGTTTGAAAACGGAGCGTCGTAGAGCTTAGCGGAAAAAACCCACGGATTGCTCTCGCCGAGATCTCGCGATTGGTGGTATATTTTTTGGTCCTAGGTCAACATTTGACCTACTTTTGACCGGTCAAAGGTCAAATTTTCGGAAAAAATAGACTTTTTTCAACTTTCCGCGGCGATTGCGGCAAAACGGTGGGAGATATCGACTTGAAACCTTCACTATCGTGTTCCTTGATCAATTCTCTATCATTTGGTATGTATTTCGTTTCCCTAGCTCTAAAAATGGCGCGTTGGGAGCGCCGGAAGTCGGCAAGGTCACAGTCGGCGGCAGAAATTCGAAAAATCAAAATTTAAATTTTTGAAATCTGATTGTATTTTTGGATTTGGGAGGTCCATTTGCTCCCTATAGAAGCTAATATTGCTGCATATTCCCATTGAGGTGACAAGAATTAGCAAAATAGTGGTTCGGGCGCTTTTCAAAAATAGTACCGGACGCTGTTCCTCTTGTGACGTCATAGCTCCGTGACCTGACCTGACCCGGTCAAGTTTCTTATACCATATGATAGCCAATACTTGCCCCAACATGCATGGGAAGTTTCATCACGATCCATCAACCGATGTCCGTACCACCGGCAGGAAACCTCGGGCGTTGGCACTCAGTTTGTGAAAATCCGGCCGGAGGCAGTTCCCTTTGTGACGTCATAACTCCGTGACCTGACATGACCCGGTCAATTTTTTTTTATCAAAAGATGCGCAAGGTTTGCCCCATAAGGTACCCAAAATTTGGTTTTTGCACTATTTCCGAAAAGCCTCAGGGGGGGGGGGGGGTTGCACCAACCCCCTCCCCCTACATGGGCGAGGGTTAACCCTTGCCGGCCGAAGGGGGGGGGGGGGGAGGGGGCGGATGCCACCGCCTCTAAGGTTTTTTTCGCGGTAGCTCGGTACACGCCGGCGATAGAAAGCCGAAACTTGGTAAATCTGACCTTTGATTCAAGCAAAAGCATGTGACACCAATTGCATTTTTAGTTCAGGTCAGGTCACTGACAAATGACGTCATAAGTGGACCTCTGCACGGTCCTCGAACGTCGCTCGCAAGTCGCAACTTCGAAACACCCTCAGCGCCACAAGAGCTTTCACAGGAAGAGGAAACATACAGGACCTATGTAGTATCCTCTAGAGGTCTCACAACTTACATAGCTCGGATTTTTTTCTTAACATTATATAAAGTCAGGTCGGTCAGGTTACCTCACCATTGTAAGTCAATGGTGAAATATGGAAACCGTTACTTTGGTACCGGGAATGATCTACAACTATCTCAAGCACACATAATTGTGATTTCATGCACTTCTTGCAGGGTCCAATGCTTCACTTTTCCATTGTTGACCTTACGATGAAAGCCATCAATGGACTTGGGAAGACCTGCCGAATCGAATGAAATGCAATATGACTTCCTTCCACCAACTTCGTGACCTGAGGGGCTTTAAACAGACCTTGACCTGAGGTCAACACCTTAAGTTGAGCTCACCCGAACAAAAGTATACTCGTGTCTCGTACCATTCGACGCCCCTGAGCTAGGCGAACACGATGATGCAAAAATCGCAGCTCTGCGGCCATTTATGACAAAGTAATTGCACAAAAACCGAATCTGTGCTTAGGGCCACTTGACCTGACCTCAGAGGCCACCTGTTAAACTGAGAACCCAAAATCAGGTAGTACCAATCGCTGCGTCTCGTAAAGGCGCACACGCTCATTTCTCCGCGAGGCTCTAGCTCCATTTCGAAACGGCGGAAAATTCGAAAGAAAACAAGAAAGATATGAAAGAAGAAAGCAAAGAAAGGACAAAAGGCCAATTGAAACATGAGTCAAATATCGATGAAATCTATTACAAGCAATCCCAGACAGAATTCAGGGTACGTGACCCAGGGTTCCACCGGGCTGTCTGCCGACAGTGGGCGGAGCCGGCAGAGAAGACCTTGGAGGGCCAGGACCGGAGCAGCTCCACTATAAAAGCCGGTCCGGCCGCCACCACAGCATCACACACCTCGCTGACGGCTAGCGACATGAACGCTCTGGTAAGTGCACTCTTGGGCTTTTGATGCTCTTCTTGGGCTCTTTGGGTAGCATCCAGTAGTTATAGAGGACAATGGTCATTTAGTTCGTAGAGTAAACCAGCACGTTTGCATTCTGCTTCTCGCAACACTGACCGTATTCATTTCGTTTACATTGTGTTTCTCTCGTCAGGTGGCTCTCTCCGCCCTGGTGGCTGCGGCTTCGGCCCAGCTCGCCCTGCCCTACGCTGGCCTGTACAACGCCGGCCTGTACAGCGGCTACAACGGCTATGCCGGCTACAACGGCCTCTACCCGGCCGGCTACACCGGCTACAACGGCTTCTACCCCACCACCTACACCGGCGGCTACCACCCGGCTGGCTACGCCGGCTACGGCTACGCGGCGCCCTACAGCTACGCGTCCACCTACCACGCCCAGGACGAGCTGGGCCAGGCGTCGTACGGACACGTGCAGGCCGACCAGGCCCACTCGGCCGTGCGCGACGCCTACGGTAACGTGGTCGGCAGCTACAGCTACCTGAACCCCGAGGGCGAGACCATCACCGTCAAGTACACGGCCGGCGCCAACGGCTTCCAGGTGGCCAGCAACGCGCTGCCCGTGGCGCCCGTCGACACCGGCGTGGCGCCCGTCGAGACGCGCACGGCGCCCATCGACACCGGCGTGGCGCCCCTGCCGGTCGACTTCACGCCCGAGGTCAAGGCCGCCACCGCCGAGCACCTGGCCGCCGTCGAGGAGGCCAAGAGCCGCAACAAGCGCAGCCTGGTCTTCCCCACGCCGTCCGTCTACGCCGGCGTGCCCGCCTTCTACTCGGCCGGCTACGGTCTGGCGCCCGCCCCGGCCGTCACCTACTCGGCCGGCGCCGGCTACCCGGCAGAGCTGACCGAGGTCATCCTCAACCCGGGACACGCCACCGCCTACCGGGTCGACCCGGTCGCCTAGAGCGTCCGCCGCCCGTTCATGTCGCTAGTCTGTCTCTGGAGTCAGCCGTCCGTGCGGTGGGCGGCGGTCAGTGCGAGTCGCTCCGGCTGCGGCCGTCAGCGGACGAGCAAGTGGGCCGGCAGGCCGCCGCGGCGCCGGCGCCTGTGTGATCGCCGGCGTCGCAGCGCGGTGGCCGCTGGCCACAGTGCCCGTCCCGGCCGGAGCGGCTCGATCAGGACCGCCCGACACACACGGACAGGGTGCACCTTCGACATTGACCACTCTGAGATGATCCCATAACCCATTCGCATGATTTTTCGTTAAAATGCATTATTTTGAATACATAATGTCATCGAAAAAAGTTTTAGTAAGAAAGTGGGATTATAAAAGACGTATACAACAAAATGGTAACAGAAAAAGAGTTCGGCGATGAAAAAGAAACACAAAATATTTTCAATAAAATACTTCCTGTAAATAATCATACAAGCATCTGAAAATCAATAATGCTCATTGAAACGAGTACAGTTGAGAGAGATTGTCTGGGAAAGCATGGGCTTGCTGTGGTTAACATCCAAGGCTGCCAAGTCCCAAAAGCTCAGCCGGAGCCAGCAAGGATGTCGGGTTTGCGTTTGCTACCAGACCATCGCAATACTGTTCTAGCACGATCGCGGGATGGTGGCTATTCATGAGCAAAACATAACCCTAGAGAAATATAACTCCATTGCAGAGCTGTGCCAAAAGCTCAAAAGAATATTAGGTACTGCTTCAGCGTCCAGCAGCAGGACTTTAAATCCTTATCTCGATAATATAAAGTGTCAAAAGAATGCACACGCAATTGAAGGAATGCAACAGTTACAGAAATTTGCATACCTTCTTGAACAGTTCTTTCAAATGTCCACTAGGAACCGAAAGATAAAGAACCTCTTCTATTTGTTGGGTAGCCCTTCGAGCCCTTCTACCCCGTAGTTGACTGGTCTTGATGCATCTACTGTTAACGCCAGACCTCTTGAGACCCTAATTTTTCGCGATTATTTTTAAATGCATGGAAGAATTTCAACCAAGCTCAGGACATGGCCGTTTCAAGACCTGCCGAAACTTTTACAATTTAGATATTTTGTCGCCATTTCAATATTTCAGGTACTTCTCATTGATTCGTAATGTTAAATTTCGAGCAAGATTTTCACCCGGCGTGTAGACTGTAGAGGCTATCACCAGTCAGTCTGTGATACGTTATGACGTCACAGCTAAGCCCCGCCTCTGTGGTCTTGGCCTGCGGCGGTTTCGGGCCGGCGCGGGGTCACTCGCGCTGTGGCGGGGAGCGGGGACGGTCGAGCGGTGCCGAAAGCCGGCGGAGTTGTGCGTAAAGTCTTGTCTGACAGTGCCCAAAGAGCGACATGATGACCGAGGAGCCATAAATGCTCAATGCGCATTGCTTGTACAATGCTGATATGTTCGCTGATTTATTTTTATTTTTTTATAGGTAAGCTGCAAATGACGGGCAGATGGCATATAACTGACATAAGGTTAGGAAATATTCACCTGTATTTAAAGCCTTTGGCGTTGCAGATAATGCGATAATGGGATATTTGTTTTGTTTTGTTTTGTTGGGTTAGGCCCTTTCGGTCTGACAAGACCATTGCAGAGCCGGAAGGATGATAGGAATTAGGGGGAGACATTGGTCTGGGCAGGCACCCTAGTGAGTCGCCGGGGCTGAGCCCGTCCAGAGGACAGGCCACCCAGCCCCAAGGCACTCACTGCACCCGGCTACGGGGTGCGCTCCCTCGGGAGCAGCGGTGCCGCTCCAAGGGAGCAGCCCGCATGAGATAAAGTTGCCTGTCCAGCCCGGAGGGGGGTTGTGGCGTGGAGGAGAAGGATTTCAGTATCCTGAGGACAGAAGCACGGATAGGTGATATTGGGATATCGGATGTCATCAAGTAGCTCCTGATTTGTACAGTCCACAGCAGAAGTAATGTGGGGTTTCAGTCATGGGTATGTTCTGCTTCTGAAGCTTAGGAACGATTAGCCAGACTACAATGAAACTTTGAATGTAGCTTATATGTATCGTCACCTTTGCAGCTGCAACTTTAGCTATTGACATCTTCTTTTCGATCACTCCGCATTAAACAATCGCCAGTCAAAGCCAACCGTTGAGATTGGTAAAACCCTACATTACTTTAGCGGTGGGCTGTACATCGCTATGCACCCATCGACCAGCGCAATAATTAGCTAATTGCCTTCGCTTCACATCATAAGGCTCGCTCGTACCTATTTCACCAAACAGATATCCTACATCGAAAATCATATTTGTTAGGAATCCTTAACGTTTTTTCGAAGCATGTGTGAGTAGTAGATGGAGGAGTGATGGCCCTCTTGGTCCCATATACCTACAAGAGTCAACAACAGCCTAACATTTACTTGACGGTCTGCTGCTATTGATTCATAGCACGTGAAACGTCAGCGAAATTCATAGTCCTTTACAGATGGCAGGGGTGTCATTTGTACAGAGGTCGCTGATGGGCACGGGTCAATGCCGCAGTCGTGGGCGGAGCCTAATGTCATATGACGTATGAAAGCCTCTATCCAGGATGGAAAAACAGTTAACATTACGAGTCAATGACAAGTGCCACAAATATTTAAGTGACAACAAAATGTATTTGAAGAAAAAGTTTCGGCAGGTCTTGAAACAGCTATTTCCTAAATATGGTTGAAATTATTCCGCGCGTTTTAAAACAATCGCGAAAAATTAGGGTCTCAAGGCGTCTGGGGTTAACAGTAGGTGATCGTAGTGTGTACGTACCACGTGAAAAGTCAAGGGTGTTTAAGTTGTTCTCCTAAATTTACGCTTTCGAGAAGCAACATCCGGGTTGATTGATTTGCGGCCGTTTTTGTAGGATAACTTCAAACCTTCTTCCAAGCATCGGACTACTCTCGATGCATGTGAGTGACGACCACTGCACATGCCACTTGCAAAAAGAGGGGGTATCAAGTTTGTGCCCATTGCAATAACTCGGCAATTACTGGGCCGCTTACGCTGAAACTTCGCATGTCGGTAGGCAATGCATTTCCATGTGCCAAAGTTGGGGTGCTACTGCACGTGCGGGACCGTTTCCAGACCTCCCGGGTCGATTGCGCTCATATTTGGTACACGTCCACGGTTAGGGACCAGCGAGTAGGGTGCCGGACAGAAGTCAGTTGGAACAGAATTTGCACGTACACACGTGCAAGGTGACGCTTCCACATCTCGAGAACGGCTGGGCCGATGGCGCCAAAATTTGGTACACCGTTAGCGACCAGCTACATACATAGTATGGTGCTCCACACAAGTATGTTGAGAGTATCCATTCGCACTCGCGCACGCGCAGGACTCACATTTGCGCCCGCTCGTTTGTCGCCCCAAAAGGCGCGTTACTGGTTTGCTTCCAGTATGTGGGTATCCTAAAAATTTGCATCAATGACGTATGCATGCGTAAAAAGGGTATCAACATTGTGATAAAACGTCTCCGGTTGACCAGTACCAGCCAGCACCCCCTCCCCCTCTACCCACCCGGTACCCGTCCTCAGTGACGTCACCCCCAGCCGTTCGCCCGCGGACATCCGCAATCCGGAGCACGCGTCGGTAGGGGGGGGGGAGGGGGCGTCTGCGGCAGAGGGTCCGGCGAGGCGGCCAGGATGGCCCTGCCGCGGGCGTGGGAGCGGCCGCGGCAGGGCCACGCCCCGGCAGTCCGGCGGCCCCATCTCATGGTCGTCCGCCGGCGCGGTCCGATCGGACAGCCGGCTGGCTGACGGCCGTTCGACAAAGGGGAGGGACGGGACGGGACGGGAGGGAGGGGTGCATAGGGGGGGGGGGGGGTAGCAGACCATTTCTTGCGGCCCGTCCTCATATCGTTCTGATCAAAATGGTGATCAGAGCTGGTCATTGACAGTCTCGAGGAATACGCGACTTGACTACTGATAAACTAGGCACAAGACTGCATTCTTCTCTCCAAGAAGCCTTCCATCAGATAAAGTATACGCCATACGGCTACTGTAATTGAACTACTTCAACCAACTAAAAAAGGCCATCACTAGCGGAAGTGACCCAAGATGCGTCAAATGTAACGCGGATGGCAAAAGTCACCGATGGCACTTTTCACATTGCCCGTCGAACAATTTGATGGCAGTTTGAAGCCACAAAGAACACATTGCTTCTAGATAAATGGAGACGAAGAAACAAATGCAACATCTATAGAAGCGCATGTGCGTGCGGCATAAGTAGAAAAGAACAGATGAAAGTGATCCAGCCTACTCTATGGAAAGCGAAAGTCGAAAAACAGCAGGATTCAGAGGAATGGAAGAGGACACCGACAATCTGAAGCTTCTGGTTAAAGGGATGTTCCATACTTTAAGGTGTCAAGTTTCACCATTTGGGAAAGGCATAAAATGACGTGACGATAACGTGCAGATGCGCCCGCTTGTTTTCAAGCGGGCGCATCATTTCTGAAAACCACAGCACTTTCTTCGCGTTCGCTCTTCGTATTAGCAGCCTCACTGGCGCCAAGAGCCATACTGAGTGTATGTAAGAGCATGTGTATTGTGTATGTTTGATAAAATGTATTAGTTCGCCACTGACAATGCATGATACTTTCGTTGCATGGGCATGCGATAATTCCTAGGCGGGTAAAAAGTGAATCTAGAGAATTTCCGAGTCGAGATGACTGCTATTTTAGTCTATGAACCCACCAGCCCATCCAGGCATACCCGTCGCCTTGCCCTACTACTCCGTCATATCCCTCTAACCTACCCGTTCTATGGCCCACGCCTGTCGCCGCCTCACCGTTCAATCCCTCGCCCCTAGCCCCTTGCCGTCCATCCCATCCCCTCGCCCCTACTTCTCTGCTCTCTGTCCCTCGCCCCTACTACTGTTTGTCCCTCGCCGTCCCACCGCTCTATCCCGCGCCCCTGCCGGCGGCCGGTGCGGCGCGCCACTGACCTTTGTGCTCTTCTCCGGCTCCTTTAGGCGTCACACCGCCGGCCTTAGCGTGGATAATGCCGCCCATGGTCTCGGCTCCCTCCTTCACCCGCGCCAGAATGCCTGACACCACGGGACGACACCAGCGTTAGGCAGGACACGGACCGTGTAAGGACGCTGTGAGTGGCACCAAATGTTGCAGCTACAGCAGGGAACGACAGAGGAAACGTGTCGGAATGGCATATTGGCGCTGATCGCGGCTGTTCTAATGTTTGTTTTAAAGCCATTCTCAAAATAAGATCGAAATTATGTTACGCAATAAAGTCGAGGTAAACAACAAAATTCTGTTCACTCTAAATAACAAATCATGGAATGTGAAACATGAATTTTGCTATGCTGACTTAGCAAAACCCAGAAGAAGGAAAAATGTCAGACTCAGAATATTTAAAAAATGAAACGTTTCGTACTACTCAAAGAGCAACTTTTAAAATATTTCCCAAAGCTAGTTACAAATTTATAATCCAATAATTAACCTGCTTACCTTTCAAGTAAAATAGCCATAAAAAGATAGCTCGTCAGGATTGTCATCAATACTAAGCTAACGAAGCAAAAATCCCAATTTATCCAGGGGTTATGTATGTACTCCCTTTTCAATTCCCCTTTCTATTCGTTCGTTGGTGGGTAGGACATGCGGTGCGGTGCTTCGAACTCGGCTACAGCGTGTGAGATCGCTCTAAACGGATCCAAGTACGGGGTACGAGTTAAGGGTACGCGGAAGGGTCAGGGGTACGGGTTACGGGGTAAGGGTACGGGTTACGGGGAGCAGACGGCCGCTTACTGACCCGCCGCGTCCGGGTTGTCCTCCATTTCGTGTTTGATTTTCTCCTCTAGCTTGGTACGTGCCACCTGAGCTCGTGACTTGAGTTTCCGCAGGTCCTCTGAGGCCGGTGCGGCGGCGCACGAGACGAGGCGCGATTGAGAGCGAGGAGCAGGCGGAGAGACAAGCGTAGAAGACGGGCAGACAGTGAGACAGGGCGGAGACAACGCGGAGACAATGCCGAGACAGCGGAGACAGAGAGACACATATAGCGACACATAACCATTTATAGGAGGCGCAGAAGCGACAGGCGCTTCGAATAGGCCTTCAGTTATCGAGAGAAAAATGTGCGACTCTTTACCGTCGTTGTTTAGCAGTGCAAAGTGACGATTGTGAAGACAGAAATTGTCTAAAATGTGTGTTGTGCAAGCAAGTAACGCTGCTTTCAGTGCATCTCTGAGCAATAATTTTCACGCGCCAAAAATACTTCGACGTGCCTATAGCATGGACTGAAGTGGCAGCGTAGTTGCTGGAAGCATCAAACTGGCTTGATGCCTAACATAAAAAATGGAGCTTTGCAAAACGGTTCGTGATGAGCAGTAGCGAAAAACGCTGTGGCAGAGCGCCATCCGTGTGATAGCCGTCGGTTGTTTTAAGCCAGTGAGGTGCGCGCGGTGCTGGTGGTGTAGCAAAGCCAGCGTGTGGGTGCAGTGACACAACAGGCACACACAGGGTGATGCGGAGGGAGGGGTTACCCCAGGGGGTGGGCGACTTACCGCTGCCCTCGGCGCGCTCCTTCAGCTGGTCGCGGATGGCCTCACTCTGCTCCTTCAGCTCCTTCATCCGAGACAGATAGCCTGGAGAGAACACGACGGACGGAGGGTCAGTGAGGGAGAGTCGGTCCGACGGAATAGTGCGGCTCAAACGGACCACACTAGCCGGAGAGCTATCGATGACACGTAACCGCAAGCGTGTAGCATAACCCATAAAAAAATCAAATATATTGACGGGCATTTAAGTGTTATAGCGATAAGTATGTCTCCTGAATCATTTGCAAATAGATGAAACATCAGTTGCAAAGTTCTGTCAATAGTCCCTCTGCAAGCTCCAAGAAAAACGAAGCATTGCATAAAACAAGAGCATCGTTAAAACAGGGCTCTTTGTTATGTCAAGAGCTCATGCAGCGAACATCAGGCGACACAGAGTATCTGGCGGCTCTCTTGGGTTTAACATGGAATAGCTGGGTTAGTTTTTGCATGGACGGCCTAGATGGCGGGCCTTGAGCATTTTCCACATTGTTGCAATGCATGTATAACGTATAGTACGGTGAGCCTGTAGCGGGAAACATCGTCATACACACAGAAAGCAGTGATCTGGAAATGTTATAAATCATTGATGACCGGAGACCTGCACAGTGCACACTAACCCCGCGTTCGATGTCTCCCGGACGACGAAGATTCTATGCCGTCCGGGCCCAAAATGCCGTTCGATGTCGCACGGACGGCAAAGATTCTACGTGACGTCACGTAGAATCTTTGCCGTCCGCGCAGAATCTTTTGAGCGTACTACGGTGGGCAGAGAGGCAATGATGGCGCGTATTTCAAAAGCGGCGCAGCAGCTGTTTGCAGAAGTTGTTGACATTTGTGCGTGGTTTCTATGGAAACGTAAACTTGGGCCTTTTCCGAAACTGACGCACATTGTGTAAGTGGCGCACAAAATGGCCGGTCTCGTCGTCCGACTGTGTGCTTCATCGAACGCAAAATAGAATATTCTGCGTAGAATGTTCTTCGTCCGAGGAGACATCGAACGCGGCCTTAGTCTACTGTCGTAATGCATGTGTGCACATATAATAAATGTCATGGAGCAGTCACGCAAACAAAAATAAAACTGCACTCAATTATGTATGTGCAATGTGCATCGCTTCATCAAACAACACAGCATTCCAACAAGCTACGCGGCATGCTTAAACAATGCAAGCAAATAAGCAAAACACAACAAAATGAGCACACCGAAACACAAAATAATCACTCTAAAAAGAACAAATAAACCAAACGCCTCCCCAATCCCCTCTCAGCTATCAAAAATACTGCAGTGTCCCGGCCGTGTCTATGAAGTCACCTCGACATCGTGCCAAGTACGCTGCAACAGACGCATTCGCTGACACGTGCCGGCCGTGGGTGCCCTCACGGGCCACACACGCAGACAGACACACACACAGACACGAGACGCGGCTAGGTGGTGCAGTGGTGGCGACTATTGTCCTCACCGCGCGTGTCCTTGTCCTTCAGACGCTTCTCCATGTCCCCAGCCTTGTTTTTGACGCGGCCGAAGAACTCTGCCGTCACGACGCCGGTCACAGCGAGGTTCGACGAGGACACAAATAGCGGACACGGACTCGGACACACGAATAGACACAGACACGAATGGACGCGGATGCAGACACAAGGCGTAAGCACTGGGGCGAAGACGGTTTTGAACAGTAAGGCGGACATGAAAAAAGAATTTAATCAGCGGACATGGACCCAGATATGGACGTGAATATGGACGTAAGCAGACATAGCACACGGACACGAACAATGACACGGATAACCGACAATGAGCAATGAGACGAGAGAAGAGTAGAGTGAGTAATCTGCCTTATTTGTGGCGCATAAGGGAAAGTGACTGAAGCAATGATCATCAGCAGATCAGCCTAACTTCACACTTGTAGCCTTCTAGTTACTCCTGATTCTCCTTCAAACCACCCGCCGCGCGTACCTGTGATCTTCTGCTGTGCGTCTGGCGACTCGGACTGCGTCAGCTGCAGCACGCGCTGGTACTCGGACAGCTGAATGAGGCCGTGCTCCTCCAGCTGTTCGGTGGTCATCTGACTGTACGCCTCTGTCAGAAGGTCCACTGGAGAGCGCGGACAGAGAGAACCGCCCCGCACCCACCGGTCACCGCAGGCCAGACAGCGTCACACCGGTCACCGCAGAGCAGACACCGGTTACCGAGCGGTGACGTTTCACCGTCCTTCACCGGCCATCGGGCAGGCACGGTGCGGCGACCGGTCACCATCAGCAGTGGCCGTCACCGGGTGGTGATAGTTATACGGCACCGGTCACCGCCCGCCGCAGGCGCACCGCAGCCAGCCACAGAGATGAGAGATGCAAATTGTTTTCAAGTGCACTCAGATTAGTTGATTATTTTCGTGCCTAATGTTTTTATATGTAAAATGGAAATGTTTGAAAAGCTTTGCGCTCTTATATCATGACGATGTTGAGAGTTTAAGCAGTGTTTATTTTCATAGCTCATCTCTGTAGCTGTATTCCACAAGAAGCAAACACGCATTCCACCACCCCAACAGGCAACCACAAGAATTAGCAAGAAGGATATTACATCGCCGGTATGCGAAAATCCTACACATATATGCACCATGACAGGCATTTATGGAGATGGAAGCGGAATGTTTGACACGGTCTGCATATTCTGCTTTGGCACCGTAACTTAGTTGCGTGGGATGTCCAAAAAATGAGTTGGTTCCGTTAGTAGCTCGGATCACGGGTAGGGTCGGCCGACGATAGGGCTTACAGTAATGAGAGGCTCCGTTAAGTGTATAAATTTATCATTGAATTCTAAGTTCCCCGACCAGCTGGAGTGTACCGAATGGAAGAAGGTCTGAAAGGGACTTTCCTCGAATTAAGCACCACCGTCGGTGACGGCTCTACGAGTGACTAAATCAGTTCAAAGGAATTACAAATTACTTAAGGAGGAAGGGCCTAAAAGGATACCACAGAATAGCAATATGCACCAGGCACCATCCACAACCCCACAAAGCGTCTTTCCACAGCACCCCCAGCGCGTACACTGCAACATTCACCCACCCAAGCCCCATCCCCGGCACCCGGCCGCGCGGCAGGCACTCCTCCCCGACCGTCCACTCACCGATCAGTGACTCTATGTCGAAGAACAGCACGTGCGCGTCCGGATCGGAGGGGCTGGTGCGCAGGCCCTGCACCATCAGGGAGTAGGCGCGCGGCTTGTCCGGTCCGTTCTGACCCTGGTTACCGAGCGAGTTCTGCAGCTGCTGCAACCCGCGCTGTGGACGCCAGATGGAAAGCGGAAGGGTGGGGTTCAGTCGGGAAAGGAGCGGTGTGGTAGTGACTTCCGTTCAGTCACCTGGGGACTGGAGTATATCTACGGCATTATTTTGTGCTTAAACTCAATAGTATCATACTTATCTGCGAGCGTACAACGCAAAGCACACATGTAACTAAACGTTTTCATACTCTCAACTGCTCGAAATTTTAAGCAATATATCTGCAAAAGTGCCATCCTCAAAAAACATCCCAAGCCAATCACACACTCCACTCACTTACTCTCTTCCAACAAACAACCGTACCATCCATTGCCATCGATCACCAGTTTGCCTATGTCATACAGCCAAGGAAGGCATTTCACTTCCCTATATTAGCTACGTAACATAAAGCCCACAAGCCGGTGCCGATAGCCGGGTCTCACCTTGGCTGCGTGCCGGATGGCCGACAGGTTTCTGTGCCGGAGGCCGCGGAAAAAGTGCACCGCCGGATTGGCCATGCCGCCCTCGCTGGTGGAGACGGTCATGTGCTCGTCGCAAGCGGACAGCACCTCCTGGGCGGTGGTACCGTGCACCACCCGGTCCAGGTGGCCTGCAACACGCGCCAGCCCGAGATGTCATCAGGAGAGATTGGAGGAGAGGGTTCTTCATCTGCATTGCTGTCCCAACTACCATCCTTTGCCGTCCATATCCCCGCCCTACCCGCCTCCGTCCGCCACACAACTTCACTGCCATCCCCTATAATACACCACTCTAACGATCATCCCATCTCCTCCAAAAGTGGTTCCCTAAATAATCACACCTACCTGTTTCCATCTGCTATAGACGGACACACTGACACTCCCCAAAAACCATTCCCGCCCCCAGTCCCATTATCTATAGCTCATCCTCAACCCGCTACTGTCCGCTCTAATCCCGTTCGTACCTGTTTCCATCTGCCAGACGGAGACACTGCCATCTTCTGTAGCCACCACGAGGAAATCGTCCAGCGGCCGCCACTTGACCGTGGTGACGGGAAACAGGTGCCGCGAGGCCAGCATCAGACACTTGCGCTCCTTGAGCGAGAGGAGGGCCACCGAGTAGTCGGCCGCCACACTGCAGATGCACTGCTGCATTCGCGGCTGGGGGGAGGGGGGCGAGAGGGGAGGGTTAGAGCCCGAACACGAGACAGGTTAGAGGTCAGATCACGGCATCATGGATCAGAAGTCAGGACTGACATTCGTATGACATCTGGGAAAGTCGATATATGATACAGCCAGTTGCAGCTAAGCTTACTAAAAAGAAACGCTATTATTATTATTATTCGCATTAGTCTGCACTCTATGAGCATTGACTTCTGACAATTTAGAGCTAATCATAGCCAAAAAGTTCATAAATTTAACCATGATACCAGTCCATATCATCCAACAATGCATCCACTAGTGACCTATCTCAGCGGCCACTCCTTTCCCTCCCCACTCACCGAGACGCTCTCCGGCGGCACGTGCAGCTGCAGCACGATACCCGCCTGGACGACGAACCGGTGCAGCAGGGCGCCATTTATCAGGTCCCACAGACACACGGAGAAGTCCTCTCCGCCCGAGACCAGGTGGGAGATCTGGTACCGCGAGTGGCTCAGGTGGGGGAACAGAAGAGCGGTGACCGGGCCGCGGTGGCCAGACAGGATCTGGTGCACCGGCCAGTCTGGAGGAGAGGGGGGGGGGGGGGGTCAGCTGGCACTGACAGGCGGTGGGTGTAGAGCGGAGGGCGAAATAGACCAGCGAGTAATGCTAAGGGTTAGAAATCATTTCTTTTCGAGAGACAACAGCGCGAGTCTGTTATAAGCCAAAGCTGAAAGATGAACGTACTAACAATGTCATTAATCATCATTCTTTATCACTTACAATTTCCGCAAGAAACACCGAGGTTTGAACTAATTTATATTCATGCAATTGAGAGTTGTCACATATTTTGTGGTGTTTTCTGTTACTGACTGTAACAGATCTGGTGTATCTCTGGCGCTTCCCGTTAGTGATAAACATAGCTCTAATGTTCCCCGTTCCTGACCTGCCACACTAATACGTTTTCCGTTACTGTTACGGCCCCATGTCTAGCTCATTCTGCGGAGCTCTGCCACAAAACCCCGTCACTGACTGTCGTAGCTCTGGTGTTTGCCGTGCAGCAGATGCAGCATGACGGTGTGAGTGGCCGACACGATGATGATGGTGCCGTCCTCCCTGCCGCAGACCAGGCGGCCCTCCTGCAGCGGCAGGTAGATGCTGGAGGTGAGACGCGGCGCGCCGCCCTCAGCAGACTCCTGAAACGGACGGAGAGGGAGTGTTAGTAACGGGTGGAACGGAGCCCTTCCGCAGACTCCTCCGACAGACGAATAGATAAGTGTAGTATGGGGTGAAACAGGAGTCATCCGCTCTCCTGGAGCAAAGGGAGAGTTCACATATTCATAACGGGCGGAACCGAAGACTCACACCAAACATATTGTGTCCGCCTCGTAAGCATTGGAGCACAAACTAGTTTCCGAAAAAAGCACGTCTATGCACAATGAAAAACACTCAGAAACGATGTAGCATCATCCTAGTGTTAGTATATTCTTTCCTTCTAGACCGGCGTCAACAGGATTCTAACTCACCAGTTGGTCCAGTATTCCGACCGGCTGCGGTTTCATGGTCCGCCAGGCGCGCTCGATGCTCCATAGAACGGTGGGCGGCAGCTCTGCTGAGGAGAACGGGCCACAAGGCCTCGCTACGGTGAGACAATCATAGGCACATTAGCTACACAGTCGGTGATATGCTTGACAGGAAAATTCAGATGTAGGGGCGGTGTTTATTCATCAGCGAAGGCAAATCTCCTGAAGCGAGATTTTCGACAAATAGTAATAACAAAATTATATACAATGGCTCGCTCCACTGCCAAGAGCTCAATGAATCGATAAGGAGTTTGATTAACACTTGACACACGCCATGGCCTTTTTTTGTGACAATGGTGCCACTCTCCACCCCTGCTGCTGTTTTCTCCCAGAAACCAAGAAATAAGTGTTTGCTACCTACCCGGCGACTGGTACTCCCCGTGCTGCTCCATCAGCTGCTGTATATGCGTGTTGGTGAGCTGCGGCAGCCTCCAGAGCGCCACCTGGCCCAGACAGTCGCCCCGCACCAGCACCTGCTGACCGGGCTCGCCCACCAGCTCTGTGTGGATGCTCACCGGCGGACAAAACAGCTCCTGGGGGCGGACGGTCGTGACAGCACTCTACAAAGGGGCATTGGATAAACAACAGTAGTCAGAGCAGCTGCTTCTGGAGACGGACGGCGGGAGGGGCCGGTTGGAGCTAGGGATTTACAGTACGAGGGGCGTTCAAAAAGTTCTCGGCCCGACCATGAAGGAGCAGAGATACGATGCCAACTTATTAGACCAAACATGTTCATTTAGTCAAATAACCAGCGTTAAGACAAAAACATTTCGCGCAGCGCTTCGCGAGAGGCCCCTGGGCCTCCATAGCCAAGTGGGTTTTGGACGCATCTGGCACGTCCAAGACGGCTGCTTTTGTCTCCTTGCTGTCAGCGAAGTTGCCACTGCTAAGCAATTTCCTTATGTTGCTGAAGAGGTGGCAACCTGAGGGTGCAAGGTACGGAGAGAAAAGTGGCTGTGACAACAACTCGAGGCTAGAGCTCACTGCTTCGCTGATCGTCACCCTGCTCATGTGTGCTGGTGCGTGGTCCTGGATCAGGCGCACACTTTTAGTCAGCTTCCCTAGTCTCTCCTTGATATCTGCTGCTCGCTACTGTTATCGAAGGAAGGTGTAGTATTCATCATTAGTTGTGCGCCCCTGTTTTAGAAAGTTGACGAGCAGAGCAACGCCAGGCTCCCAAAATGCAACCACTGTCACCCTGCCGTCTCACACCGTTCCGTGCTTCTATCCTCAGGATACTGAAATCCTTCTTCTCCACGCCGCAACCCCCTCCGGGCTGGACAGGCAACTTTATCTCATGCGGGCTGCTCCCTTGGAGCGGCACCGCTGCTCCCGAGGGAGCGCACCCCGTAGCCGGGTGCAGTGAGTGCCTTGGGGCTGGGTGGCCTGTCCTCTGGACGGGCTCAGCCCCGGCGACTGACTAGGATGCCTGCCCAGACCAATGTCTCCCCCTATATCCTATCATCCTCCCGGCTCTGAAATGGTCTTACTGGACCGAAAGGGCCTAACCCAACAAAACAAACAAACAAACAAACCCTGCCGTCTGACTTAAACACGTCGCACACATTTGGTGGCCTTTACTCAGTGTGCTTCCACTTGTGCAACTCGGTCACGCCCTTAGGGTCAACGTGTGACACCCACAATCCCTCCACGGTAACAAGTAGTTCAATGAACTCTTTTGGATCTTCGATATAGGGACCAAAATTTTCGCGTTACGCCTCCTTTCGAGTTTGCCTTTCCTCTGGAGTCAGCAAACGGGGGATGCATCTTGCAGAGATCTTAAACATATTAATACGCTGTCGAAGAATGGCTTTGAGGAACCTTATAGACACCTCCGCTTCTGCTGCGTTGTTCCAGACCAGAACCTTTGTCATTTTTCACAAAGAAGTGCCTATTTTTCATATTTTCTTGAGTCAATGCCGTTGACGGCTGGCCACTGCGGGGGTGACTATTAATGATCTGTTGACCAAAATTTAACAGAGATGCCCACTTTTTGACGCTACTGTAAGAAAGACAAACCTCAACATGTGTTGGCACTAGCTTTTCGTGAATAACGTTTACTGCATTTTTCTGCAATGCATGAACCAAATCACTGTTCTCTTCTGGGCGTCGCCCATTCTGACCGGGAATGGCAAACTATGTTACGATTAATTAGCAGCCTGAACCAATCACAGGGCAGATTGGTAATGGTTAATGGCTACACAAGTGGACATCCCAATAACACATCATTGAACACACCGCATTGCAGGCCGAAATTCCAACTCCTTCATGGTTGGGCCGGGAACTTTTTGAACGCCCCTCGTAGGTTTGAACCGAGGACTCGACACGGGGATTCACTGAAGAGCGTATACAGTTTGGTAGGGTAACCTCAGACGGGAACAGCTGGAAGCACATATCAGAAGCAGAAACTGGCCCTGTTATCAGTGAAGGTATAAGGATAACAACGGAAAACAGCGCGAAGACCAACAGCTGACGACCAGTGAACAACAAGATGTCATTGAACTTTATCTAAGCTAAGTTATGAGCCGTGACGAAATGTAGGCTGCATGAGTCATCTGGTACTATCTTTCACGGAACCTCTCAGCTCTCTACCCCCTCTCTAGCACGACCTCCTCTCCCCACAAGGACGGCACTTCATCGACCATACCTGCCGGTCCGGTGACGAGAGAATACAGTAGAGGAACGGCTCGTCCGCTTCCCGTGAGTGGAACTGGTCGTGGCTCGGTATGCAGCTGTAGGGCAGACCGGGAAAGCGTTAGAGACCAGTCATAAGGCAGGGGATTGTCATGTTAGAGAGGGTGAGACCAGCCGCAGAAGCACAGTGCACACTTTTAAAGTTAAGTGACAAGTTAGGGAAGGACAGGATGTATAGGTCATGAGAAGGAGTTAGAAGAATGGAAGAAAGCCATGGCACAGACCGATCACGTAGCCAGTGTTATAAGATCATAAGATAGACTATTAAGCGATTAATAGAACAGTTACGAGTGAAGCATATAATCGGACACGACGAAATGACATACCTAAAAAAAGAAATATGCAGCAGAATAATATCCAACAGAAATGAAACTAAGTTGGAGGTAAAATATCCTCTATCTTCGTGAAAGGGATAGAAGGCTGCTTATTTTCTAGGTTTTGCACCGTTAAAATTTATTCAAGAGCGTTTGAACAGTGGCTAAAGGTACATGAAAAACTAAGCTATACGAATAACAAACGTCACTGATGATGTATACAGATGTGATATACTCCGAGCGTTCCGCTAGGCACCATAATTTGTTGCTACTCCGAGAAAACGAACTATGGTACTACCTTTCGCAAATTTGGGCTAAGAAAATAAACAACATCGGAATGAGCTTTTAATACGAAAAAGGAAACAAAATAATTACACACTACACAGTTTATCGCATTGTTAAAAAGCGTTCCTAACGATGAAGTTGAAGGAAATACATGTATTGTAGAGGATAAAACAATGAATAAAATCACGCAATGGCATGAATCCCAGACCTTCCACGAAAAATGCGAGCAGCGTCTTAAATGAATCGAGCGAGTGAATAAAACAAAAGTTCTCGGCCATGCTTTGGTCAGCAGTGAACACTTATAAAGCCGTCGTTTGTTAACGAAACAAAATGTCCTGACTCATCATCATCCCCTTGTGTTAGAAAAATAACACCACAGCGGCATAAACAACAATAGGAGAAAAGGTGGACCAATACCAACACTTCTTGCTGTCTGCGAAACAATGTTCAGTAAAATAAACAGAGAGTAAGACACAACACTCAATACCCAGCCTGGAATTCCGCGAAATATCGCGTAAATGTCATCACACACCATTCATGACCGAGGAAGGCGGGTAAACACAATAAATAAACCCTCTCAATGTGTGGCAAAGGTCACCAAACGGGCATGCAATTCAATCACGAACCAACGATGAAACCATAATCAAAGAAGCTCGGGACGGCATGCATCTAGCTAGCAGTGCGGTGCTGGTCGGCAAAATAAGATGTCGATAAATGAAAGGCCTAGGTGCGTGAACTACTGACCGAACCGCCTTCCCGCGCAGTTTTCTGTCAGAAGAGAGAAATAATCCAGAGGTAAATAAGGGCGACTGGTGCGCGGGGCGTCTCGGGAAGGGACATTCCCGGTCAGTTGGTGGGAGGGTCGATCTGGGATGAGTTTGTCACACCAAGCCCAGCAGGCCATAAACGCACACATACTCTGTTAAGTTTAGACCTCACACACTCACACCACCCGCCGACTCCTGCTTGATAAGGTTATACCAGGCGTAAAAGGATAAATACAAGCGGATAACACCAGCAGACATCAGCATAGCACAAGAAGATAGATCCTTGGGAGGGCCATCGCCGTGGTGAATTATGCACGTCAAGCCGTCACTTCCAGTGCGGAGTACACGGTCACGTAGTGTCTGATCTCTGATCTGAATACCGGACGAGAGCGTTTGCATATGATCAATACCAAGCTTCCGGCTCGGAGTGGTCGCTCATGGCGCTGAGATGGCGAGTTATTCCGAATGAAATACCATCTGAGGGAGTGTTCAGAATAGAACAGCGGAGTCGGGGTGGCTGCTAGCCATGCGAGAGCACAGCTGCATTAGCACCACGTGAGACATTTTAGACCGCTCATCACCGCGCAGAATCGATCCTCCCGTCAGCTCCTCGCGAACGTAGGCGTCACACAACATGATTCCCGTCACTTTTAGACGCATCGCGCCATCGAGAGTCCAACTCCAAAACAGCGGTCACATATCGGCCCGGTCACCCTTATACATACACAACCCCCATGGGGCAGGCGGACACTCACTAGCGGAACACTCGAAGACAGCTCACTTTTAACGACACACACCAGACGAACAATGACTCTAGCGAAACACTCGAGAAGGACACTCACTTTGGCGATACACTCTGGATGGACACTCACTCCTAGACATTCGCTTCTCTTACCGGACAGTGTAAGCGGACACCCAGCCTAGAGGAAACACCCAATGGGAACACTCACTTTGGGGGTAGTTTGTAGATATAGGCGTGCCCGGAGTCGGCCCACACTATGACTCGGTCGGCGGCCAGGAACTCGCCCCGCGTCCACGACTCACAATCCTCCTCCGACGAGGTGCAGAGCAGGGAGAAGTCGGACGCGTCGTATATCTGAGGCAACGGAGGGGGACGCGTGGTGAGATCGGGTGGGAAGGGGATGGAGCGTTACATTGTTGGATAGCGCCCTAGGCACAATAAAATAGAATTCGGTCGCTTATGCCGTATTGTAAATCTCAGTCAAACGCAAATCACAGTCCAATGCCACCGTGCAACGAACTCAATATCCTCGCCAATACTCCGCCTCCCTACTACTTCCTTTCACCTTTCATTCTCTATACCTTCCACTAACCCTGCCCACGACCATCCCCATCCCGCAACCTCCAACCTCTAACGCACTCACCTGCCACAATGCTGACGACACGACTAGCACAGTCCGCGGGTTGAACGAACAGCACTTGAGGAAGTGAACGCTCGAACACCGGATCCGCTTGCTCTCGTTCTCGTAAATGATGTCGGCAGGCGACTGGACCTCGTCGAATCCCGGCAGCGTCCAGATCTTCACCACGCTGTCTGTGTTGATGGCCATGACGATATCGTCTGGTGCAGGGGGAAGAAAATGATGATGGTGATGTTGGAAGTAACTTCGTAGCAGTTAAGCAGAAAGGGTGCCTACTGCTTGCATTGGCACGGAGATAAAACAGAATCAGAGATCACAGATGAAGTTTATGATGTTACGAGTTTAATGTATTCTTTTGTGTGAGATGTTAGAAGGTTAAGTAGATCGGTCGCTGCATTTGCTTTGGTTCAAAGGCATTTAAAATGATAATGGAGCGGTATGTCATACAGACTGACATAAACCGATACAACACAATGGCGTCCCATTTCAACAAGTGAAACTCACAACTCAATATATCTGAATATCAAAGCGGACCTCGAACCCCGCGGCCCCACACTCGTAAAGAGGCCGATCCGCCACGGTGTACCATCCCGCTCCGTACCTGTGACCGCCCTCGGCCGGAATATGTGTAGCGATGTGACCCAGTTGGAGTTGACCTTGGAGGAGAGCCAGTAGACCACCTCCAGTGTGAGCGGGTGCACCACGGCGATGTCAGCGTACTCGCCGCAGCAGTAGAGCAGCACGTCAGACGCGTGTGCCGGCTGGTACGCCTGGAGAAGGGACGCGGGGACACGCGGGTCAGAAGGAGGGGTTAGAGGCGAAATCAGTCATGAGAGCAGGGATGTGACAGAAGGCGGGGTTAAATGGCGAGATCAGAAGGCCAGCTTCGGTCAGGTGAAGCAAGGTCAGAGGAGGGGCATAGAACATCGAATCAGAGGGCATATTCTGAAGACCGGTGACGGAGAGTGATTACAAGTTAGATACTCGTAGACCGAAGAAAAACAGAAGACCACAGGCACATCTGGACATCATACGATGACAAGCAAACACATTCCCGATTAAACACCTACTGATACCACAGAAAATATGCAGATAACAGCCGCGAACCACATATTATCCAAAAAGGACGGCAAAAGCCGTCCCTTATCTCAATCAAAATACGCCTCAAAGACGAGTCGCCGCGATGCAAGATCGTAGAGCCACGAAACATAAATAAGCAGGGCGCTGAGCAGTGTAAATATTTTATCTGTAACCCACTTGTCCTTACCGAGATCTGACGATGAATGAAAGACATTTTGACCGTTTCGATGCATTGGCCTTCCTGGAGGTCCCAGACGCACATCTCCCTGGGGGCGGCACACAGTGTCAGACAGACGATCGAGCGCTGTTAAAGACAACAAGACGATAAGATGTCCATTCGGAACAATGAAGTCTACCGCTGCGCTGACTCGGTGATTACATATCCATCTAGAGACTGATTTATCATTATATGAGCAAACTTCGCATTTCAGCCGAACTAGGAGAGACAACAGAGAATATTTGGCATGGTGTCACGTAATATACGCCTCTGTACGCGAGCCAGTAATTGTTTGATGCCTGTCACGTACCCGTTGACAGCTGCCGAGACCAGGTATTTGTGGTTGGTGTGCAGCAGACCGTCGCTCAGGCAGACCACCCGCGCGGTGTGGCCTACCAGCATCATGTACGGATTTATCTGCGGAAACAGACGATGGCCAAGCCACTCATTAAACTGAGGTCGCGTGTCGAGTATCAGGGTTCTAACGAAAGAGTTGCCATGGTCTGCCATGGTCTAAACAAAACTATTGTATACGTGAAGAAAGTTGCAAATAAGCACCCAGAAAACAATTTGCAAAACCAGACATGACGACATTATGAGTCATAGCAAGCACGATCAACCAGAACCTCAAATATGAAGTGTTCTTATAGTCACCAGTCGGCAGTCAGCCTTTAATGCACTTAAAAATTCACACTTCATATACGCTGATATCGTAATATCGCTATTTTCACTTACTTGAGATTCACACAATTCACACAGCAAGGCCACCATAACACCAGAACAGAAGCAGAGGCCCGGGAACGTCCCACACTCTCCCAGCCAGCCACGCCGTGCCGCGATAGCACACGAGGTGCCGCGCGCGGGCCATACCTCCAGCGTGCCGGGCTGGACGGTCCACGTGACAATCTGTCCGTCCGTGCAGCCGGTGACCAGGGTGCGCTGGTCGGGCGTCAGGTACAGGCTCGAGATCCGGTGGGTGGGCGGGTGCCGGCCCCATAGCGTCACCGGCACGATCAGACTCGGGCCCAGACTCATGGTGGCGGTCTGTGGTACGGGCGCTCCGGCTGCCAGAGCAGGGGAAGAAGGAGGGTCGGGAGAGGTGGCACTGATAAGACAGGAAGAAAGCAAATGGGTGCCTGCAGACTGTGAGGTGCAAATGAGTGCACGTTGAACAGTGTTTGATTCCGTCAACCTAGGGCAATGGAATTGGTAATCCATTGGTTGTTAAAGCATTACAAAACACAGAAAATACATAAATATCAATAACCTTTGATCAGACCACCTGCCACTATGCATATATGACAGCATAAAAATACAATTGTGTAAAGACAAGTATCTTGGCAAGAACAAACAGCTGAACAGAGTAACAAGAATGAAAATCAATTGATATTCCTTGCATTACTTGATAATGAGCTGCTTACTTTAATTGGCTAATTAAGGGACAAGGGAATGTAGCGTCAAACACTGACCTTTGATCGAATGCAGTCAGTTTTTTAACTTTTAGGAATCCATTTTATTGGTTTTGAACACAGAATGATGAGTAACTTCTACTTCCACTTCACTTGCGTCTGCATACCCTTTTGGTCACAAGTAAGTGGGTGACACTGAAACAACAAACATGACTCATGACTCACATGTGAGAAGCATGTAACAGACCCATTTATCAATATCAACTATATCCCAGTACTTCTATGCATGTAAGGAGAGAAAACATTATATTGCAACTTGCAAGTCTATTCAAGGTAACTTATATTAACCATACCACACAAATTTATTGTGGACTCAAAAAAGAGATGGTTATGGGGATTGCATCACTTTACTGTTTTGACATTATCTTACACAAATATGAATCAGATTGAAATATGTTGTGTTCATTGGTGGGATTTAAAACATTACAAGATGATGGCAACACCAACAATAACATCCCCATTTCCTAGTCTAGTGTCCCTCTCTTGCCAGTGGCCAGCTGACCAGAGGTTCAATGCATATCGAACAATGTGCACTCTTTCAGCCACAACCCCATCCTACTCAAATGCGAGTAGGGCACCCAAGCACTGCCAGATTGCACAGTGTGACAGCAGAGTCAATGAGCTGCTAGAACTAGGGTGACAAATATGCACCAGAAGTCAGCACACTGCACAGACCAACAGGAATGGAAATCTGCACTAGCCCAGTGACTGTACGGCACACCAGTGTGCTTGAGTACCTTGAATTTAACCCATCACCCGCAAATGTTTGCATTTTAAAAAGATGAATTTCCTTGGCTGACGTGTGTTTCCCGTTAATCATGCATTTTCTAGGACAATGGGTATCAGTAAAGCTGGCGTCACTGTCGGCAGTAGGTGGGTAGGCTAGGTTGTAGGTTGATAGGCTCAATCAATCAATCCTGCCTGTCCCTGGTAGGCACCCCCTCTTATCAAGCAAGAGTGGGGTTATACGCGCCAGGGACTCCCATCCCCGCACTTGTTCCCAATTCCCTCCCCAAATCCTCACTATCTTGTCTATCCATTCTGATTCATCTCATTCTCCATATGTTACTCACTTCATCGCACATCTTAGTCAACACTTCTTTTGTTGTTGCAAATTGCACAGACTACCTCCATCAGCAACAACTACACTCAAGCAGACGTACAATTCCAACCCTTAACAATTGCACAGTCCAGTCCTGAATGTCCTGCTTATCTATTGTCCGGGTTGCCATGTCTCTCTTCGACACGGTCTCCTATCTCTAACAACCCTGCCACCATCTGGGCAATGAGCAAGGAAACGAAACCTAACAGGTCAAGGTGAGTTCAACAGGTGAGGCTGTAGGTTGGTAGGTTTTAGGTGTGAAGGTTGGTAGGTTTTAGCTGTGTAGGTTGGTAGGTTGTAAGTTAGTAGGTAAGGTTGCATCAGGTTAGATTATGTTTTTTACTCTAGCTTCTTCCACACATTTTCCTGTTAACGGCGACAGTGACGCCAGCTTTACCGATACCAGACAATGATCCATGTGCGCACCAGTCCACACACTACTTCAGTGCTTCAGCAGTCTGCACTGCAACTGACAAGATGTTGAGATCGGTATGCTTTGCAGTTTGCAGTCTGGCCGATTAATTAACCTACGAGGCCCAATAATAAAAAAGAAGCAATAGCTAGGCCTCCAGGCAGGCTCCATGTTTTCAATAAAATCAGGATAAATCCTGAAATGGGTCAGCAAAATGGTTGAGTCCTTCTTAAGCAAAAAACAAATAAGAAGCAAGCAAAAGAAGACTAGCTAGGTAGGTAACAGTAATGTCTCTCGAACAGAAAATTTGATGTTATTGATTTATTTCCTGGCAATAGAGTCCAATTATGTGCCACATTGACATCAGATGGCAAGAGCTGAACATAGCGTTAATTTTCTACATCAAGTTTCAATAATCTAAGCCGAATAATGGAGACTATTATAAAAATGGTTTTCCAAACACACCCATTAGCAAATAAACAAGCCAATGCACATCACGCACAACACAACAACAAGAAGCAGAGGATATAGGATTTCAGCCATTTATGGCGCAGCAGAGACATACTGGTCAATCAGCTGACAGTGGATAAGGCACGAAAATAAAAATGGTGGGATTTCATACGTTATCAATAGTTGTCACGATTCCCACGAAGAAGTTACTGACCAAATAATGTAAAATCGGGATCAGATGTTGAAATATTGAGCCAAACACTCGTCCAAAATGATCAACTAAAGCTGTCTCGTCTCGATAGTTCCCAAAAGTCTACAGGCCTCGCGTTCTCTGCATGCTGTAGGCACTATTTCAAAACGTGCAATAAGAGGAGCAACTCTGTTTTGATGTATATACAAAATTGATGCAATAAAGGTGACCTGTGCTTACATTACTTAAGTCCGCGTCTAGTTCTCCCGGAGGCGGGCGGATAGCGACCGATCCCGTGACTTGATCGAGGCAGCACGGCGCTGCGTCTATCTTGACCACGTGACAAGTGGTTTCATTATAGATGTCGCGGCAGGTCGGGCTCTGAGCGATGTCCGCACACTGCTCAGTGCTCACGGCAGCGGCCGGGCTACTGCCGTTAATACCTGCTCTATTCACATGGCAGGCATACTCTGTAGTGCAAACGGTACTCATATTGATGGAAGTGACTATTTTTTCATTTATTTAATTACGTTTCCACGTACTTATGAGAGGAAACCAACAGTCTAATAGGCGTCCCCATGCGAAAATAATATGTGACGCTGGACGCATATCACAATAAGCCCGTTTCCTCCAGAGCTAGCACGGGCAGACGTTGAGAGTGACAAAGCTGACAGGCAGACTGGCGAACTGGATGCATACTGGTATCAATGATCGCCAAGGGTTTGAGCTCAAAGAATGCCGAGCCAAACCCAAAACACACCGTTCCATGCTTCTATCCTCAGGATACTGAAATCCTGCTCCTCCATACCGCAACCCCCCTCCGGGCTGGACAGGCACCTTTATCACCTGTCCGTGCTTCTATCCTCAGGATACTGAAATCCTTTTCCTCCACGCCACAACCCCCTTCCGGGCTGGGCAGGCAACTTTATCTCATGCGGGCTGCTCCCTTGGAGCGGCACCGCTGCTCCCGAGGGAGCGCACTCCGTAGCCGGGTGCAGTGAGTGCCTTGGGGCTGGGTGGCCTGTCCTCTGGACGGGCTCAGCCCCGGCGACTCACTAGGGTGCCTGCCCAGACCAATGTCTCCCCCTAATTCCTATCATCCTTCCGGCTCTGCAATGGTCTTGTCGACCGAAAGGGCCTAACCCAACAAAACAAAAAAAGCACCTTTATCTCATGCGGGCTGCTCCCTTGGAGCGGCACCGCTGCTCCCGAGGGAGCGCACCCCGTAGCCGGGTGCAGTGAGTGCCTTGGGGCTGGGTGGCCTGTCCTCTGGACGGGCTCAGCCCCGGCGACTCACTAGGGTGCCTGCCCAGACCAATGTCTCCCCCTATATCCTATCATCCTCCCGGCTCTGAAATGGTCTCATTGGACCGAAAGGGCCTAACCCCCCCCCCCAAAAAAAAAACACTAACACGACAATGCTATCTTGCTCTTACTTGATTGATGATTGTTTGATGATTGATTAATCGATTGACTGATTAATGAACAAGTTTGCTATTGCTTTACAAATACGGAACAGCAAACTATTAGCGATTGCTACTTGTAGCGAATGCATGAATCCTAAGCTCTATCCCGGGTAACGGGTTGCGAATAAAGCGTCATGTGTTTGTTTGACGCACAATTAGGTCACTATTTTTTTTTCGGCAGCAAAATTGTTTAACAGCGACTCATGACCGGTAAGTTAAGGGCGTGTTCGCAGTCTTCTCGGACGAAGAACATTCTACGTCGTCCGGCCAATCCCGTTCGATAACCGCAGCCAAGCCCCCGCTAACCTCGAACGGCATTGGCCGGACGACGTAGAATCTTCGTCGTCCGGGAGACTCCGAACCCGGGGTAAGATTAGTTACGTTAGTTTACTTACGATTGCTGACTAAACTAAAGCTAGTGTGTCATCCTAGCCTAATTAATTGCCAGTACCCTGGAATACGTAAATCCGTCACCTTATGACGGGACACCGCTCGCGTCGTCACATCATAATTAGCGCCGAAAGCCCCGCTGTCGGCGGTGGCCGGCGGGCCGGCCGCGGCGGTGACCCGGTCGTGCTCCCCTGGCCGGTAGGCTGTGCCGCCGCGCCCGCCGCGGGCGGTGCCAGGGGCGGCCACGGCGCGGTGGCAGCCGGCGCGCGCCGCCAGTTCCCCTCGCGCGGCATGGGTTGAGGTCCGGACGCTCTCAGTGACAGGTAACCGACCCAGGGCCGGCGGGACTCGGCACCATGGCCGACAAGATGAACGACCAGGAGCTCTACCAGCTGTTTGAGCGGCTGCAGAACTGCGTCGACCAGATGCGCGTGATGCAGAACCTGCAGGAGAAGGAGCACCACAACCTCTACAGGAGCATTGTCAAGCTGGACAAGCAGGTCAGTTTGAGTTGGGCACGCAACAAGAATGGTTGCGATAGTTCGGGGTCATGAGTGATTGTGTAGAATATTTTGGACTTTGCGATTCCGTGGAATGATGTAATCTGTTTCGTGGTCAATTATATTGTTTGTTTGTTGGAGGTTAGGGGCGCGCCGACTGCGTGGTCATTTTGCGCCCACGACCATAAACGGCAACGGCAACGGCAACGACCATACCATGCTAAAATACCAATTCTCGTGGTCCATTAACTCATAGTTCTGCGATATTAAGCATGAGAAAGCTGGTGCTCATAAAACTTGTGTTATGGCGAGTGTTATGGCGAGTGTTATGGCGAAAAAGACAATTTGTTCGATGAGGAATCACCAAAGAACAGACACCTAAAAGCCCATATAAAATACAAATATAAACGTTCATGCTGCGACCGCTTGAACTTATTACTAGTCTAACTCGATTCGCAATTGAAAACTTACGTAAAACCTGTTTGTGCGGAGTTACATTTCAGACTGATTCGAACCTTGGGATGATTCGAACATTGACCTCGCCTCTGTGTGTTTCGCAGGTGAGCTACCTGGCCTCCCAGCTGAGTGCGGGAATCCCCACGAAGAAGGCGGCGCCGGCCGGGAAGCGGCGCCCGGCCGGCGGCAGCGGAGACAACGCCAAGAAGCAGTCACGGCCGGCACCCTCCGGCGACGAGCGAGAGGACGAGAAGAGACCCAGCACCGGCGAGGACCTCTCCTCGAACGAGACGGACAGCAGTCACGCCGAGCCGGGCGAGCACTCTCCGCGCGGCAGGAAGGGGCGCCGCTCGGAGCGCCGCTCCCGGCGCCACCGGCGCGCCAAGCGGGCCAGCGAGGGGCGCGCCCAGCCCGCCTCGAGCGGCCTCTCTGACGAGCCGCTGGTGCCGACGTGGACCGGGCCACCGGCCGACACGTTCGCCGCCCTCCAGCTGAAGCCCGATCTGATGACGGGCATCCAGGCGTCTCCGTCGGGCGCCAGCGAGCCGACGCCGTTCCAGCGGAAGGTGCTGCCGGCGCTGCTGCAGGACGCCGACGTGGTGGTGCAGGCGCGCGGCATCGGCGCCGACGACGGCAAACAGGCTGCCGTCGCGCTGGCCGTGCTCAACAAGGTGAACCCGACGCTGCGCGCGTGCCAGGCGCTCGTGCTGACATCGTCACGGGACGCGGCCAAGCAGCTGCATCGCGAGCTGGTCGGCCTGGCAACCTTCATCAAGCCGCGTCTGACCTGCCATCTGTCGATCGGAGGCACGAGCGTGCGCGACGACCTGCGTGACATGAGCGCCGGCTGCCACCTGGTGGTGGGCACGCTGGGCCGGGCGTTCGACATGCTGCGCCGCGGCGCGCTCAAGGCTGCCGAGCTACGCATGGTGGTGCTGGATGACGTCGACACGATGATGACGCGCCGCTTCGACAAGGATCACATCTACGCCGTGCTGGGCGACGTGACTGCCGAGGTGCAGGAGCGGTTGCAAGTGATGCTGTTCCTCTCGCTGATGCACGAAGACATTCCTAAGATGATCACACTGTTCGCCAAGGCGCCTGTGACGCAGGTACTGGTGGAGGCGCCGCCGCCGCCGTCCGGAGCTAAAGACGCACTCGGCAAGACGGCTGACGCCGGAGAGGGGACGATAAAGAACCCAGGATTGGAGGACGCTGTTATGAAGCTGGCTGAGAAGCTCGGCGAGATGAGTATGCCGGTGCCGGTGCCGGAGATCGTTCTGACCCAGCCCCCCATGCCAGAGGCGATCGCCCAGGGCGTTGTCGAGGGATGAGCGCCCGAACTGCTCCGTAAGCGCGCTGAACGTCCCAGCCGCTCATGTTATCAGAGGTCCTATTTTTGTTAATATACGCATGTTAAACGAATACTTGTTTTTCAGTGGGTATGAACGACCATTGGTGAGGCTCATTCTTTTTCGGGATGAAATCTGGCTACCATTTGGCATTTACTTCTATCACCTCACCATTTAGTTGAACATACGGGATAAGAAAGCGACAGAAATCTGTAACTTAACGTTAAGAAGTCTTCGCAAAATATTAATTTGCGACACTACACTGCCAATATCGTTTTCGCAATATGATAAGTTTGTGTGTCTGTGGGGGGGGGGGGGGGAGGGGGGATGCCGGGTGGCCTGCCGGGCTACGACGAAAATGTTTATGAACACCGCACAGATTCTTCGTGTGAACGGATGGCGGTGCCACATACCGTAACGTTGTCATGGAAACTGAAGTAAATTATCGCATCCCATTCATTGAGCATACACATGGAGTTTTGTGGCATACACCAGCATACACCATGCAGTGGCTTAGTTCACTGCATAAATTCATCATCAAAATTTGCATGAGGGATCACCTAATTTGCTTATGAAGAGGTTTGTGGGAGTTTATCTTTGTCTGGCAGGGCTTGGTTCGTGGGACGTTTATTTACGATTAAACCGCAACCGCAGGAATAATGTGAAATTACACAGAAACCCGGCGTTCAACATCAAATAGTGCCTGCGAGGACAGGAGCATGGCTTGGAATTTCTCGAGAAGATTTAGGAAGGCGGTATCTGATGTAATTCGATGCGAAAGGATAACTCATAATAGGCTTCGTCGGTACATTGGTGCAGGCTTGATCATATTAGCAGCAACTATCATTTTCCTTATATGTTTCCATATGCTTTTTACTCTCATATTAATGGTTTTAAACGTAATAAGCGCAACTATTGATAACGCAAACCGGTCTACCCATTCGCTGGAAATACAGCGTTTTGACGACGACATTCATGTTGAAACGGAAATAGATCCCAAGCTTGAAATCAGTCGCCTGTTTCTTACGACTCAGGAGAAGGGCTGCAAACCTCGAAATACCGTAAAAGATTTCGAAAAGGTAAGTCACCTCCGCAACATAAATTCAGAGCAGCTTTTCTGATACATAAGCACCACTAATTGGTTGTTTATTGGGGCTTTAGGGCGCGCCGACTGCGAAGGTCATTTTGCGCCCATCACCACTAATTGGTCTACATGGCATGTTTCTATGCATTGCCTACATAACACATATGCAGTCTCATAATAGCACCAAATATTTCAGGGAACTGAAGTGTTCGTCGAAAACGACTACTGCTTCGTCCGCTTTTTCAACCACAGCGAAGAAAGCTACGACCAGCAGATGCGTCTTTTCCAGATGTTAGACGTGAGTAATGTGTGACAGAGGTGAGTAAAACTAACGCGCGAAGAGACTTCGCAACTCTTGCCCAGCAATTAGAGGTTGCCGACAGGGTTGTTTGATCACCCTCCGCGACTATGTCAAAATATAGTTTAATTTTCAGTAAACGTAGTGCTTTTTCTCGAGACAATCCACTTTCCACCACGTTAGCAGAATACTGCAATCGATTTCCACGTGTTAGCTGTCATGATTGTATGCTGTCAGAGTCCGTTCAGTGTGTGTACTCTCTCCCCCTAATCCCCAGCTCGCTCTGATTCGTGGCCATCCCCTCCTCGGCAGGACATGCCGCTGCAGCAGTCGGACGATCCCGCCACCTACGAGGCCGTCCAGCATCTCCAGTTCACTGATCAGCTGTACGACCTACTCGGCCGGCCGGTGAGCCTCCAGTGCAACATGCGCCGTCTGCTCTGGATATTCCCCGTCACCCCAGCACGCGCCGAACAGCTTGCCGGCTGTCGCTGCTTTGACACACTCCACGCTCGGATCAATGTCTGTCTACAGACCAAGGACGACCTGGCGAGGAGGGTGCACCCCTGGAGTCTGGAGACGACCGATGCGCCCACGACGGAGCCTACGAACGAAGGAACGGGGAGGTATCCCCCGGGTTTGGACAGAATTCTGATGAAGCCTGCTGACATGGGGCTGGTGTGAATTGAGGATATGCTACACTCTACAGGAACGGTACTGGCAGCTCCAGTCCCCAGTTCTCCAGCCTTCCCCTTACGGGAGCGACAGACCGAAGCTCGGCGCTTCAGATGTGAATGGGATGTTAGAATTCCTCCCTGGGAATTTGTTAGTGTCCTGGTATCCAACGGCTACCTTGGAAGGCGTTCTGAAGCCAAAATATGTCTGCTGGAGATCGAAGAGGATATTCCTTCGACGGAAATAAAATCATCGTGTCATACATTATTTGTATTATCACGCTAAGGCAGCCTGATCGATACAAAGGATAGAACGTTTCAGTCCCTATTTGAAACTGTGCTTTCGTAATGAAGTTCAAATTTTGAAGTGGATAATACACCAAAAGAGCAAAGAGGCACATACGTGTTTTCTGCCAAGGGGTTTATAATATGCATAATACAAAACAGATCTCCGCACTTCCCAATCCGCTATCCTGTCAATGGATAAGCAAAAAGAACTCCAAAGGATATTGCCAATGTGACACCTTTCTGCTGATGTCACAGATCGGGATGATTTCTAACAGCAAGACGCTCACCGGTCCATTCCCACTTTGAAACAACTTCATCCCATCCAAAGTTTACAAACATACCAAAGTTCGCAGCAACGCACACCACACCCGGTCGTAGCTCCCGCCCTTCCCCAGACTCCCCCGCCCCGCGTCGGGCCGCCCCGTCCCCGTCACCTTCCTCGAGTCCGTCCGTCTGAGCGTCCGATTACAGGTGGAACTTGCGCCGGCTGTCCTCCATCTCGTGGCGCTTCCTGATCCATTCGTACTCGCCCGTTTTCGAGTCGAACGTGCCCTTCTGCAGCGAGCGCAGCTTGAGAGTGAAGCGCGGCCCCAGTTCCCGCAGAGCGCACTTCTTCTCGTTTTTGAACTCGTACCTGACGATGGAGAGAGAAAAGGCCGTCAGTGTGCTGTGTAGATAGAAATTGGATGCGTAATGACCGTCGTCAACCGCCCTTGAACCCTATCAAACAAATAACACACACAATTTTGATCGCCATGGGCTGTCAATTACTCATCACGGATAATGTTTCACTTGCTTTGTGTACCATCGTGCCAAGTGAACTAACCACCCGCGGTACCTCCCAGTCCCACCAGAACCCTAGTCCCTCCCACCAGCCTCAAGTCTCCAAACTCACCGGTGGTGTCTGAAGAAGATGTAGTCTCGCTGGTTGTGCAGCGTCATCACCCGGCGGCCCTTGAACTCGGGGTCGAAGTGGAACAGCGAGGCCAGCATGCGGCCCACCCGGTGACCCAGCATGGTGGTGAAGTTGTTGAGCACCACCTCTGGCCGGTGGTGGGTGAACTCCTTAATCCGCTGTCGGAAACGATGCGATGTTCGACGTTATAAGTAGGGCGAAGGTAATTGGTAACGGAAAATAAGCGAGAATGCAGTGATAGCGCAACTACAACTGCGAAGTGTTATAACACGTCTGTCATCTGTCAACTCACTGTATGCTAGCTGTTATTAATTGGGTGTGACAACACCAATTAAGCCATTAATCCCAATATTTCGGATCTTGCGAGAACAGTTACTCGCCTTGTTATGCTTTTAGCTGTACAAATGTTTTATTTTCGATTCTGAAACCCAGTTACCAGCCCATTATGATTTTCCACCGACCATGGAAGCACTGCCGATTTCGGACGGCCGACCAACTCCGAGGTAACTCGGCGACACGTACCCGCATCTCGGCGCTGAGTTTGACGTTGCTCAGGCGGTAGAGGGCTGACGGGCCGTCCGGCAGGTGGACGTGCAGCAGGCCGTTGGCCATCACCTTCTTGCTCTTGTCCTCGTTGATGAAGATGAGGTCCGTGTAGCCCTTGGCGGCGGCCACGCGAGCCGTCTTTTTGACGGAGCTGAAGTTGCGGAGGCGCACCTCTGTGTTGGGGATCACCAGGGCGAGCTCCTTCATAAAGTCACGAGTTTTCTGTAAGACAACAAACGAACGTTAGTTAAACAGCCTGAGGCATTAGCCATCAATCATGATGCTTTTCATTTCAACAGAAAAAAGATGCATTTCTAGTGAAAAGCTGGCTGATGTAGATAGTGCTTCGATTCAACGAAGTTAGTAGTCAGATATGTGAGAAGTAGAAAACAGTGAAAAACAAAATAGCATACATTAATAGCACAAATTACTTGTCGTTCGCCCCAATTATGCGACCAGACTGCTTGGAAATGGCATGCTGGTCGCTGGATGTACTGTGAATCGGTCCCCCCCGCCCTCCCACCGACCGGCGACGGGAAGTCTCCGGCGGTGAGAAGCACGCGCGGCGCCGCCTCTCGGCCGAAGTAGCCGCCAAACTCGTCCAGTCGGTCGGCCTGCTGGGTCTCCAGATCGTCCGGCTGCACGGTCGTCACGTCCGGAATACGCAGCGTTTCGATTGTGTGCGGCTGCAGCACCGGAGGCGCGTCCTTGCCCAGCTCTTCGCGTACCTTCTGGCGCTTCTTGCGCGCCTCGCGCTTTTCCTGGAGAGAGAGAGAGAGAGAGAGGGTTAAATGAGGGAGCAGCATGTAAGGGACATGAGAGAAGCTAGAATGAGTGTAAGAGGGATTGGACAGAACATGTGAGGCACAGCTGAGGGGAAAGACATACAAGAAATGATGCTGTAAGCTGACATGTCAGTGAGAGGCACATGAATGAGACATGTGAGGGAAGGAACAATGATACAGGACTGAGGGGCAGATGAAGTAGGGACAGTGGACATGCAGGGGACTGGGAAGGGGACATGACAAAACAAGTAGAATATTTATGGTCAGTGGACTAATAAAGGAGTGCAAAAAAGAGCACATGCCATGGTGGAGCAGCAAAGGGTTAAATAATAGGTACCAGACAAAAATGAACTGTTGGCTGCTTCAAATACTGAAATATTCAGCATCTGTAGTGGTTAGTTTAGGCCAGTAGCTCAGTGCTTAGGAACAATTACCATCTCAAAGCAACCAGATGATAAAATAATATTTTGAAAATAGAATAACAATAATCATCAACATACCTTGTTCTTTTGAAGTCTCAGCTCCCTCCATTTTTCCTTTCTTATGTTCTTATTTTTATGATCTATGCACCTTTCTGGCAATAATGGTGTTGCAGCATCAGAAGAAGATGGTTCTCCTGGCTTGGGCTTGGACCTGGGAGCCATGTTTTATATCTGTGAAGAGCAAAATGCCTGTGAAGAAATGTATCAACCTATCAGATATACTATTTTAGTTATGCTCAGAGAACTAAGAACATATTGCAAACAAAATGCTGTCAATAATGCACAGAAGATACTTAACCTAAAAAAACTGAACAAAAGGCACAAGATAGGAACCCACTCAGTATCAGCGCAGGGAAAATGCTTAAAAAAATAGAATGAGAACACTCAGCTAGTTACCACCTGCATCCTGCAAGGTGCAATGGTTTCTGTGATCGTAATAATGATTGAATTGCTAGGATTGGACCTGTGGCACAGGCAAGTTTTCTGCTTTTGGTGAACTGTGGCACAGGTCCAATCCTAGTAATTCAATCAATATGGTGATCATGGAAACCATTGCAGTTTGCACTTTGCAGGTAACTAGCTGAACCTCCACATTCTATTTTTTAAGCATTTTCCAATCATCATCAGTATAAAAAATGATTGACTAATTATCACTTAGTGAGTTCATTTTCCTGCTACAGGTATGACCTTTATGTTTCATGTTTTACTTGGCTGTATTTATCGAAGCCCCTCTGGTTCTGCCGAAGAAGATCTAAACAAGATTGGATCTCTATTCAAGCAGGCTACCAGCTCTAGATATACACATGTAATTATTGCAGGCGATTTCAATCTGCCGCAGATCAACTGGCAAGTGGGTCTTTCCTCAGCCCCTCCCTCGCACTGTTCACATGGGTTTGCTGACCTGTTGAACGATGCATTTCTCTACCAGCATGTTGACAAGCCTACCAGATTTAGGCTCGGTGAAACACCCCACACGCTTGATTTAATCTTGTCATCTGAAGAGGCCATGGTTAAGAACTTGGAATATCTGCCTGAGGGGTGTTCACGGGCACCGCACACTGCTGCGTGCGGTGTGTGCGGTGCGTCCAGCAGGCGTGGGGGTAGGGGATGGGTAGGCGGCTCTGACGTCACGGCTGCGTGCGGTGGACGGATTCCTGTGGCCGGTCCCGACCGGCCACAGCGGTCGCTGTGTGCGGTGACGGAAGGCTGACGTAGGGACGCAGTGGGCGGAGCTTGGAGGCTGTGTGCGGTCCAACCGCACACAGGGCCCGTGAACAGCCCTCTGGCTTGGGGACAAGCGACCACATCATGCTCCAGTTCCAAGTGGCATGCTACTGTCCTCCCACTGAGTCTTTGGAGCGCCACCTCAGTTTCAACAAGGGTAACTTCACACTGCTCAACCAATTAATGTCTGAAGTAGAGTGGCCATCAAGTACGTCTCTAGATACGCACGCCATGTACGATTTTATCAAGGCCAAACTCTTGGAACACTCTACCACTTGCATACCCTTTACCAAGTCAAAACGGAAAAACAAGAATATCTACATTAATGACGAAGCCATTCGGTTAAAGAAGCAAAAACGGACACTGTGGCTGCAGTACATGCAAACCAGAGACACGATCGACTATGCCCGATTCTGTCGTGCGCGCAACAAGCTCCGAACACTCACTCGGAACCTGCGGGCGAATTTCGAGAGACATCTGGCGACGAATCTACGAACGAACGCTAAAGGGTTCTGGCGGTATGCAGGCACTCGACTACGGACCAAGACTAGAGTGGAGGACTTGAAAGCAGAGGACGGAACGATGATTCGTGGGGATCGTGATAAGGCTAACCTGCTCAATCACTTCTTCCACAGTGTGTTCACGACCGAGGACCCCGTTCTGCCGGCACCACCACCTGTTTACCCTGGACCCCCACTGACCAACATTGATATCAGCACTGGTGCGGTCAGGGAGAAACTGCTGAACCTAAAGATAGACAGCTCTCAGGGACCGGACGGACTGCATCCTCGCATCCTGCGGGAAACGGCACTGGTTATGGCAGAACCATGGGCGCGCCTCTTCCGTTCTTCATTGAACAACTCCACCTTACCAAGCGACTGGCGCAGGGATGAGATCGTCCCCATTTTTAAGAAGGGAGTGAAGGACAGCCCTGCAAATTACCGACCAGTGACATTGACGGCCGTGCCATGCAAGGTCCTTGAATCATTGGTTCGTGACCAGATGATGACGTTCCTCATCGATACTGATCAGCTGAGCAACCTGCAACATGGCTTCAGACAGAAGAGGTCGTGTTCTACGCAGCTTCTTGAAACTGTTGAAGATTGGACCCGTGCACTGGAGGAAGGAGACCCGGTCGATGCCCTGTACTTGGACTTTAGTAAGGCGTTCAATTCGGTACCCCACCAGCGCCTACTGTTGAAGCTCCAATCTTGTGGTATTGGGGGTCGCCTACTCGAGTGGATCAGGGCATTCCTTACTGACCGACAGCAGCGCGTGACAATTAATGGTACAAAGTCGGACTGGGTTTCAGTTACCAGCGGCGTACCACAGGGGACGGTTCTAGGTCCCTTGTTGTTCCTGGTCTTTGTTAATGACTTGCCGGCCTGTGTCTCATCAGGGCTTAAGCTATTCGCAGACGACACAAAACTCTATAGAAGTGTCGGTCAGGCTGCGGATACTGTAACCTTGCAGAGAGACCTCGACGCTCTGCTGAGATGGTCCGAAAACTGGCAGCTTCCCTTCAACCAGTCGAAGTGCAAGTCCCTGCACCTGGGTCTTCGAAACGCCAATCATATATACCACATGGGAGACACCCAGTTAGAACAGACTTTGGTGGAAAAGGACCTGGGAGTCAAGATAGACAGCCAGCTCAAGTTTCGGGAACAGGCCGCCGCTGTCATAGCCAGAGCGTCGCACATCCTGACTGTCATCCGACGATCTTTCGGAGTCATTGACGAGATTACACTTCCAATGCTCTACCGGACTATGGTTCGCCCCCACCTTGAGTACGCCAACGTGGTGTGGGGACCTTTCAACCGAGAAGATCAGAAGCGCATTGAGCGTGTACAGCGGAGAGCCACGAGACTGGTTGCCAGCATCCGCCACTTGCCATACGAGGAGAGACTTCGGAGCCTGGACTTGCCATCGCTCTACTATCGGCGCCGACGGGGCGACATGATCTTGGTCTACCAGGTGCTTCGACGGGGAGTGGATGTTGACCCATCCCAATTCTTTACCGCGGCAACAACGACCAGAACTCGGGGACACAAGTGGAAACTGTCCAAACCAAGAGCTGTCTCCAGGGTGCGGCGGAACGCCTTCAACATACGAGTCCTAAACGACTGGAACTCTCTGCCCCCTGCTGTGGTCGATGCGCCCTCTGTCAACAGTTTCAAGGCCAGGCTTGACAAACACTGGGCTCACGCCAAGTACACCTTACACTTCAATGACTGATGCAGTGACACACTGACACATAGCTCGTCACGTCCGGATCCAAGAGGCCGTAAGGCCTTCCTAAATTCCGCATACTATAAGTATAAGTAAGTATAAGTATAAGTATGTTTTAACATGCGGCATGGCTCCACTTCTTGTTCCACTTTGAAGCCTTTTGATCTGAGATCCCCAATTTCCAAACCAGTTTACTTTCTTCCCTACAGCCGAGCCCCGCTGACCTTGAACGGGATTGGCAGGACGACAGAGAATCTTCCTTCGTCGTCCGAGACATCGAACGCGGGGCTAATAAAAGTAAGACGTATTTATTCCCAAAAAGTTTACAAAACTGTCGCCATCCCAAACGATGAAATTGAAATGATTTAAAAAAGTACCTTGACCTGAGAAACTGAAACAATCACCGTAGCCCTAATCTGATGAAGCCATGAGTGCTTATGAATATTCTCAATGACTGAAATTAGAAGTTGATTACCTTGTCTAGCAGGTTTTCTGATTTAGGTGAGCTTTAATCAAATAATAATTTATAATTTACCTTCAGAAAGTTCAATATCACAATCGTCTTTACGGTCTTTACGGTCTTCACTCAAAAACGCGTGGAAGCGCTGAAATGTATGAGATCGTATTCTAAATGAGAAGAAAGTATAATGCTCACGTAGTTGGCCAATGGGAGTGAAGTACTTCTGCTCTTTGGACTTAACGACCAATCGTAGGCTAGAAGAAATGTTCGACTAGCGAACGTATTTCTATTTCATCCAGAATGAGCAGACCATTTATCGGCGCAGAAGTGCGCCATTACATTTATATTTACACACGTGGGTAAGCTCTCGGGTAAGCTAAGAGAGGCTAAGAGGGGTTTGTGGTGAGTATCTGTGATTAATTATCATTTTTTGTTGTATTGTTAAGGCCTGGCTACACTATGCGTTTTCTGCGTGCGTTTTTTGCGTATTTGCGTGATTTGCGTAATATCGTTCTAGAAGAAAGCTATATTTAATAAAACTTTTACATAAGTTATGTATAAAAGGTAATGCAATTCTTATATTAACTAAAATTGAATATGAAAAAACACTACAAAAACGTAATATCATTTTTTACTAGCACGATATCACGCAAAACACGCAAACACGCAAAAAACGCACGCAGAAAACGCATAGTGTAGCCAGGCCTTCACCCTTTCCCTGCGTTTACGATGTACAAAATATTCTCCATTGCTTTACAAATAGCGTGTTTCTGCCATTCATTGATTTCACCACCAAAAGGCCTTCAGGGCGACGAATGAGCGATGAGCGAGTGAAATGTGGAATGGTATCAATAAAAAAGTTCAGTTTATTTATTCCATTACTTAGTAGCTGAGTATGCAGATCAATGTTTCAGTCTTTCAGACTGCTGATAGGTATTCACTCCAATAACAGTGGAACTCGTTTGAACTGGAGACTGAGACCATGGAAGTAGTCAGACTCGAGCTCAAAAGACGCAGCCAAACTTCTCCAGGATATTGGTGGTCAGATTTCTAAGGCAACCTACTAGAACCTCAGACTCAGAGATGTGTCTTGGCTTTTGCAAAGAGTTTTGACTGCCATCATCCAGGGAATTTCCATTGTCATATTAGCCACAGCTCTTCCCAAGGCATGTTATGATGTTACATCACCAGGTGTGCCCAAGGATGCAAGTCTGGTCCAGCAGAAGAAATAACCAATTCCAGATGTGGACCTTGAAGTAGTTTTCACTGGCTTAGTTATCAAAATCCTGCATATTTGACCAGCCAATCAACAAGCATTCAAAAAATGTTAGCCTTAATTAAGAGACTTTGAGGTCCTATGGAGCAAAATTTTTGGGCAACATAATGATTTAACATAAAAATGCAAAGACATCCCACAATACATGTTATACCCAATCCAGTGGTCTTCTACCACTGCCAGTGACCCTCTCCTTGACTCTATTAGTTGCCAGGATCAGGGACGGACCTGCCACCTGGGTTATCATAAAATGCTCTAGTTTCCAGCTCATCTCATGAGATGCAGTCATTCTTCTATCACTTAAAGGGACCATCCCACCTTAACATTAGTTTTGAGTTGAGATAGCCAAGTTTGCGGCCAGGCTCAGAAACCACCATTTATCCTGGTCGCAACCCCCGCAGCTTTATGGTGTTCAAGAAATTTCTTCCCTTTACTTGCAGGGTGGGACCAGCTTAGTCCCTATCTCTTAACCATTAGCGGTTTCTTGATGACGTCAGCAGTCATTTCAACGCCCGCCATTCCTTGAACCCGAGTTTTGCTGACCTTGAGCTCCCTTTGTTATCAACGTGAAATCCGTCGTCGGCGCTGAGAAAGCCTATTGCTTTTCATTTTAATTTGAATATTAGAAGATACCCACCACTGGAACTTGGACTGATATTATACCAAGGCCGAAGATGATCAAGCTGCCTGCTATATCTGGAGCTTGGTGTTCAACTTCAACATGGAATAAAAAACAAAATATCAAAGCAAACTGGATATGGTACTCCAAGTTAAAGTCCAAAGAAATTTTGAAGAGCTGACAATTGACATTAATTCTTTTCCTGCAAGGTTTCCATATGGAGATCACACCATGAAGAAATATTTTTGATGTTAACAGTTGAAAGGGGATTGATCATCCAGTTTTGACGAAAGACGCTGCTGACTGTCTTTGGTAAAGGATGTCGGCATGAGGTGCAATTGTGCTTGTGAAGTGGTTATAACTGGTCTTTTCACAGTATTAAATTAAATGTGCCATTGCAGCCAAGTGTGTTATCATGTAAGGAAAAATCAAAACCACAATGTTGGTTTTACGAGCATTGAGAAGGCTGGTAGGTAACACCTGCCAGGCTGCCTGTGCTCGTAAATCATGCTGCCAAAGTTTTCTAAATTAATTTTATCATACACTTTTGTTATCCAGAATGGTTGCACTATTGTTTGGTATCATATTATTCCATGTAAATATGGTAGTGTAAAGTCCGACCAACATGTTACCAGATTTGAAGCTGTTACGTTACCTAAGTACCTGTTTTTTACTGGCGTGGTGAATGTCACCTGGATTTTGTTTTGAGGTGCAGACCTAGTAACTCTGACTACATGGGTTTGAAGCTATTATCTATTCTGTTTTTACTGGCCTGGTGAATGGCGACTGATGTTGTCCGTGGATGGCACTGAAACAAATTTTGAGTGTCATGTACAGTGTTTTAATACAATGCTGAGGGCTGAAAGTTGTCTTGTTTAGAGTGGTGAAAGTTCAGGATATGCCAGCCACCATGGTGGGTCAGAGTTAATGTGTTGCAGTCAGTTCGGCTTCGGCAAGCACACGGATGGGCATACGCATCAAGACCTGCTCTGCCATACTTTCAGCCAATTTTACCTAGGTAAGTCTTTTCTTTTTTTCTGCCAAAAGCTATGACATTGTGAATTTCAGTACTGTGGTCTGTGTGTAGCTTTCAGGAAAGCAATTCTAAATAAAGCTCTGATAAAGTGCAAAATCAGCAATGCAGCCCTCTATTACATTTTCTACAACATCTTACTTGTTCCTTGCATGGAGAGAAAAATGCAATGTTATGAATTCGTTTATTCACATAATTTGACAAGCATGCAGTTACCTGCTACTATCACTGCACAAAACAGCAGAAAACATCAGTTGATCAAACACAAGACACAACAGAAGTTTACAACATATAGGGCTGCCGAACCTGCTTCCTCCCACCACAGTTGATGCCATTTCCTAGCCTGGCTTGATGTGAGCACTGAATAGCTGCTTTGTCTAATTACAGCTCACTACCATTCAACTTAAACTACTCTCTTCAAAGTAAGAGTGAGAGCGTTCAGTGTTCATAGCAGCTCGACAGACGACAGACAACAAACATCTTGACAAACCAACCAGTATTTGATTTGGCTAATGATTTATGTGCTTGTTGTATCATGGCCAAACTACTTTAACAGCAATAATCCCTGTTTCATCTTGATCTTGCTTTTATTTCCATTTGAACTCAGATCTTGAAACAATCATCTGAAGTGATATCAGATACTGGCTTCCGTTTCTCTTGAAAGCAAGTTAAAACAACAATGATAAACTAAGGCAGGAGATGTGAGTTGTGGCAGTAGATTTTTGATTCAACATATGTAAACCTTATATCGCTTGAGACCTCTGTGACAGACAAACAAATATTTATAGTTTTTTGATAGTTTGGATTCTTGGCTTGATTTAGCAAATCAGCTGTGAACCTTGACTTTGAAATCACATAAATGTCATGGTACCCGAACAAATCCTCGCATGACATTTCTTCGTAGCACAATTTTTCGTCCGCATTTCTTCGTCTACAAATCTTCGTCGGTGCATTTATTTGTCCCTCAATGCTTACTCTTGCATATATTTGCGTTGAAGAAGAAATGCGAGCCGATTTTCATATACCCTGATGCGAGACAAAGTAATGCGATACGAATAAATGCCCTGACGAAGATTTGCAGACGAAGAATTGCGATACGAAGAAATGCCATAAGAAGAATTGTCCTGGAATCCTTCATTGGCCATCATATATTGACCTTGATAAGATAAACGCATCATTCGCGCAATATTTGTCGCACTTTGATACCAAACTATTGCTTCCAAATGCCGACGTAAAGAAAACCTTTATGTGACGTCATAGAAACAGCGGATTTCCCAAAAAGTAAACAAAAATAAAAGTCTTATATCTCGAAAACGGGTGAATATTTTCCGGTAAAATTTGGTAGATGTTCATTTTCGCTCTTTGTGATTCACGCTACATCACTTTTATGCCAATTCATTAACTTTTTTGAAGGTGGGAGGGTCCCTTTAATGTATTGTGTTGACAGCCTTCACTTTTAATTACCTATTCAATTCTCACCCTGATTCACCTCGATGTGAAATTAAGCCACATCTATTGCCACATCATAGGACCTACACCTTAAGTATTTTTTTTTAAGTAAAGGTCATTAGGTACCCTTTCGAGTAATCAGACCCTTTACTCAAGAAGCTATCTGCAGAAGCTTTCTCCTCCCATGTCATCAATATGCTGCTTTCTTTTATTACAGACCGCACTTTACCGCTGCCACCATGTACCTGATGTACACTGAGGATGAGAGTGGTAACCGGGTGTACACCCTGAAAAAGGTCTCGGAAGACGGGCGACCCACCACGTCTGCCCACCCGGCCCGCTTCTCGCCCGAAGACAAGTACTCGCGAGAAAGGATCACCATCAAGCGCCGCTTCGGGCTGCTGCCCATCCAGAAGGCCAAGGTGGCCTGCTGAGAGACGGGTGGCTCCGGTGTCACACCAAAGGGGACAATGGACATTGTGCCAGAGGGCATCCTTCGGTATCGCACGGTGTCGGAAGATTGTACCGGTCACGCAGTTCATACATCTTATGAATCATGTGACCATGGGATTTGCGAAGTGGTGCCACGACTCGCGACCATAATCTAGCACCGTGATGGTCGATCTGAAAGCGACGTAGTCGTCACCGATGAATGGGGTTTAATCATTACACGCGTTTTGTAAATAAACATCGAGATGTCTGTGAGTTTTTGTGGCTGGCTAGAGACGCGCGACTTGGTCAGTACTCAGTACTGGCAGAGAGAGCGTAACGTCCTGATTACGATGCGCACAAAGTCGCTGCCGGAGCAGCATTTTCGGTTCGGCTGAATGTCAGCAGCAGATTCGCGAATATCAGTCTGCTGCTAGATTGATGGACATGCCAGAAGACGCGAATGATTATACCTATGCATCCGTTCCGTTCCCAGTCATCGAGTGAAAGCAGTCTTCTGGTGGGTCGGTGGGATACCGCGCAGCGTTCACCAACCCTTTGTCCTTCAGCTTCAATTGCGATCGACACTCGACTAAATGCCATTTGAAGGTGCTTATACAAATATATTGGTTCTCAGAGCACGGTTACTTGGTAACGTATGCTATCACGAGTCACGAAGGGGTGTAATATTCAGTTAAATGCAATATGTAATACCTTTACAAGCGGCTAAATATAATTTACAAACATTTGGTCCTTTGACATCACAATTCACAACCGTTACTATGGCCTAGACCGCGCGATGCAAATATCGACAAAATAGCCGTATCAGAATGAAGTAATATAAAATACCGGTGTACAAGATTGTCATTGTCCTCTCCACCACATAAGGCAAAATAGTAATAGAGACATCTGATTGTAGCACATATTACACTGGCAGCTGTCAATTCTTGGACATCAATTCGGCGTCACTGTAGCAGGACGAGACACCACCACCTCGGACACAACACGAACCACAACCAGGATATCATGAGGTGTTTTCGAGATAACTGGGCAAGACGACCACGAGGTCTGAAAAGCCCTGATCGCTGAACAACAATGAGGCTTAAAGCCGATATAACCGGCTCATCTGCAATGCAAACTTTAAATAGCGTCCCAGTTACAACAAAGGCACAGTTTGTTCGTGAGGTCGACGGCTTGGTAACGCCCATGTTGTGCCAAAAGAAGAAATAAATATCTGCAAACGCCAAGGTAAGCGAAATTGCGCATCAAACAACGGGGCTGTAAGTCATGACGTTCTAAGCATAACAGGTCGACTTTACTGGGAATCAAAGAAAACAAGGCATAGATAGATCCAATGGGCATAACATAAACGCATAACAAAATAACGATGACAAAAATAAAATGCGTAAGACAAAACTAAAACGGAATTAGCATTAATAACAGAGGGGATCTACAGAACAGCACAAGTGACTACAACCAAGCCAATATCGTCCAGCGCATAACAGCAGCAAAAACCAGTAGAACGAACAGAGTATTTTCTATCACTAAGGTATCGGTGCTCGAAAATCACATCGTGAAAGTGTAACACCATCACCTGAAATCGATACGGGCAGCCCGAACGCTGCTGAATAAGTGGTAAATAATTGGGGCCTCCAACCGCGCTCGGCGGCCGAACTAACTGCGCAATCTTTCATCGTAACACAAGCTCTATGTTCTGGCTTTGGATATCTTTCAAACTGACGTGACCATCTCGAAAATCATTATTCACGGCTCGACTCTCTCCGGTCACCTTTCTCACATCCTTCCACACCGCACTCCACCCTACACCCGCCTCTCCTCACTCGCCTTGCTTCTCAGCGGCAGGCTCACCCTCAGCGGCCGCAGCCAGCTCATCCTTCACGCTCTGCTTGCTCGGGCAGCCAGCGGCGCTGAACCGCTCAGCCCACTGAGCGGCGGCCGGGTCACGACCCAGAGTGGCCACACCCTGCACCTGGTCACCGTGACAGAAGAACGCCACGAACTTCTGACCGGCCACGTCGCCGTCGTAGATGATGTCGTCGAACGAGGGACAGTAGCCTGTCGGGGAGGGGAGAGTTTGAAATGGGGTGTAGAAGCTGGCGTTTTGTGAATCTGATAAAACAGCACGTCATGATTTTCGTTAAAGCTAAGCTAAGCAAGTTATAAAATAGCCACAAACATTCCGGTCACTTCTGGAACATCCCATGGCTAAACCTACGACAATCTTCAAATGATAGGCATCTTGCAATGTTCAGGCACCAATTGGTTATGGCTCGAACCAACTCCATTAAACAAATAAAAAGAAAGACGGACACAACCTTCCCCTTCATCCAAACCAATTATCGCCAAAATGTTACACACCCTTTGTGCCCACGCCAATCCACCCCACCTCTCGCCACTCACCTGTGTATCGTACGCTCTTCCCGTACTGCATGGTCCAGAAGAACGGTACCGTGTTAACCTCCGTCTGTGTTCCAGCAGCGTTCCGTCCGGCCACGCTGCCCAGATAGTGAGCCAGCTGCCAGTGGCCGATGGCCACGCGCCGCCCCTCCGCCAGAGACAGAGGGAAAGAGGCGATATCGCCCGCGGCTAGAATACTGTCCACGGAGGAACGCAGGTGCTGCAGGGGAGAGAGGAGGAGGTCAGTGAGATGGAGTCGGTGGTAGAGCGGAGCAGGCTGACTTTTCGATGATTTGACTCTTGAGTAAAGAAAGTAGAGGCATCGATGGCATCACGACTTAGGGATCACTGGGATCCATCATGTTGTTTATTGGGGCTTGTTTAGAACGCACCGACTAAAGAGGTCGTTTTGCTATTTTGAAGGCAAACAATCTAATGAACTTGCAATAATTCGCAAATTGGTCCTTTTACCCTGTCTCCTCGTCCATCAATCATCATCCTACCTTATCGACCACGACATAGCCGCGTTCGTCCAGGTCCACCACGCCCTTGAGCACCTCCGTGCAGGGGATAGCGCCGACGCCCAGCAGGCATACATCGGCCGGCAGTTCCGTGCCGTCAGACAGCACCACCTGGTGGTGAAAATGGAAGTAAACCTTACAGTAACGGCCACAGGGCAGTAACGGCTGAGCGACACATTTGAAGCAGAAATCACGTCTTCTCATTTGCTGAAGGACGAAGGCCATTCATCAGCTGGTGATCACTTCAAAATTCGTGTCAAGCCATGCTAGCCCAGCATGTATGTAAAAAGGCATCCTGCTCCTGCTCATACAGCATACCCATACAGTGTGTCCAGTGTGTGTGGCTCATGGCTGTGCTATTGTAGATACTACAGCCATGGTATTGTAGATAGTAGATACCATGACGGGCAAAATCCGAAGTGGCACTTGGCAGAGTGCGAGATGAGACCTGGTGAGCCAATCTCACGATTAGTCGGCATTTTCTTGCGACTAGAAAACCGTCACATCATCGGCGATAAACATTGAAATAGCAAAAACCTGCATGATAAAGATAATGCCGACGGCAACCGCAGAGTTACAGCCGTAGGTGACACGTGTGTGACAAAATTGTTCCTTCAGAGTACGAAAAAGTATTTAATTTCCTTAAATTATTTTTAAATCAACGTAAAATTTGCCATTCTTATGTTTGAATCCTGAACTCCACGATATTTAAAGATGTAATATACCCACCTTATTACAAAGACCCGCTCAATCGCATCCTATCCACACCTAACCATCGCGCCAGTCCGTATCCCACCCACCTGTGCCAGCTTGCCGTCCTCCCCGGCCTTGAACTCGGTGACATTCAGACCGTTCTTCACCACCACTCCCTTCTCCTCGTGCAGTCCCTGCAGCATGGCGCCTATCTCGGGCCCCAGCGAGCGTGCGAAGGGCACGTCCCCCGGCCCCACCACGGTGACGGAGGCCGCCTTGCCCACGCAGTAGGAGGCCGCCTCCATGCCTGTCCGAACAGACGGTGTCCGGACCGGGGTCAGCGCGACAGTTAGTGCTAGCTAGTAGCTGTCGTTCAATCAGTCATTAGGAATGTGCCAAAATTGTCCAATTTATATTCAGCCATATAACTCGTAAACCATAGGGTTATATCGTAGACAGTTAATTGAAGACTCTTCAATTAACTGTCTCTTCAATGAAGAGCCTGCATACTGAATACGGCCCAATGCAAAAGAACGGCACATTATAAATACAGTAGACTAAACTGTAAACAAAGCACAGCCAATCAAATGCAATTCAATCATTGGGCTTCACATGTAAAAATAAAATAAAACTCCAGCAGAACTCTATGGTAGCCCTCCCTCCGAATGGCTCACCGATGAAGCTGGTGCCGACGATGACGACGTTCTTGCCGGGGATGAGGCCGGCGATAGCGTTACCGTCGTCGGGACTGCGCAGGACGCAGATGTTTGCCAGGTCCGAGCCGGGACAATCCAGAGTGCGGGGCCTGCGGGTGGAGGGGGGTTACACTAAGCAAAGGCAGGAATTTTCAACGGTAGGACGTATCCGAAGGAATTGACACCGATACGATTTGGTTAAAGTTCTGAACTGCAGCTGGGTTACACACGGTCGTCCTTGGCACAAGGATGTCAGCAACGATATTGAACGTGATCTTTCGGGACTACCTAACAATGATTACCAGTGATCATTTGCAGGAAGTCTCAGGATTAAAATTATTACATTAAAATAAATATGCGCACCAAACACGTCCGACTTTGATAAAAATATGAATCTCCCATGGCATCTGAGCAGCCAGCCACACCAAATTGTACCAAATTACGGTACAGTTATGGCACCGTACATGCAGCTACGAACAGCGTGCAAACCACAAAAACGCACACAGCGCAGCAACCCACAGCGTCATCACTCGTCACCACTCAGGAGGACCGAGTTACGAGTCCACGACTCACGACCCGTACACGCGTCACGGAACTCTGTCACTGCCGGGACCGGGGCGTCACGCGTCGCGGACTGTGCGAGGCCCCGTCACCACAACTGGCACCGGACGGCGGTCGGCTACTATCACCCGCCTCTGGGGACCTTCGCAATCCATTGCTCACCCCTTTTCAGTCAATATTTATGGTCATAAATTATTAGTGGAAATTACTCTAAGAGCATTATCACTCATTGAAACTAGACTTGTCGATCCAAGTTCAGAACTGACCATTGCAAATTAACAAATCTCTTTTTCCCATCGTCACCTAGCGTGAAAACCCTTGACATCAAATAAGATAATAGATAGTGGCAAAAAGCAATTCAATTTATACAGCGATTCATCTTATTTTGTCCACCAGCGTCCACCCACCTGGAGCCGGTGGCCACCACGAGGGCCGTGTAGCCGACCTCGGTGCCGTTCGTGAAGCGCACCTTCTTCTCCTCAGCGCTGATCGACTCGGCCTCGTGCTCCGTCAGAACCTCAATGTCAGCGGCCTGACACAGAGGAAGCGGTCGAGCGAGGTGTTAGATGTGGGCAAGGTTAGGGGTTCGACAAATGAGCGGCCAAAATACTACATTCCAAAACTTTCGACAGGTACCGAGCATTACGTGCAAACGCAACTAACGAGCTACAATTCATCAGAGTAAAACGTTCGAAGGTACAAAACGTGTAGCGTAATGATAAACTCCCACTTCAGGCAGTCATTCGTGATTCGTACCTTTGGCATGCTACCACATATCCATCATTCAGTCAACGACCTACTAAGCTATATTTACATCAGTGAGCCCTCGTAACTCGCATATCGGGACTCCCGCCCCACGTCGCCACCGAGCACCCACCTTGTAGAACTCCGGTGTGCGGAGCCGCAGTTTCTCGGCGTCCATATCCAGCGCCTTGCTGAGTTTGGGCCGGTCGTAGGGCAGGTGCTTCTCCCGTGTGGCCAGTACGAGGCGGCCTGTGAAGCCGCTCTTACGGACCGCCTCCACACAGCTGGCGCCGGCACCGCCTGCCAGTAGGAACAGCGGAGCGTGAGTGGGTCATCAGGCTAACCCACTGGGACATTGAGCATCCAACAGGAATAGAAGCGTGAGTGAAATATTTCGGAGACTATCGGCGAATACAAAATACCCGAAAGTGGTTGACGACAAAATATGTAAATTAATAGAACGACAGTCAATTTAATGAGGTACACGGTCACCCTACAAGCAGAATCCGTCGATCAAAGCAACAACAATCTTATGATTCCGGGTTTCCAGAGCGCCCTTATTGAGTCAATCGCGCTGATCGCACGCTGTACCGCGGCTTCCGCTCACCTCCACCGAGCACCAGAATGACGTCCTGGCCGTCCTCCTTCCGACCGGCCAGCTGTTGTGAGCACTTGTTGGCCTGCAGGTCGGCGCGTCGGGCGCGCACACGGACGCCGCCGTCCGCCTCCACCACCGCCTGGTAGCATGGCACGCCGTCCAGTCCCGGGAAGTCCTCGATGTCACCGGTGGCCAGGCTGAAGCAGGCGCCGTGCCACGGGCAGCGCACGCGCCCGTTGGCTACCACGCCTTTCTCCAGCGGCGCGCCATAGTGGGAGCACTTGGTGCCCAGTGCGGAGACCTTGCCCTCATGCTTCACCACCAGCACCTTACCCTCGCCGGCCAGGTCACAGACCCGCAGTCTGGTGGTGAGGTCAGATGAGGTCACCACCACGAACCAAGATGAGATGGATCCGTATGGTTCAATGCTGTAGCTACATATTAGGAGCAGTAAGAGCTGGCTGATAAAATCCAGTGCTGCTAACATTTAACCCTATTCCTGGCGGGCTCCGCCGGGACAAGAAACTGGCGGGGGGGGGGCCGATTCGGCCCCCCCCCCCTGAGATCTCGAGAACGAAGCAAGATAGCGACAAGCGGTAAACGGCATCGGATACGCACGGCCAAGATCTACAATTTTTACTAAGGTCATTTTCAGGTCAGGTCAAAGATGACGTCACAGGGGTCGAAAAAGTCAAAATGGCGGCGCTAGATATGGAGAGTTTTTCTCGAATAACTTTCGAATTAGTCAAGATAGGAACAAACTAAGGGCATCATCGTGATCCTCTCGTCAATCCGCATCGAATGATATATATGTTGACCTCGAAAGGTCAAGGTCAAAGGTTGACCTCAGGTCACGTGACCTCGAGGTCATCATGTATATCATTCGATGCGTCTTGACGAGCTGAACACAATGAGACCATCCACGCGTCTGTATCTTGTTCCTGTACGGAGTTATTGGCCAAAAACCTTTGGTGACCTTTGATGACGTCACATGACCTCACAGCTGCCCAACAGCAAAACAGACCTCACGGTAGTGAAGGTTGATCGTATATGAAGTCATGTATGGTATATGGGGCCATTCCGACCCGTTTTAGTGGTAAAAACAGGGAGTTGATTTTTCCCCCATTGACTTATAATGGGGAGGTCGCGAAATTGACCTGACCTTAGGTCACCGATATCAAAATTCCGAGATATACAAATTGCACATACTGGTACCCTAACTAAACCCTGAAGAGAAGAAATTGATCGGTCAAAAACTCTAGCTCTGGCGTGATTGCAAACTTTTCTGAGGTAGGGTCACAAAACCGCCTCTGGTGACCTGACCTGAGGTCAGATCAACTCAAATTTTTCAGACATGTTGCGTAGAAGCCTTTTAGGAAAAGTCAGAAAATTTGAGCTTCCTAGCTCAACGCGTTTGGGAGAAATAACCAAAAAACCTCAGGGGGGGGGGGCTCCTGAGGCCCCCCCCCGCCAGGAATACATGGGAAATTGACTCAAGTAGCTCAGTGATATCAACTGTGTGAAAAAAAAACACAAAGAGAATATAAATCCACCATAGCTTAACCCGCGCCGTGCTGGGGGGGGGGGGGGGGAGCGTTTCACGTCCCCCTTCAGATTTTCGCGACTAACTAAGAAACGGCGGCGCGCAACGCCGCCGTTCGGTACACCTGTTCATGCATCTTTTCCGCAAATGTTGTGAAAATTTCAGACCCAGGTCGTTGAAGGTCAGGTCACCAGGTCACGTGAAGTGACATTACCTCAGAAAAAGTTCAAAGGCTCGCTGTAGCTACACCGACCGAACAATCGATTTGAAACTTTCAGCGATTGATAAGAGTAACAGTATATATAAAATGTACATCTCGGATTTTTTATATCCGTGACCCAAGGTCAGGTCAATTTTGCGACCTCATTATAAGTCGACGGGAGAAAATTGAAATGCAGCTTTTTGGACGAATGTCGTTCTAAGCCTTCTCAAACACCTGTTCATAGGTAAACATGGCACACTTAATCGGAAAATTGCACATGTGACCCCTCTGTGTGCCCCTGACTGAGGTCATCTCAGGTCATGAAAATCTGAAAGGTCACCAGCAGTTTTCATCACTATAACTTTTGATAGAGACGTGCTAGAGCGGTGAAAACATGTAAGATGTGTTCAGCGCGACGATACGGATCGACTGATATGCAGCATGACCCTTTCCAGTCACTGGTCAGGTCATGACTTTGTCCTGAGGTCAAATTTTCCAAGTGACCTTTCAAGGTCAACTTATAGTTAATTCGACGCGTCTCGACGAGGAAAACACAATACTGACAAAATTAATGTCATCCCTTTCTTGAGTCAAAAGTTACTACCCAAAAACATTTTTCCTGAAAACTTTTTTTTAGTTTTCGCCCTCTTGGGGCTAAATAGCTGACCTGAGGTCAAATCTGAGAACAATAATCAGAAAGGTCTGTAAAAGTCAAGTGCACTTTTCCTCGGCGCTGTAGCTCTATTGGTTCCCGAGTAAGCCTTGGGAAGTTTCCAAAATTGTTGAAATTGACAAAAATGACTGATGACCTCTGGTGTCGGTGACCTCACCTTTGACCTGACCTTAAAAATGACTGAGATATTCCCACCATTATTTTTTATGCTCTTTCGAGTGCCGCCTACCGTGTGTCGCTGGTAGCCCAGGAGCCGAGTTAGACGGGGGGTGTAAAAACGCCCCCCCCCCCCAGGAACGACACGAAAAACTCAGGCCACCAGCACGACACGAGTTAATGCAACTGAAATAAAAGTAGATAAAATAAACACTCATAATAACTTACTCATTGTCTGCAAGCTCATTTTCTTTGCAAACAACAGCTTCAACAAATTCACCTTTGGCCGCACCTGGGAAACAGGGTAAATATGTTGCAAGCTACACTCTACAGTACCTACAACAAAGAAGTGGACCCTGGTTTTCTATTTTAGAGGAAGCAGCACTATGACTCATTTGAAACTGATGTTAAATTGATTCACTTTTTCGTCCATTAATTCAGATCTTTGATTTAGGAAAAGCACATTCTGAGCCACAATGCTCAACTCAAGACAGAAAAGTGATATCTATGATAAAGTGAGAGCAGTGAACCTTGTCAAACTGGTAACTATTTACCTATCTAATGAAGTTTGTGAATAACAGCCTTACCTTTTTTGCAACCAGCACGAGTCAGAACGGAACCCATTATGAATAACCTGAAAAAAGCTGATTGTTCAAACATAGCACCAAAGTGAGCTGAACTTCAGTATAATGGCAGGTGAACACAAAACTGTTTTTGAAGGGGACAATAGGGAGCTCAGCACAACAAAACTGCCATGCAAAGGCAAAACAATAACCAGGTCAGAGGTCATAATGTCAGGCCCTGAAGTCACCCATGACCCAAATCACAAATGTAACCTTTTTGCCTTTGCATAGCAGAAATTAGTGGAAGCCCAACAAAATACATCAATATATAAGATTAACAGAACTAAGATGAAGAAGCATAAAAACAAGTTGAGAGGCCGTAGGCCACACCACATGTTTGATGCTAGTTTATCAATAATTATATCTCAAGCTTGTGACCAACCAGGTCTTACCCTTGTGCTTTCGGGGAAGGCCCTCGGAGCTTTATTCAAAAGACTTTTTATATACACTGTGCAAAAGACCTCGGACGATTTACCAGCATACGCTTCATAAATCAACACAAGATTGACGGGTATTAGCACCAGCGCAAGCGGCTTCTCGACGCAAAATGTGTGGATAGCGCTATCAAGGATTTGTAATTGTAAATTACTGTGTGGATAAATGGTGAGGCTCAATGCTTCTGCGCTTATATGACATCATAGAATTTGAATGTTTCAAATCTTTCTAAAACGGAATTCCTCTTGATATCTATGCTATGCTCTTGAAGTTCATGCTCCAGATCCTCCAGATGAAATGTTTAAAATATTGAATTTGATTTTTTTTGTTTTTGTGATGCCTATTGTTTCTGATTTTTTCAAACTCCACAAAAAATCATGGCCACCATTTGTCACCCATAAAAAGTCTGTTTGATGAACAACATGTCGAACGATTGCAAACCCAAAGTGGTTCAAATTCATCGCCTTGTTAATGTTTCAAATAAGACACCATTTTCATCAATTTATTTTTTAATATTTTCTACGTGAGTATCAAGTGAATATGACATGACGTAACAAGACCAAATAAAAAAGGAATTTGCTAATGAATGTCACAGCTGCGCCATTCTGTCGAATCTGACCAAATCTGACTGTGTACAAGTTGTTTACCATGGATGTACACTTTGAGTGGGTGTAATTTGAGGTGAACTTGAATAGGTCAAGGTGTATATGAGTGGGATCCTATTGCTGCTGCAGCTCCAGTTACAGCAAATATTTCTTATCCAGCATTTTCATGACTTATTCATTGCATAGCATCTTCCAGATGGCAGATATAGATGCTGTTTACATCAAGGCAATTGGTTGTCTCAATTCTCATTGACTTGTGAGATCAGTTTGGAAAGAAGCTTGCTGGTGGGTACCAGCCTGCCTACCTGTACCTTTCCTTTTTACTTACTTATACTTATACTTATAAAATGCAGAATTTAGGAAGGCCTTTTGGCCTCTTGGATCCTGACGGGACGAGCTTTGTGTCAGTGTGTTACTGCATCAGTCGTTGGAATGTATGGTGTATTTGGCGTGAGCCCAGTGTTTGTCAGGCCTGGCCTTGAAGCTATTGACAGAGGGCGCATCGATGACAGCGGATTGCAGAGAGTTCCAGTCGTTCAGGACTCGTATGCTGAAGGCGTTCCGCCGCACTCTTGGCTTGGACAGCTTCCACTCATGCCCTCAAGTTCTGGTCATCGTCGGCGCCGATAGTAGAGCGATGGTAAATTCAGGCTCCAGAGTCTCTCCTCGCATGGCAGGTGGAGGATGCTGGCAACCAGTCTCGTGGCCCGTCACTGTACCCGTTCAATGCGCTTCTGGTCTTCTCGGTTGAAGGGTCCCCAGACCGCGTTGGTGTATTCAAGATGGGGGCAAACCATGGTCCGGAAGAGTGTTGGAAGCGTAGTCTCATCAATTACTCCGAAGGATCGAGGAATGACTGTCAGAATGTGTGACGATTTGGCCACAACTGCGGCAGCCTGTTCCCGGAACTTGAGCTGCCGGTTGTCTATCTTGACCCCCAGGTCCTTTTCCACCAACATCTGATTTTTGATATACTAAAAATGCACCTGCTGTTAGGATGTCCCATAGCTCAGTCATTAGAGCACACTGGCGGATCCAGGGGGCGGCAGGGGCTAAAGCCCCCCCCCCCCCATTCGAAACTCGACAGGGGAGGCAATATGAAATAGCCCCCGCCCCCCCCCCCCCAATGCACCGGGAATGGTCATTAAAATGATTGGTGGCTGGTAAGTTCCAGCCTTCGATAGTGAAGTTCCTTTAGAAATTCCTTTCCGCTAATAAGTTGGTAGCGATTTGGCAGTTATTAAATTTGGCAGTTATTCAAGGATGGAAAAGTGGCGCCCAACTGACTTTCAGCGTCGGAGATTTATCCTAGGTAAACTTTTTTGGGACACCCTAGTGTACAGTTGTGAGGGATTGCAGGTGTAAAACGACCATCGACGCAAATGCTTACTGCCAGTAAAACTGGAAGTGGGAAATAGCTCTTAAAAAATGGGAATGAGAATGCAAAATAATTTTCATTTGGATGTCAGTTTGCACCCAAATCGACAAATTTTGGGATACTGCTGTGACCTGGACTGGACGGTCAACCAATGACTAAGAACCCTAAAATTGGGTACCATCGGCTTCCTCTTGTTACTCACGGGCGACACGCTTGTTTTTTCCGCGAAGCTCTAGCTTGATCAGGGGCCGAACGGCAGGGGTGTCCAACCAAGAATCTTGGTCCAACCGACACCTCCCGGCCCGCGAAGGCTGCGCCAAGCACCAACCCGGACTGGGCTAACTGGTCAACAAAAGCAATTTGAAGTGTTTTTAGAGTACCTACCTAATATAAAGGCACGGGTCGGGTGGGCTACCATTTCTATATTTTTTTATCAGGGGTGGAGATCTGTCAAAATGTCATGGGGGGTCCAGGCCGGGCAGATGGAGGCGAGCTGGATGCAGTACCATTGACTTACATAGCAGTAATTCGTTTTCAGGGGGGTCCTGAGGACCCCCCCCGAGATCTCCACCTCTGTTTTTATTATATTTTTAGTTAAAAAATATCGTTTCAGGGCTGTGACGAAAAATAAGTGGCCTAAATCCGATGAGAAAACAGGATTTGGGGGTACCCTAGGTTTGGCTCCTGGCATGAGTTGCCCCCCCTCCAAAAAAAAAAAACGCAGGTCTGGATCTGCCAGTGTTAGAGCAGTGGTCTCCTGGTGTGGTGGTAAGAGCCCGTATTTGATTGAGTTGCTCAGGCACTCATTGACTCCTGATGGGGATAACCTGTGATTGGTGGGAGCAACTGGAGCCAGTTGAAGTCGGTTTGGTGGGACAGGTTGTTTCCTGCTTTGGTGGTCCGGTGGTCAATTAATTTAGAGTTCTTTCCATGGGTGGAGAATGTTTGAAAAAGTTACCCCGGCCGGCGACCGATAGTCGCGGGAAGACGATATACTCACGTTGTTCTCAACGGTCATCATCAAACCCCTATTCTGACGCATGGAATAGGGTGCTGTGTTTGCTCAAGGATGAGCGTTGTATCCGACACCGTATTATTCATAACATTTTTGGAATGATCGAAAAGACAATTTCCTTTTAAATTATTATTTCTTTTTACTTAAACTTCCAATTTCACACCGAACCCAAACCAAACCATATGCCATTTTGAGTACCTAAATGTTGCGTTTTCAGCTTTTTATTGTGTCTCAAAATAGCTACAAAAAGACAACTCACCATAGTAGAAGCTTTACAGAGAAATTGACAGATCGAACCAAGCAAAGCACTAAAATAGGTCACTGACATCCACGGGCGTAGCCTTTTTCAATGTTGGGCGGCTCTTATAATACAAACAGGGAGTCGATCCAGGAATATCGACTGGTCCCGGTCTCGTAGCTCAGTTGCTAGAGCATTGGATTCCGCGTGGCGAGAGCACGTGGCCCGGTTACAACAGTCCGAGTTCGAAGCATGATGGCCGCTCGGTGTTTATGAGCACCCTGACGGGTACGCTCATAAACGGGTGTGGTTGCGGTTGGTGGCAGGTCAGTTGGAGGCAATGAGGTCAAGCAGTAGTTTTGAAAAAGTGCGCCGAAGGCGCGCCAAAATTTCGAAACTGAACAGGATTTGAGAGCAATCTTGGCATTGGCGACCACACGCGGGTCTTAGGGTTGGAGATTATGGCAAGTTAAGTAAATGGTAAATACCTACCTGATTTGCAATATTACGCCCATGGAAGTCAACATTCGAAGAGCGTGAGTTTTCTTTTCTCGTATGGAGACAGCTTTTAGGATTTACAAGAGTAGAAAAGTTACCCCGGCCGCGCCGGGGTAGGCTGAAAGTTACCCCGGCCACGGCCGGGGTGGCCGGGGCAGGTTCTCCACCCATGGTTCTTTCAACGAATTTGGCAGGGCTTACGAGCGTCGTTTGAATTTTGCGAATCCGTCCAGTAGTTTCGGAGATACGAGGGGGGGGGGGGCAAAAATAGCCCTCCTCCCCCCACCAGGTCGCGTTATAGGTAAACAGACCCCACCAGGGCACGGGTTAAAATATAAATATGCTAGAGCACTGAAAACACCACGAATGTCTTCAGTTCAACAATACGAATCGAATGACATGCAGCATGACCTTTTCCGTGACTTTGACCTAAGGTCAAATTTTTAAGTTGACCTTTTCCAGTCAATTTATTGTTCGTTTGACGCGTCTCGACGAGACAAAGGTGATGCCGGTAAAATAAGTGTAATACAAATTTGGAGTAAAAAATTATTATTCAAAAACTGTTCTGCAGAAACATCATATTCTGAGTTTTGCCGTCTGAATGCTTCACCGTTGGCCTAAGGTAAAATTTAAGAATAAAGCTCAGAAAGGCCTTTGAAAGAGCTATCGAATGTGCCTTGTTGCAGCGCTGTAGATCTATAAGTTCTCGACTTGTGCACTGAGTTGTGAAAAGTTTTCAACATCTGGAACAAAAGCTCGCGAACATTGGTGACCTTCAGTGACTTCAGGGATGACCTGATCAAAAAGACCGGTATGATTCTGATTTCTGAAAGATTTTATAGCGAACTATTTTATTGCTTATTGCCGCGTCTTTCTGGCTTGCTTACTTCCCAAGATACCTTGGTGTGGCCAACCCCCCCCCCCCCCACCACCACCACCACCATGGCGAAATTGACTGATACGGTCACTCGGGCGCGGTTTAACGTCGTCCCTGGCTCTGTCAATCTTCCAATTCAAACATATTATTTATAAAAAAAAAATACAGTTCAGGAAGGTCAAATGTGTGTCATGGGGGCTGTAAAGCTGGTGCTATTGAAACATTTGATCAGCTTGCAGTAGTTTTTCTGCGTCTTGGGCGGAAATAGCGTTTGCACCCTGGGCTCAAAATTGAATGTAAAGCACACCATAGGCCCGTCCCGTACATATTCAGCTGTTTGTGCTGTTGTCAGCCGAAATAGGCTCCGCCCACCATTTCTGGCTATCTGACGGAATTGCACACATTTGGCTGATGGGGAAATTGAATACAATATTTAGATGTTAAGGCATATTATGAAAATTATTACTGATAATACCCGATAGAAACCAGACTGGAAAAAAATCCATGTTACCGTCGACATGTCCGGCGCATCGGATGGATTGCGCCGAATTTTCGGTGCATGGATGGACGAAGAAATTTCGGCGCAAGCGCATTTTTTTTCGGCGCTCTAAGGAATTTCGGCGAGACTTAGCCTTAGCTAACTTCACTCGCTACCCACGATCTACATTTTAAATCATAAAGTAGATTCGATGGCGGGTAGGGGAGAGCGGGGTAATTTGGCCGTTTTTTTTAGAAAACGATGTAGCTTAAAATTGACGACACATTTCTGCATTTTCTCAACGCTGGCAGGTGTCGCATTCATTTTACTTCACTGGACAGTGAACTTGAAATGATAGAGTAATTACTTATATTGAAATTGTGACGTATTACAAAGGTCTGCAAGGCGGCCAAATTGCCCCACTAGCAGGGTTATTTGGCCGGGGGTGTGGGACAATTTGGCCGGTGTTAGTTTGCGGTCGGGATTTTCTCTTATATTGCGAGTCAGCTTCAGATTCAGCAATGACGTGTGTCCTATGACGCATTTGCCGTATTTTGGAGGTTGACTCAGGGGTCACAGGGGTCAAAATAGCCAAATTAGCGGCTCTAGATGCGAAGACAGTTTTTTACGAATAACTTTTGAAGTAATCAAGCTAGGCCAAAACTTTGAGTACCATCGTAATTCTCTCGTCAGTCCGCATCGAAACATATATGTGTTGACCTCGAGAAGTCAAGGTCAAAGGTTGACCTCAGGTCGCGTTACCTCAGGTCGCTTGACCTCAAGGTCACGTGATTTCAAGGTCATCATGCATATCATTCGATGCGCCTTGGCGAACTGAACAGAATGAGACCATTTGTGTGGCTGTGCCATTTTTATGAAAGGATTTATTAGCAAAAAACGTTTGGTAACCTTTGATGACGTCACATGCTCTTACAGTTGACCAATCGGAAGTAAGGCATCAAAGTAGTCAAAGTTGGTCATGAATCATGTCATTTATGGTACAATTGACCATGAAAACTCGGCCGTCCCTTGGGCCGTCCTAGCATAGTGACCATGAGCGCACCGGCCAAGTTGCCCCGCTAGTCCCGGCCAAATTACCCCATATTGCCATTCTGAAATTTTTTGTCTATAAAGTCATCACGGCTATACGGAATTAGATGAAATTGCTCTTGGAACCGCTGAACACTCCCAAGAATGGCGCTATAATGTCTGAATTCGTTTTTAGCCCAAATACTACATGTTATACAACTTTGTAAACAGAAGCAAAAGTTGCCATTTTCTAATGTAATTAACGTTTTATTAATTTTGAATAAAACTACGAGGGGCAAAGTTTTGACATTTGTCCTCCAGCTATTTCTAGCCATGACAAATGAATAGAGACTAGAGTTATTTCACTCACTTTTATTAGACATGGTACAGGTGGGGGCGGCCAATTTACACCACCGGCCAAATAACCCCACTCTCCCCTACGTAATTTTCATCCGAGCCCTTCTGAATTCCGGCCCCGAGCCCCCTGGGACCTGGGTTGTCAGTTGTGACAGCTCTCGTAGTTTGGACGATTGTAACTAACGTGCGGACTGGGCTGGTTGATCTTCGGCCGCTGAAGTTGTGTCTGGAGTAGACGGTACCGGAGTGAGGCTACTGGCATTTTGAACCGTCTTTCAGTGGATTTCGCAGGACTCGAGAAGTGATCAGCTTACTAGGCCTGAGGGTCCTTCGCGTGCCCTATAACGTAGCGCGCAATTATGTTCGAGAGGTAGATTGTTCGCTGAGGCGTCTGAAGGGAATCGAAGAAGGTTTGCTTGCAGTACAGTATGATAATTGAAGTTAGTGCTCCAAATGATTGTCTTTTGTCCGGTGCTGTTGTTATGTCGAGCGATATTCCCGATACCATTCATACCTCCCGGTATTAAATGGCACAGTACCTACGAAACTACTTATTAAAAAATCCGCTGCACAAGGCCGCGGTAAAGGGGAGCAAGCCGACCCCTTACCCCAGACCCCCGGCAAATGAGCGCAGCGTCACGCGCATACACAGGGAAGCCGGACAGCTCTTTAGGATAGGATCAGGTAGGACCTCGCCAGCTCAGATAGGAACTCACCTTGCACTTGTGCAATTGCAGGGCTCACAGTTGTGCTCGTTTGTCGCTCCAAAAACGTCTTATTGGTTATTGCTGTTTCGGGAACCCAACCTAGCAGAGTGCAGACAGACCCAGGCGCAGCAAATACCGTTTTTACCGGCAACCGCAGTCCCCCTACTAGTGATGTGGCTACTGGCTTGTAGTATTTCTGTAGATACTTACGCTGAAATGTTTCCCCAGGTTTGCAACGCTAAGGAATTAGCTGGTCAAGGTGCAATGTGCACTGTTTTTATTGAGATGAGGCCCTTGCTGCACTTCGTTCTGTGTTCCCCGTCCATCTGCATAATTTGCAATTGCTAACTGGATTAGTACGTCAGCCCCACTGCCCTCAGCAACAGCGCTCAAGGTCCGGTCTGAGCGGACGAATTAGCGTTATGTAACGCCGCGAAAGGTTTACGCCGATTCGTACCCTCTCTCCTCCGCGCGACGGTCGGTGCACCGTGCAGCACACCCCCGGGCCCCAGACGGCAGATGCCCCCGGCAATCGGAGAAGCTCGCGCGGCCGCGCAAGGTCGCCCGTTGGTACGCCGTCCTGACGCCCCGGCCGTCGCAGTCGGGCGGCGGTGCAGGACGCGCGCACTTGGGTCGACTGAACGGGCACCATGCCGGCTGAGGCCACAATCAGTACGTGATAGGAACACGCTGTGGTGTGATGAGCGTGGTGATGACGGTAATGGATCGTAGTTCTCGGTGCTGCTTTGAATTTCCGGACAGGCGACTATTGTTTTGACTTTTGAGTTACGGTTTGGTTGTGCGATCGCCCGGACGTTGTCGTTTTGAATCATCAGTAATTGTGTTTGGTATATAGCACCGCTCAGCTATTCAGTGTCCCGGGGTTTGTGCTTGTTGTCAGCAGTGCAGGCAATCTCCGGCGACCTTTTGTATACGGCCCAGTGACTGACGAGTGACGGGTATTGTGTTATGTATAGGGTTCAGTGTATGCGACCAGTACTGAATGACCGGTAACTGGTACTGATTCTCTTCATTTCTCAATCACATTTAAATAAAAACGATCATGCTATTCCTCTAGGACTTTAACTGACGACTCTGTGTGTCTGTTACAGCCGCGGCTGTAGGGCCGACCGTGCCGATGGCGGCCACCGACTCCCAGCCGGCGGCGGGAGACGATGACGAGGTAAGGTCACACTCTTCATCCCCCCCCCCCCCCCACCCCCGGAAGAGCCGCCAGTCGCGAATGAGATGTAGATTGCAGAAGCTCGCCTGGGATGTATTATTGCCGTGGGGTCGTGGGAGACAGAGCCGGGACATGTTTTGCGTGTATGTTCTTTTGTGTTTGCCGCCAGATCACCCATCTGTAATTGTTTAATCCTACGTTTGGTTATTTGTATGGTAAACTGATGAAACATCAGAGATCCTTTTGCGGTACATCAAAGTTGACATTTTCATTTGTGGGTAGGGGAGAGTGGGGTAAGATGCCCAGGGTGGGAAAGACGCCCCACCCCCTCTAGCGGCGAAACAAAGAATCGAACCTGAAAATTAATGTTCTTAGCGTAAAGCGGAAGCCTGCCTTGTTAACTGCACAAAAATTTGCTAAGCTCAGTTTGGCAACGGCTGGCTGGTGATTGCATGTTTTTTATTTGCTGCTTTCAAAAAATATTTTGGTGTCAAATATGTAAATATCAAAGAAGGTAGATAATTTTTGCGTCCCTTGCTATAGTCGTGATACATTAACATGCGTGGACTGTGTCCCAAACAGTTTGTTTCAGGGTGTAGTTTTATGGCTAACAAATTGTACTGATTTAATGTTACTTCGGTACCTTGGGGTAAGATGCCCCCTGTCCTGATGGGGAAAGACGCCCCCCTAAATCACTAGGCAGTCCTTCAAGCAGCCCGTCAAATCATTTATTACATACTTGTGATGCGAGACAAAAGCCGATCTGGGACTCTCGGCCCACACAGCGACTTTTTGGGCGGCATCTGACTCTGAGAGCCCTCACGACGGCCTCTGTGGGCCCCATTATTGGCTCCAGGGCCCCTCACGACATCCTTTGAGGGCTCCCACGTTGGCTCCACGGGCCGCGCTGGCATCTGAGGTCCCCACGATGGGCTCGAGGGCCCTCAATCATCATGAAGACCTATAAGGGCCCCACAGTGGTCTCCGAACGCCACCACGGAGGCTTGTTTGGCCGCGTTGGACTATGATGGCCCTAACGATGACCTCTGAAGCCCCTTACGACTACTTTTGAGGGCCCTTACGATGACGTTCGGTGTCTACTGCAGGCTCGAAGGGACTACTGATTCGTTCAGGCGATTCACGTGCCCATTTATGTCACTTATAGTGCAGGGGGCATCTTCGGGGCGTCTTTCCCACCCTGTGGGGTAAGACGCCCCCTTTCACTTCTTCGGGAAGATGCTTAATAGCAAAAAAAGTCATCATATTTCAGGCACGAAAGTGTGATATTTTTGGAGAAAAATGATGTCGGCTTCCGTTGAAACTCCAAGTTTTTGCTTTCCGACCGTCATTTTCGAATAATATATGACATAGCAAAACCCTGGGCATCTTTCCCACTCTCCCCTATTTATCTTATATTTTGTATGGCGCTGTATCTCTTCATTTCTTCATGACAACGGTAGGTATAAAACAATTGTATGCCTGTCCCTTTGACAGTATTGAACATTGAAATGTTCGAGTGAAGAGCCTTTTGTTGTTCGAAAAATCGAAAAATGGTCATGGGCCACCGGTTCCGATGGAGATTTTAAGAGAAGGGAATACGAATTCTCGATTCCCGTCAATAAATCATATTTCATTTTTTCTCGGATCGTTACTTCAGAAAGCTACTCACGTAAACAAAAGTGGAATGACTGCCTACACCAGCTCATAAACTGGTGGCCAGCATTCGAGATGGTATGATCTCAGACCGTCAGCGTGTCGCCATTTCCGTTCAGACGGCTACTTTGTCGGCTGTATGGCCACTCTGCTGCACCCGCAGCCAGCACGTGGAACCGTCTCCCCCTCCCGTCCCGGCTCACCCCACCGCCGCCCCCGGCTGTACGCAATGCCGCCGGAGGCGTGGCCGTAAACTGTTTTACTGGCCTCCCAGTGCCATCCCCACGGGCCGAGGCCCCACCACTGCAGGCCGAGAGCTGGTGTTAAGGTAGCGCTGTTATGTAAGCGAATCCCATGGGTCTAAATGTAGCACTTCGACCGCGACCATGGGGATGATGCTCGATTACTTGGGGGATGCAGAATTGCAGAGGTCTTCTCAAACCTTCCGAATCTCTAGAGGCTAGCGCTACTATCATAGGTCATTCTGAAGGATCGTAAATTTATGTGTGTGTTCTCACGCTGGCCACGGAAATATTTAAGTCATGTTCGTCTTAAAGCACTGCTGTCATTAGTATTTGACGTTTTTCAGCGTCGAATGTGAATAAGAAAATGAAATATTTTGTTTTCAGTTTTGCTCATCGTATTCGATTCCTCAATTTTGTTCATCGTATTCGATTCCTTGCGTACAGTTGTTTCCTCAACGGCTACCGCCTCTCCGAGTTTCCCTCGCATGGATAGAGGCCACCTACTGATATTCCGGTGGCTCTGGTCAGCTTTTGGAAAACCCAACAAATAAATTGCATTGTTCCAAGCACGGTCGCTCCCGGATGACCTCGTGTTTCGTAAGAGCTCCTCCCGTACCAGAGCTCAGTGGGTTTTATTTGCTCTAGACCGTTATTCAAGGCTAGAAGACCCGTTCTCCTGATTACGAAGAATAGTGCTGTTGTAATTACTGACGTCATGTTTTCCGTCCAGTTTCAGGATGCCGTGGAGGAACAGGCAGTGTTTACGTAAGTATTGTGTGAGCTGCTTACGTATGCTGCACTTGGTTTGGAATGATTGGTATTCGGCGGGTTCACCAGACGTGCACGTAGCACGTAATTCCGCAGATTATCTTTGAAATGTCCCCTTCATAACTGGCTAATCGCTGTGTGCACTGGTGTCCGTAAATTTACGAGGTTTGCTGTTGATGAAACTCGCCTTTTTTAAATGCGGTTTCTAAAGGCAGATTGATTTTATATTCTTTTTTCCCTTGTGCCCGGTAAATTTAGTCGATTATTCATACCCATTTTTCGCATTTATCTGTCGATATCCTAATGCCGCTTATCGATAGATCTTGTGCTCTCTAGTGGTTTTCAGTAGTAGACCTAGACCTAGTGCCGGTGCAGCGGTGCAGGCCTGTGCCACCGGTTCTCTAGAACCCGTTTCATCTGCACCGGCTAACCACATTCAAGGTCGTGGTAATCCGTTGATAATACGCGTAATTCACCAATTATGGGTACGGCGTGGCACTGTGCTGACTGAGTGGGCGCCTTATAACTTGGGTTCTGTCTGCCCCTAATTCTGAATTATCCTCACATAATCAGCCGTAGTGGTCGGACGACGCCCACTGTGCAGTGTGCCCCGATAATCCGTCTGACCCAGTATGACCCCGTGACCTCGTTTTGACCCCGTGACCCCGTTGTGCCCCCAGGCTGCCGGAGCACCACGGTCCGATGACGCTGGAGCGGTCTCTGGACGAGTGCCGTCTGGCCGTCCGCTACTTCTTCAACAACCAGTTTGACGAGGCGCGAGAGATAATGCGGCCATGGTCAGTGGATTTTCACCCGCGCACTCCGCACCCTGTATCCTTGGGAGTGGATCACCAACACTCTTGAGTCTTGGTCTATTTTTTCGTTTTGTCATACTTTTCTTTTTGACAGTAAACCCGGTGAATGCTAAGAATCTCCCATGTCCCTTCATTGCTGTGGTCTTTCTCAAGTGATGACCTGATTGTGCTTACACGACTCCCACCCTGCTCTGACCTTGCTTTGTCGTGCTGTCGTTCTCTGTCTCCCTCTATCTTCCATACCGGGCGCGGTCGGGAACCAACCTGGCGCGTCACCTTTCCCGGGGTCGGGGCCAGCGCGGGACGCTCCGGGCTTCCCTTCACGGTCATATCGACCGGGCCGCGGCCTGTCGCCGGGCCTAACCCACTAACACTGCAAATAGCGCCGTCTGTGGCAGTAGGGGCCTCAAGGGAGCAGCCGAGACACTGTGGGAGGAGTTGTCCAGCTGGGGTCACTGATGTGACGTGAAGGAAGTTGTCTAATAACTCCCGTTCCATGCCGTTGAATTAGTCCATTGATGAGTCAATTTTCACGTTACAAACGCTGTGAAGTACCGGCGTCCCCGTTCATTTTTTCTGCGTTCTGTTTTCCCCACGACATCGCGACATCGCCACGTCGCTTGTCACGGCCTCAGATAATGCCTACTGCCAACGCTCCTTCACATCTGTCCGCCACCAGCTGTATTTGTATGTTCAGTTGTATAAATAATACTGTATCGATTTATTAGTCTTTCATAGTTTCATGTCTGGTTTTTTCATACTTGCGGCTTTGTCTATGATTGGTCCGTTCATACCCGTTGATGAACTTTTGAATGAACTGAACTGTGCCTCTGCCGATGCTGACACATGTGTCTTTTGACAGGCGCGACTCAAGTATGTACCACGCCATGGGCTACGGCACGATGCTCTATCTGCAGGCCATCATGACGTTCGACCCGGTGAGTTGGCGATGGGGTGGGCGGGTGGTTATGGATGGGGGCGGGGAGTTGTGATAGCCGAGCGGTGCGGCCGTGGGTGGTCCCACTGAGTCCGGGTTGATGATGAAATTTGTCCGGAGATCGATTAGAAAATGCGCAGTTTGCTCCAGTTTCGGGTAACTGGTGATAACTCAGTGCTGGGAAGCATGTAAGGTCCGTTACCAATCTTACTACTGTGCTGGCCACATCCCACAGTATCGCTGTCCCGTCCGTTCCCGCCCCTGTGACCTGATCAGCTGTGTTGTCCCACTTACGCTTACAATACGTCCCATTCCCACTAACTTACACTTACTGCTTACTTACACTTACTCCCACTGACACTGACTTACACTTACTTGGCGTGTGTAGTCCCTGCCCTTCTCAGTCCCTTTGACGGCTGACTGTGTATTCGTCCCACCACAGAGGGATATCGAGGTAGCCGTGGACGTCCTCCGCTCCAGCGTCGAGGTCTGCAACCGCTTCCGTCGAAAGAGCACCCTCGGGGAGACGGTCAGCAAGATCGTCAAGAAGCCCGACTACGGCCTCTACACGGAAGGTGCGTAGGGGTGGGATTTTGACTGCAGCTTTCCCCGGCACGGCCCGAGCAAAGTTGATATGTGACGAGAATGCGTATGGTGATACGCTCCATCGATAACGATGATTAAATTCACTGAACTGAAAGGTACTTTTAATAAATGAAACCGTGCCTTCGTAGGCGATAAGTCATCTCCGACAGTTGCGTGTTCGTTGACCGGACGTGCTCTATTTTACAGAGGAGGCGCATGCCGAGCTCTGCTACGCAAAGTGCCTACTTCTGCGAGCCGTGCTCAACTTCGTGGAAGATGAAACGCTCATCAGCCTGGTGAAGGGTGGACTGAAGGTCAAAACGTGCTACACCTGCTACAGGTAGGCTGGCGGGAAAGCGTGGCTTAGCAACGGGATGATGTTGGGGAAGGGTGGTGAATGTGAGGCTTGTTGTTGATACAAGTGTCGATGGTTCATCTCTTATGGTGCTGCTATCTGCATATGTATTTCCTAGTCTGACTCATTCTGATATTCTAACTTTCGATCCTTTGCTCTTGGTTAGTAGTCAGGCTTAGTCAATGTGGTGACTTTTTTCCTTGCTGCGGTTATTCGAGTGTTGACATTTTTAATGGCCTTTGCTGCAGAATGCTAAACGTGGCCAGCACTTAGTGGCCGCATAAATGGATTGATAATGTACCCTTTTAGTGTGTCTATCGCCGCTAATGGGGAACCGTTACGTCACATACGCTGTCGCAGTTTAAGCTGTTTCCGTCCCCAGTAGCGACGAAAGCTGAATTGTGTTGACCGCTATAACCGTCCTCGACAGGGACTGCTGGCAGATGCTGAAACACAGGGACTGGACGGGATCCAAGACGAAACAGCACTTTGAGGGCGGAGTGCGACTGGGCGTCGGCACTTTCAACCTGGTAAGGCGGTATTGGGGTTCAGGAAGTGGTTATAGAGTCGACTCGGGAGACAGAAAATGTGGACGGTGATCTTATTTTTAGCATTCAATGGTTTCGTAGGAACGTTGGTATGGGCTGAGAGACATGATTGGTTGCTTTGATGACGTTCATTTCTCACTTTTTGACGTGAATGCTGATGAATTGTTCTCTTGCAGATGATCTCACAGCTTCCGGCGAAAATTCTGAAGCTTCTGGAGTTCGTGGGTTTCACTGGAAACAAGGTACGAATGGGCAGGATCTGTGTGTTTAGTGCGGTACTTCATACTTATGTTCTGATCTGTTGATTTTTAACCCGCGCCCTGATGGGGGGGGGCCATTGGCCCCCCCCTGTGGTTTTTCTTAAATAGCGAGAAAACGGCGGCGCGCAGCGCCGCTAAATTTTGGGTAGGTACCTTACCGGACATCAATTTGACACCTTCACACAAAAAATCAAGTCACAGGTCACCTCAGGTCAGGAGTTATTGAGGTCAAACTGAGGTCATGTTCGAGTAAAAATGAGCAAAAAACATGACATCTTGAAACGCTCACCAATTCTACAGTTAACAAGCAATTTTAAAGTTCTTTATGTGGTTGTGTAGACAAAAGACGGCGCTACAAAACTGCTATCTCGGATTTTCGAAATTTTGGGATTTTGACCCAGGGTATATTGAATTAGGGGGTAGGACTAAGTTTAGTAGGCATGATCTCAGCAATTATCTTGTTTTATATGGCGGTTTTCATTATCACAATATTATTTTTGATATCATGAAGTTTGTATATCTCGGTTTTACGAAAAATAGTAGGGCAACAAGGATAAATTTCGCGAAAAAATTATTTTAGTTGGAAACATCCATTCTGGTATGCAAAATTCAGTATGAAGCCCAGTATGGTGACCGTCTAGTGTGCTTCCAAGGCTGAGTACCTGATATCAACAGGAGTTGTTTACTATTTTGCCTTACGTTGCTAGGTGGTTGCTAGGGAGCTAAGGATACTCTCTTGCGCGATCATTTGCACTTATTTTTCCTCATTATATCGACATGTTGCTGTTTCTGAGACCTAACTCATGCTAAGAAAAAAGCAGTTTTCCTAAAATGTGTATTTAAGTGCCGTAGTATTAACACAGCTCTGCAATTCTGCTTAAATATCTACAAAATCCTGACTTCCCGGAAAATTGTTGGTGGTGATGGGGATCGAGCCCGTCGATGAAAAGTAAGTCAATATTCAAAGGCTTCAAAACGTTATTTCTTGTCGTTCTGTGAAATAGCAATGCAAAGACCGATGATAGTACCAGTGTTGAGCTTTCCAATGAAGCATTGCAATTAGTAGTAAGGTTATTATCACCTAACATATCTTCCATCAAATATTAGAATTCTGCCATTGTCTTGCTGTAGAACAGGATTACTTTCAGTCTCTTGGGAACACGATTTGTCGGTCTCAGATCGAAAAACACTTCCAAAAGCGATAATAGACAATGAAATTTCCCACCTGATAGCATCTCGGGTTTTTATATATCCTGTCTAGAAATTTTCAGAAATCCGACGTAAATATGGCCAATTTCGTCAATTTCCGAATTTTTGCCATTGGGTCTAATGTAAAGCATGTCTACTTTCAGTCTCTTGGGAACACGATTTCCGTACCTCAGATTGAAAAACACTTCAAAAGTCGCAGATAGTAGATGATTTAATCTACAAGATAGCATCTCGCTTTTTTCTGTATCTGGTCATGTATCTTCATAAAACCCTCTCAAATATAGTCAATTTAGCATTAAAGTCTATGGATTTAGAAGAATTTTCATATCCGACTAGATTTGGGCTTCCATGTCTGTTGACCGGGGGCCGTTTTGACCCCCCCCCCCCAAAAAAATGATTTTTTTAGAAAAACTCAAAAAATTTCCAAAAAATTTTCGAATTTCGAAAAAACCGGAATATATGTGATAGCCCCTGCGCTCTTCGATATACATATCAAATTTTAGATCGATACCTCTTTTTTTGGCCAAGTTATAGCGAAAAAACTGTTAAAAATTGATGACGTCAAATTTTTGAACTCAATTTTTAGCAATTCTAGACCTCGTAGCGCAAAACGGAGACCACCATTGAACTCCCCGTGACGAGCTGCATCGAATCGATACCCATTTTATGCAAAAATATCAACTTTGAAATTTGACCTAATTTGACCTGACCTTGACCTGACCTTGACCTGACCTTGACCAAAACGTGACCTAAGCTGGCCCTAAAGTCTGTCTGACCCACATAATCGCATTTGTCATGTAAAATGGACCATAAAACATGTATCACACGACACTTTCATATTGTGACCCCCCAGTGACCTGACCTCTGTGACCTGACCTGGTATCAGTGATCTCAAATAGCAAAATATGTGTTTGAAGAACATTTCCCCATCGATGATTTTCAATGAAATGCATTTTAAACGATTTTACAACGCATTTCTTGAAATGCCTGTAAACGGTGAAAATTCGACCTTTGACCTGGCCTGTGACGTCATCGGTTTGACCGAGGTCAATGAAATTGGGTCACAAGGTAGTTCCCCGTTGGGGCTATCCAACACCATTTACCGCTTGTCGCTATGTTGCGTGGTTCTCGAGATCTGAGGGGGGGGGGCAAAATGCCCCCCCCCCCCATCATACCGCGTTGCTCGGCAGACCCCATCTGGGCGCGGGTTAATTATCTGCAACGAGTTACACAACAGATGAAGATCTCGGTACGATCTCTGATTCATACTGTGGGATATATTCACGCTGGTACCGATGGGATTTATGACACAAAATTCCAAATGTGTCCAATGTCGTCCTTTTTCTTCATCGCTATTCTGCTCACTTCTGCCGTCTTTACCGTGTACTGTTTTCTGAAATGACACTAACAACTGTCTGAGATGAGCGTGTTTCTTTCACTTCTCTGTCTCTGCTAGGCGAAGGAGGTGAGTTGAGTATTTGCTACATTTTATTCTTTTCACTTGTATTGCAGTGCGAATGAATCAATCACCTTTTGCGAAACACTTTGCCACGCGACAAGCATGCACGACGTATGTACGTAGCCCGATATTTCAGTTGCACGCTGTCGTACACTTATGCGAATTCATGAACTTCTTATAATCGGTGCGCCCAGCCAACGGCAATCATTCACCGCTTTCCATTAGTGTAGCTATAGATGTATGCTCGGAAACCGCGAATACCATATCTTAGCTCAAGCGACATACGCTTGGGAAGTCTAAATGCCAAGCTCAAATTCAAGCCATCCCATAACTCCAAGTGTAGCGACCGGTACCAGGCAGCTCCGACGGACTACGTAGTTCGTAAAGCACCAGTCACACCATACAATTAACCCCAGTGTCGGCCTACATGCTACGGTGGCCACAGGTGTCCCTAGCCGTACGTCATTCGGGGCGGGCCGTTTTGTGAGTCACGCGCCACCACCGGTCGATAGCGCCCGCTGGCAGCCTGGCGCCCCTATATGACGGAGTATCGCCGCGTGCTATCGCGACTGAGCCAGGGTAGACCCCCACTTGATGGGTGATTACTGCAGTGGCGCCGGCTGATGAGTGGGTGATATGTCGCGGAAGGGCTTGGCGTAGCTGACATCCGGGTAATGCTGCATATGAGTTGGTACTTAGCTATGACCTTATTATTAGAAGTGATTAGAAGTTGATTGGTTGTTAATTTATTAGTTTCTTTTTATTTTGGAACGAATGCCGGATTTAGGATAATGGGAAACACTGATAGCCTGTTTGCTCCAAAGAATAGAGCATTGATTGCAAGACCTATGCGTGTCACTTAGCATACCGTCACACAATGATTTTTCTATGACTGAAAAGACTCAAATGAAAATGATTATGGTGCCCACTACCTACGCACAAACCCCGCTATTTCGTCGGACCTCTCAGACCAGCGGTGTGACCCTGCGGCATCGGTCGATAACTGTGCCGGATGGATCACCGAAGCTCGCGCTTATGTTCCCAGCTCCCCTTTCACATCGGTATATATGCGATGCTCTTGACCCGACTCTCTCGCTGTCCCTCCCGGCCTCTGTCGGGCTGTGCACCAGTCGCTGTGACCCCGCTGCCAGCCGCCCTAGTCCTTCCGTTGTGTTCTTCGTACCCTGCCGCTGACTGCCGTCTGTCACTAACGTACCAGCGTAACACAATTACTGATGGGCTGCCCATCCACCCACCACCCTACCCACCCCCGCTCCCCGCCACTGACCCCCCCCCCCCTCCCCTCGTCCAGGACATTGGACTGCGGGAGCTGGAGACGGGATTTTCGCTGACTGAGAGCATCCACCGCTCTCTGTGCAGTCTGGTGCTGCTGGGGTACCACCTGGTCGCCACCTACTTCATGAGCAACTCGGAGGGAGACCTAGTGGCCTCCGAGCGCATTCTCTCCGAACAGCTAGTCGTGAGTCGTGCGGTTTGGGTCGGCTGGGCTGGGAGAGGATCTGATGTTGTTTGGATGGACGAGGAGTTTGTTGAGATATTCTGGATAATAAATTGTCTGTGCGTACTAGGTTTCAAAACGTTGGCTGAATTAATTACATTATATAATAGATATTAGATGGCGGTTTAGGCCAAACGAGGCCCTAGTCTTTCAGATGCAGTGGTATAGAATCTGTAATCAGCAGGGTTCGCGCATGTCAACAGTTTTGGAGGGATCAGTTCAGTGGACCGTTTCATCAGCCACAAAAGTGACAACTTCAGGCATATCCAATTCCAGCACAGACTCAGGACCGACAATACTATAATCGGTCAACTATCGTCCGTATCCCTAACCGCCATTAACCTTCCAGGCGGTGGGGGGGGGGCATTTTTTGCCCCCCCCCTTTAGTTTTTTTCGCTATATCTCGAGAATCGCTGCGCCGATCGTCACCAAACTTTCAGTACCCTCCCGGGAGCCGCTAGCGCACATGGTGACCAAAATTTTTCCAAAGGCTATGATAGGTTGGCCGCTAATGACGTCAGAGTGACGTCATTTTTGCCATTTTCGACCCAAAAAAAAAAGGTTTCGCGGGAAGAGCTGTCAGGTCTACAACTGTAGAGATACAGAAAAATGTTTCCGACATAAAAGGTGTGGAATTAAAAGGACTACAAAACTGCTATTTCGGTTTTTCGAATTTTTTGGATTTTGACCCCCAAAAATAAAAAAAATAGATTTTTTGAAAACAATAGCCAAAAAATCCCAAAAGGTTTTTGAATTTCAAAAAAACCGGAATATATGTGATAGCCCCTACCACCTTCTATCTACATACCAAATTTGAGATCGATACCTCTTTTTTGGCCAAGTTATAGCGAAAAAACTTCAAAATTGATGACGTCAAATTTTCAAACTCAATTTTTAGCAATTCTAGACCTCGTAGCGCAAAACAAAGACCACCACTAGACTCCCCGTGACGAGCTGCATCGAATCGATACCCATTTTATGCAAAAATATCAACTTTGAAATTTGACCTTTTTTTGACCTGACCTTGACCTGACCTCCACCAGAAAGTGACCTAAACCGTACCTGATGATCTTATAACCACCACCATTGAGTTGGAAATGAAAAACTGGCCGTAAAACATGCATAGCACAACCTTAGTAAAGTTGGGTTTATGTGGGGATCCTTGGTGACCTTTGGTGACCTGACCTGTGACCTGACCTGGTATGACCAGTGACCTCTAATAGCAACATATGTACTAGACAACTGACGCCTTATCGCTGATTTTCGACAAAATGCGTTTTACTCGGTGTTATACCGTAAGGTGGGGCTATTTGAGACAGTGGGGCTATTTGAGACAGTATTTAAAATCGCTACAAAATAAAAACCACTTAAAATTTATGCTTAATTTTTTGCTCAGGCGATTTAATGCTCGATTCCACACCTCCCTGAGCAAAAATATCACACAAAAATCAAACGATCTTCATTTTATAGCGATTTTAAATACTGTCTCAAATAGCCCCACTGTCTCAAATAGCCCCACTTTACGGTAGTGCTTTCCCTAGAAGCCCCGTGAACGTTGAAACATTTTATCTTTGACCTGACCTGTAACGTCATCGGTGACTCCGAGGTCAATTAAATTTTGTTTCCCTCGACAAATTTGACAGGCTATCGAACGCCGTTTGAATTTTCCGGACCCGTAGTTTCAGTAGTTTCAGTAGTAGTTTCACCCAGTAGTTTCAGAGATACGGGGGGGGGGGCAAAAAAGTGCCCCCCCCCCACCGCGCGGAAGGTGGCTGGTAGGCCCACCGCCTGCCGGGTTAACTGTCTTTTTTTAGATCAAGTAAACAAACCCAGCCTTCCACGTAATGCGCCGCAACATGCATGTTGTTGATACGATGTTTAGATGTACCCAACGCAAGCACAACTGTGGGAAAGTACAATCTATGCTGTAGCGAAGATGCTATTTCCTTGTATGTGATTACTGGTCGTTGAAGGCTGCGTGATTTGTTGTGCTTATAAACTCGATTCAAAGTGGAGTTGGCCGCCTAAGGGGATTTCTGTGTTCTCGTTGTATGTCATGCTCCATATTCTTTATTATGGATAACTACAGATGTCAGGGTGCGTTCCGCCAGTCTGGTCGACGCTTAGAGCTGATAAACTCTTAATCTGCAGATCACGATAGATGATTTCCGCTAATATGCTAATCCCGTTCTACATAATCCCTACCACCTGTCATTTCATCTTCATCCACTTCAGTTTAAAACAAAATACCCAAATTACAGACAAGAAAACGTTTTTTGTTCGCCTGCCGCTCTAACCCCGCCTCCCCTACTCTTATCTTACAGACATACCCGAACGGTGCGTTTTTCCTGTTTTTCGCCGGCCGCCTGGAACTGGTGCGCGGTCACTTCGAGCGCAGTGCGCAGCTGTACCGGGAGAGCTGGCAGAGTCAGCGCTGCTGGACACAGTTCCATCACGTCTGCTTCTGGGAGCTCTTCTGGAACAATGTGTGAGTCTTGGGGTAACAATGTGTGAGTGCTGGGGGATGCGGCCCTTCTGAGACCTCTTCTGGAACAATTGTGAGTGCAGGGGGTATGAGAGCTCTTCTGAAACAATATGCATGTGAGAGGTTCACAAATTGCACATACTGGGTAGAAGAGGAATCACGGGTTGTCAGATAATTTTTTTTTTAGCAGTTTACCACTGCTAAGCTGTAGTCGAAACTACATAAGCCCAAGATGGACCTTGTGTGAAGGCATGCCTTCCCTCCGCCCGCTGACGTCTCGCTCTTCGCAGGTTCCTGTCACAGTGGGAAGAGGCCGCCGAGTTCGCCGGTCTGCTGCTGCGCGAGTCGCGCTGGTCGCGCACCATCTACAGCTACCTGCGCGCCGCTTCGCTGCTGATGCTGGCCGAACAGTCCCCGGGAGAAGACTCCCAGCGCCAGGAGATCAACACCCTCATGAACACGCTGCCTGACTTCAAGCAGCGCATCGCCGGGAAGTCGGTGCCGGCAGAGAAGTTTGTTATCAGGAAGTCCCGCCGTTACCTGGCGCAGGGCGGCCGCCTGCTGATGCCCGGCTATGAGCTGCTCTACCTGTGGAACGGGTTTAAAATTCTGCGCAAACGGCGCCACCTGGTAGAGGATGTGTTCTCTGAGGTCGAACACGAGCTGGCGGCGCTCGATAACAAGGCCGGTGAGTGCAGAGGCGCTGCGGTCGCGGCGAACTGAGATAGATGTTCGGAAGCGGAAAGTGTAATATAGGTGACATGAGGTGTGGGACGTGGGTGGGTTTGGGGTGGTTGGTAGACTGATCGGGGCTCTGATTTTATTCAAATTAATCATGACGCTGGCGACCATGTGGCAGATCAAAATAGGCTCAATTAAACTGGGTCGTTAATTTATCTAAATTGTGACATCTGTCTGATGTAGATCAACAAACATGGATGAGAGGAGCGCTGCTTCGCCCTGGTTCTCGGCAATTTTCGCGTTCCCTCTCCACAGTAGCTCAGCTGCCAAGTCTGACCATTCCCCTTTTCTAACCCTGCCTCCTCAGCAGCGTCGGAGTTCGCCGCGGACGAGCGCGCGCTGCTGCTACTGCTGCGCGGAGTCTGCCTGGTGCACCTCAGCAGTCCGCTGCAGGCAGAGGAGGCACTGCTGGCCGTCACGCGGCTGCAGTCGCAGCTGCGTGACGACCACTACCTGGTACCGTTCGCCTGGCTCGAGCTCGGATTGCTGGCGCTTCAGGCCGGCCGCACGGAGGACGCCGTCAAGATACTGGAACACGCCAAGTGAGTGGGGGGGATGGTGGCGGGGTGGCTGAGGTCGTGTGGATGACAGGACTGTGGCTAGGGTGCTGGATGGTGGATAGGGAGTCGGGATGGTCTAGGGTTGAAGACTGAAGGCGGTTGACTGGGTGGCAGAAAGTAATTTTTCCATGGTGAAGATGTGGGGAATTTTTAGCTTCATCGTCACCACATAGATTCGATCGTATACCGCCTTTCCCTTCGCTCTCTGCGTCCCTCTCACTCCATCGCTCCATCGCTCCTCTAACCCGCCGCTCCCTCTATTTTCCGTCAGGTCCGGCTACAAGGGCTACAACATGATCAACCGGCTGCACTTCCGCGTGCACGCCGCCATGGGTGCCATAGCCGCGAGCAAGAGCGGTTCGGCCACGCCCGACCCGCTGACGGCTCCCGACGAGAACGGCTGTGATGACGCCGCCGCCGGCACCGATGACGACCTCTGATGACGGCGCGGCCCACTCGGTGACGTAGACGGATTGTAGTAGTACTTATTTGTAGTACTTATTGCAGGGGTCAGGAGGCCGGGTACGATGCTGCGGCACGGAAGGGGACGCGGAGCTAGTTAAGTAGTTGGCGGTGCCATGACGGTACAGAAGGCGTCTAGACAGAGGTTATAGAGGAGACTGTTGTTTCCTGTTGTTGCGCTTCTAGAGAATGCTAGAAGTATGCCAGTGGGGACTGGGTCCCGTCAAAACTTCTATTTAAGTGTGATGTGTGATCTGTTTGGTGTGATGAAAGTGGGGTTTTGATGTGATGTGTTCAGAACACACGGCCTTTGGCGGAGGTATGCTTCATTTCTGCTGGGCTCTAAAAGTCCACATCATTAATAGTTTTTCATAATTTTCGAAACATTACGAATCTCTTACGTTAGCTTGGCTACTTTGTATCTCGTATTCTTTTCCAATGCAATTGCTGAGCGGGTCGACTTAAAAAGTCCATTCCGCGGGTTTCGGCTTTTCGAGGCGAGAGTTATGACTTATGAGTACCTGTTGCTGTGTTACATGGCCGGCCGGCCGTAGAGGTCTGGCGAGACTTTGAGTAGGGAGGCAACATAACCGATGGTAGCCAAACCGAGTAAGACTTCGAACAAATAGCGAAGGCTTAATCTACTCTAGAACAAAACAATCTAATTATTTTTAATCAGAGACACTCTAGCGAGGTGTCTCTGACACTCTACCGATACATGTTTGTACCGGTATCAGCCAAAGTGGCCGGCATTCGGCAAATAAGATTTAAGGAAATTTTTGTTCCATTCATAGGCACTGTTGACCAGGGTTTCCTGGTCTTCCGTCGGACTGAAAGAAGTAGACTTTGAGGTCATAATGGACATATAACGACCTAATTAGTACGGCCTAATTACCGTTTGATCGCGGACTGAGTGTGCTGGTGGGGAGCGGAGTGCCTGTGATGAGAGTTACAGCAGTGATAGCTGGGTAACAGGGAGTCCATCCATACCGAGGGACGGGTATTGGCTGCCATTGTTACGCCCTTGTTAGTCATTGGCGCGTAGGGGCTGGAGAGCGTTTACTAACTAGATGGAAACGTGTGTCATATTTAAGCAACGAGCGATGCAAACGGCGTTTGAAGGAGTTGAAATGCAGTGTAAACGGCTGAGGCGTTATTCATAGCCTCCCATGTAAGGGTTCATAATATTTTATTCGAACGATTATCTCGGGCGTTGCGGATGCATGTTCCTAAAATTGCCTTCTTCCCTGAAACTATAGCAAAGTGTATTAATTAATCGCAACTGCTCGTGTTCCTTTGCTAGCATTATGTGAAGATGCTGCTTTGCATAATCCTCCGCAGCGTACCCCGTGCCAGCTCACGTAACATCGACTGTTCTTGTTAACAAGAGACCCGATTTCTGTGCCGAATGTCGCCTGCTATTCTGATAATATGTGGTTCGTTTAGTCGCGGTCGTATACGTCTATGCAATGCTGTCGCCGCCGCTGTAATTGTATCTGTTGTACTTCCAGCCGCACTAGTTTTCTGTCCTCTGTCGGTCGCGATGCCCGAACGAATGATATTACTGGTAGGTAATATGTGTTATGTCTGCCTGCTCCCCGCCTATCCCACCGGACCTACCGATCCTATTTCGGTGGGTGAATCCGTCAGAGGGCACTGCTAGCTCTCCAGGCCTCAGGGGTTTCCCTTGGCAAACTCCCCCTCCCGGTCCCGCGGCGGGATTCTCCCAGTTCCCTGTTAGTGATGCGCATGACAGCGATGTTTGGGGTAAAGTGGACAGACCGGGTGCGTAGGAGTGTGTTAGGGCGCCGGTAGTGAGGCTCGCTGTCCACCGCCGGCCTGTCATGGCCCCAGACTGTGTGCTCTGCGTCACAAGGTGCAATACAACTACCGTGATCGGTTATGACTTTAAGCTGGTGTGTGCCCGTGTTGGACTTCAACGTGAAAAAGGGGAGACTAACGTTTAGAAAATGAATAAACACATGGGGGCCCGCAAAGATTTGAATAGCAGTTTTCTAATTACTTAACAGCCCTATTTAGGAATGTGTCTTATTTCTTTTTGGACGGTAGATAAGGAATTAGCGCCTTATACTCGCTTACTGCGTTTGCGTATTAGCGATATGCGTTGGGTTACGCGTTACGCATGTCACTAGCACGCATGACGCAACCCAAACAACAGTCAGACATTAATTGCAGTATTCCACCTAAAGCAAGTTTGTTCAGCAGGGTGTTCGCTGTCTCCCAACCGTCGCCCACCCCTGCCGACCGCCACAACACAACACAGAGGCCCCCATCTCGTGTCCCGAAGTGGCGCGGTGTCTGTGTTGGGCGCCCGACATGGTTCGTGTCGTGGTCCGATGACCGCATCTCGATTCAGTAACACGGGCCCTGACACGGACTCCGGCTCGGCACTTGGGTGTGATGGCCGACCACGGCGACTTAAATGCCACATTATGCAGTGATGTGCCGCTGTCTGGTGCCGCCCATCTATCCAACTTGGTCCGGGTTGGTTCATGTCATAACGGGTTGTCTGCAACGACTGTATTTAATTGGACGCGAGCCACCTTCCCTTGGCCACACTCGCGGGATGACAACATTACCGTAAAGTGGGGCTATTTGAGACAGTATTTAAAATCGCTATAAAATGAAGATCGTTGGAATTTTGTGAGACATTTTTGCTCAGGGAGGTGTGGAATCGAGCAGTAAATCGCCTGAGCAAAAATTAAGCATAAATTTCAAACGGTTTTTACTTTATAACAATTTTAAATACTGTCTCAAATAGCCCCACTGTCTCAAATAGCCCCACCTTACGGTATATCATATGCACAAAGTGTAACACATCACATAAATCACGAGACCTTCGAGCATATGTAGACGTTGTTAAGTTGGGTTTTCGGTCCTTTACAGGCGTGCGTTTCGATGTTATGCGCCGCGATTAGGTTAAGTGGTTAGTACAGTTAGCTTTTATTTCGCTGAGCGGCAGGCATTCAGTCGACTGCTTGCAATGCTATGGACTCAGCAACGCCCCGGTTTTCTCGTCAAATATTCATGACATCGCTCCTGAGTTTTGACACCCTCATGCATCGCAAGTCGCAGACAGCACCCGCCCTTTGGATGCGCCGCGTCAAATGGCCTTATTTCATTCATGTTCGTTCATCTATCTCAGCCGTCACTGGATGTCGTTGCGTTTGTGCCGCTGGCCAAACGCTTTTCCACCCTCACGCTTAGTATTGATATTCTCAAGCTTCTTCGTTGTCCTGTCGTTCTCGTCATCTTCTATCCTCACTTTTTCGCTGCTAGGCGGCGCTCGCCGGTAACTCGGGCCTTCTTGGCCGCGGCCGCGTCCTTGGATGAACTGGCGGTGCGCTTACGGGCCAGCGGCCTGTCGCGAGCGTTAGTACCCAGGAAACTGGTGGTCGGGCTGAACACACGAGTCTCGATGTCCTGAAACAGGGCGAGGGCGTTAGAAGAACTGCTGCGGCGAAAACTCGCCAAGACTGTGCGAGAATAAAGTGGTTTTGTCATAGGATGTGCATGCTATTTCGCAACAAATTCATCGATTGTAAAGCTTCTTATAAAGACGAACCACCTTTGGTGACTTATTGGTCAAGAACGGTTACTCTAGTTATACCTCACCCAGACCATTTAACCTTCAGCCAGAGGGTTGAATTATTCTCCCGTGGCGCCGCTTTCCTACAGCGGTCTCCTCAGCCGCTGACCTGACAACCGTCGTGCTCACGGTCTCTCCCTCCTCACCTGCACCGAGTGGTAGTGATCCACGTGCAGTCGGACCGCCTGCCAGATGCGCTCCTCCTGCAGCAGCTCCGTGGCGGCGTCCATATCCGCCGCCATGTAGCGGTCCTGGTCCCAGGCGGCGACGCGCGAGCGCACCACCTTGTACACCTCCTCCAGGGGAACCGTGGTCTTCAGCGGACGCAGGAACTCAATGGCCTGACAGGCTGATAGCAGCTCGATGGCGATCACTCGCTCCACATTCTCAACCACCTGTCGAAGGGGGAAGGTGTTGAGGCTGAGTTTGACCTTGTGGGGTTAGGAAATGTTAGTCTGATCTGTGCATATGTTACCGGGAGATTGCAGAGCTAATGTCTATGATTGAATGATTAGTTTGAGCACCTGTCAGCGGTGTTACGTGCCGTTCTGGGATGTGATTCAAAAGTAAGCATGATGCGCTCGATCGTATGACACCTAGAGGATTCGGCTAATAAAAACGTCAAAGGGCAAGTCATCGAGAGCACGATCAGGAAATATGGTGAAAAAAAGTCTCGACAACTCTGTACAGAACGCGTGACCATCTCGTCCTCAAACTCTGGACGGGAATTAGCTCTTGTCTGCGCTGCCGGACAGTACCCACCATGAGTGCCTTGCGCGCGGCCCACGCGCCCATGGAGACGTGATCCTCTGTACCGGCGCTGGTCGAGATGCTGTCCACCGACGCCGGGTGGCAGAGCACCTTATTCTCGGAGACCAGCGCGGCGGCCGTCACGTGCGCCATCATGAATCCCGAGTTGAAGCCGCCATCCTTGACCAGGAAGGCCGGCAGCTCCGAGTAGGCCGGGTTACAGAGACGCTCCACGCGTCTCTCAGACATGGCCGCCAGCTCGGAGACTCCGATGGCCAGAAAGTCGAGCGCCTTGGCCGGGTACTCGCCGTGGAAGTTTCCGGCGGAGATAATCTCGCCTCGCTCGGGCAGCACCAGCGGGTTGTCGGTGGCAGAGTTCAGCTCGGTGGTCAGCCAGGAGCGACACAGAGCGATCGTGTCGTGCGAGGCGCCGTGTACTTGCGGGCAGCAGCGCAGTGTGTACGCGTCCTGGACACGGTTACAGTACCCGTGCGACTCTGCCGGGGTAGAGAAGGCGATGCAATGTTTGGCTGCTGATGAACATGACATGGGTTCACAATTCGCAACAGAAAACAGACGGTGGCAGTCTCAGAAGTAGGTTATTTTACCAAAGATATGTAACATTTTAACGGTGTTATTTTTAACCAAAAATAGCGGAAGCTGAACATATCAATATGCGCCTTATGAACTGAAGACAGCCATTTTCCAACTAAGCTTATTCCAAACCCCTTCAGTAGCTCATTTTTCAAACTTAACTTATTCGAAACCCCGTAAGTTGCTCGTTCGCCGACATTTCATTTAGGTTGACTTTCCGCCAGCAGCTCTCCCTCAGTCCGCCGCTTACCCGCGATCTCTGACGGATATGTATCCGAGTGGAGCAGCGCTCGGAGTCGACGAGCCACCTCAATCTGGCCTTTGTGCGGCCTCAGCTGGTGGACATCGCTGTCGAAGGCGCGGGACGTTCCTTTGAGTACCTCCAGACTCATGGCGGCGACCACGTCTGCCTGGCGGGCGATGGAGCCGGCCCGCTCCACGGCCGCCGCGCCGATACTGGCGATCAGCTGGGTGCCGTTTATCATGCACAGACCGTCCTGTGGGGGACAGGGCACGGATCAGAGGTCGGGTCGATCACTCTCGCGCTGGGTAGGCAGTTCAGGTCACTGGTGCTAAATGACCGTTCAGGGCTCTGTCCTCGAGAGTGGTCAGAATAAGTGACTTTGCGCAACGATCTGGCCTGGTTTGAAGTCCGCAGAACTGCCTACACATCATCATCCATACGTGAGCGAGGATGCGTCTTTATTGCTGCTATTTTTTTCGTTAAATGCATCCAATGTTCAGTGACAACTCACCTCTAATCTCTACCTTAGAGCGCCAATAAATACCCTACCTTGTAGGAGAGTTGAATTGGCTCGAGGCCGTGCGCTTCCAGGACGTATTTGGCCTCTCCCCAGCCGGTCTTGGCGCTCCACATGCGCCCCTCGCCCATCAGGCCGAGCGCCAGGTGGGCCAGCGGTGCCAGGTCTCCGGAGGCTCCCACCGAGCCCTTCTCGGGCACCCACGACAGACACGACGCTGGGGAGAGACGGGGCTGATACTGTGAGGGAGAGAGGGTGACCGCGTCGGACACCATGTGTGTCGAGTCCTGTTCTCAGCTATGCAGTTAGCAAGCTGGTTAATGAATCATGATTGTGTATGTGTATGCACGAGTAAATTCATGGTCAGATGATGTGTTCAAACTGCTACAATAGGGCCACCATCACAATAGGGCCACACCATGAGTTCAACATTGGGAATATTGATTATCTTTGAGTGCGGAAAAGCTCATTGTGAAATACTTGCTCACTGTAAAAAAAAAATCGAGTCAACTTTGCTGGAGAGGCACTTCGCGACCTGTCATTTAGGTGACTTCAGCTCCGACTGACGCTGTTGGCCCGCACGAAATATCTTACCGTTGAATGCGTCGATCATCTGGAACACAATCTTGGGCGCGATACCGCTGTAGCCTTTGGCCAGCACGTTGATGCGCAGCGCGAGCAGCATGCGCGTCTTCTCGGGGGAGAGGGGCTCACCGACTCCGGCCGCGTGAGAGCGGATCAGGTTCACCTGCAGGTCCCTGCGGTGGGCGGAGGGGGGGGGGGGTGCTGTCAGTTGTCACCGTATGTCATGAGGTGTGATGGTATGCTGCCAATTCAGTCAAATTGTATGTTGTTTATTTGCTGTTACCGTTGCCTTCGTAAATCGTCAAATGTAGATGTAAAACAAAGTGATTCGAGATGAGTCTCAGGTTTTTACGTCTTAGCACCGGCGCAAAAAATGACCGGGCAAGTAATGTTCGTACAGACATACTGTTATGGAAGTAAACATACAGAACTAATCCATGCCTTCAGTAACCCAGTAGGCACTTGGTGCTAATTAGAGAACACAAAAACGTGGAGAACTCACTGTATTTTGTCCTGCGAGATGGGGATGTTGGCGAACTTCCCCAATCCGGTCGTGATTCCATACACCGCTGACAGAAAAAACGGATTCATTTTAGTCATTTATTCAATGGACTCATATAATAGAGTGCCGTATTTGGAGTCACCGTTAGGTATAAGCATTTACAATTCCATTTACCAATGAATTTGCGGATTGGCAGCAATGTAGCCCTGGTAGACGGGCAGTTGAAACACTGAATTGGTCCAATCATATAAGAGACGATTTGACTATGCCCAACGGCAATGTGTTTTCTTACTTTTCTTTTCCTTGACGATTTTGTCGACGAGCTCTCTCGACTTGAGTAGGAGATCTTCCGATTCTTTCGTCAGCTTTGAGCGAAGAGAGGGCGGAGGGCAATGTCAGCGTGAACGTAGCGAATTTTTTTTTTCACTCGATCTCATTAACAACCTATTATTCTTATTCGATATTTATATCGAATAAGAATTGACCTTTTCAGTCATTGACCTTTCAGAATTGAATTGAATGATAATCTGGCGGTTGTGATTTGCTATAAAGACATAAAAGGGTTAAAAAACGAATCGAGAATGGGATCTGACACCAAACTGCAGGAATTAGTCGCACGCTTGACGGTAGAAGAGTACCTATCTCTAGGAGTCTTGAACGAGTCCATAGTATGCAATAAAATGCAAGCGCCGCTGCTTCCAATAATTGTTAGCGGTTACAACACAAACAAAACAGATGCGTGATAAGTGAGTTATCTAACACCTAGGCATGTGAATAAAATAATTCAAATGTGGCGTGAGTTAAGCTCATTTCTGCTGTACCTTAATTTTGTATTTTCCCTTCCCGAGCTGCACGAGGTCGTCCGTCGACAGACTGTTGCCGTCCAGGTACATAATCTGAAAACAGGCTCAGTCAGACGGCTTCGCGCCAACATAGTTTGAGAGGAATTTTCGTCTGCCTTCACCACCAGCGACTCACCTGATAAGAAGCAAGCGCGCTTGCCAGAACACAGTATCGATCAAAAATCAGCTGATCGACATTTTCCGTGTAGCGATCATTCATCTCTCGACTCTCATCTATGACGCGATCGATTGACTGGGGGGGAGTTATGTAGAATCTCATTTTTATATGCGTAACTATTGGTCCTATGTTCGAAATTCAAAAGGTGCTTGAAAGTCAAGGAAAATTGTTGAATTGACCTCGACTGACCTCGAGTCCCTAATGATAGCACGGATCATGTTATTTTCAGAAGATCATAGTGAAGTTCAGGGCGTGGTCAGGTCAGATCAGAAAAGGCCGGATGATAATCCTTCGATGGGAACACTAGCCTGTTGCTGTTTACGGCCCAAGTAGTGTTTATTTCTTGTTTCTACATGAGAAGTGGTTAACTACTGGCCTTTAAAAAAGATACGAGCATTTCCAACCCAAAGCACAAGCTAATTCCATGCACACTTTATTTTTATTTCAATAACCATGAGTAAGTTGGCTTTTACCGTACACTAAACAATGTGAACCGAACTATGTGTAATCAGTATTCATTTTAAATACAGAAAGTAAGGCCTTTTATGTACTGTTTTAACAGAAACACATATCACCACTGTCATATCTCGCCCAGCTGTTTAACACTGTGTTCCACTCGCGGTCGGTCCGCGGTCGTCCGTTCAGCTGAGCCAGTCGGCGCCGGACGAGGCCGGCGGTTTCGGCGAGCTGGTGCCTCCCGTGAAGTTGCTCATCCAGTCCGCGCCACCGGAGGCGGGCGGTTTGGGCGAGCTGGCACCGCCAAAGTCGCTCATCCAGTCGGCCGCGGCCGGCTTGGGCGAGGAGGCGCCAGACGGGGCCGGGCTACTGGCGAACAGGTCCGACATGAAGTCCTTGCCGGCAGCCGGAGAGGCCGGAGGTGCCGGCGCGGCCGGAGTCACGGGAGGTGTGTCGGAGTCGCTGCTGTCGTCGCTGCTGCTCTCTGAGCCCGCCTTGGCGGCTGGTGCCGGCGCTGGCTTGGGTTCCTCTACCTTGACCTCAACCTTTGGTGGTTCATCCTCGTCAGCCTTGTCCGACTTGGCTGCCTTCTTTGTAGCGGGTTTCGCCTTCGGTTTCGGCTTTGGTTTTGGTGCCGGCTTGGACTTGAATTGTTTCGAGGGAGATGGCGCGCTTGCTGGCTTCGAAGGAGACCTGTAGGCTCCCCCCGGACCAGGCGTCGAAAACTGTTGAGCCATATGGCAGCAACAGCAGCATGGCCTCCTTCTTCTCCTAGACCTCTGCCTTGGCTTTAGCTTGGGCTTGGGTGCAGGCCTACTAAGAGGTTTTCTCTGGGGTGATTTACGGCGCGGGGGACATTTTTTCGCAGGTGGTTTGCCAGACTCTTGTTTGCAACTCCTGTGAATGTCTTGAAATATTTCACAAGGCATACTGTTTAAAAGCTGAGCTGTTTGTGGAGGAAGTTTTGGGACCCACATAATGGGGAGGTTCATTGGGTCTGGAACACGCACTGTAATTGTTTGCTGGGGCACTGGAGACGGTGCTTCACTCGGACAGAGTTTGGCCTGGGGGTTACGTAAACGCTTTTCCATTGAAGCCAAGCCAATCGTGGGTAATTTAGGACGTTCAGGGCAAGGAAATCGCTTTCTTTGGTTGCAATCTTCTTCAGAATAATCGTCTCCTGAGCCATCAATGCCACATTCACCACACGCGGAGTATATTGCAGACATCCATTGTTCTACAGTAAATGGTATCTTAAGCACTCTTGGAAGAAGTTCTCTGGCCAACACGTCAAGCTCCTTATCAATTTTGCCAGACTTCTGGTTGGATTTTGTCTTCGCAAAGCCTGCCTGGTTGTAAGGCATTTGCCCTTGCATGCTGTTAGAACTGGTTGTGGCTAGACTATCACAGGAGCTCACACTACCGGCTTTCCTTCTATACATTTTTTGATTGCCCTGTGATAAAAACGTTTTCGCAAATAATTTACATACCGGCGCAATAGACTGTGAACGATTTATAGGTGGGGTGCCTGTCGAGTACATCTCATAACTCTTTAATTTTTTCAAAATGCATAAACATTTACTCAGAGATTTGGCGTAATAAAATGAGAATCGCCGAAATCTTTTACATTTGCTTTATTTTCTTCAGACATCACTCGTGATTATGGAGAACATGATCCCTCCCTTTTTGCAAAACACATGTTTACTGCGAATTGCGATCTTTACTTTTGGTATACTTTTGGTTTCCTTTCTTTACTTTCGGTTCACTACGGTAGTAGTTGCTATTTTTGCAGAGGAACCTGTCACTGGTCATGAAAAGAAACATTAAAACTGTACTGCTATAGGCCATAAGACTTGCTATGAATGAATAATGACGTCAATTACCAGCGACTGAATTGGGTATTTTCAAACACGACATAGGCGCTGAGGAGGGGGGCATTTGTTGTCCGTCTCTGATTTGCAAACTGGAAGGAACCAAGTTTTAAACCGATGGTTAAAATGTTAACGATGTTAAAAAGATAGTTCAGGAAATTTTCCTAACAGATCAGGCTTGGCATCACTGGGCCATGACTGGGCGATGGGATCACGGATCGGATCAAATAGTAATGTGTTGTTTCGCAATCATAGCATATTGCTGCAGCATCGTTCATTTGTGCTATGCCATATTAGGCAATGACATAATTCTAATATGAAGAATTGCAATGAGTCACATTTGAATTATGACATCACAGGTACGAGGTCAGATTACAACATAAACAAAAGAAATTCATTATGGTCGCAAAAGTAGCATATTTTTTACGAACTATTTTGCATTCATATTTCATCGGCGACATCGCCTAACCATTGCAGTAAGGACAATGTTCAAGTCAAGTCAACAGGCCAAGCGAAGGCAAACCAGCCTACCATCGAAGTGGTAACTGACAATAGTGCTCACTAAAATCTGCTTACCTGCGTCGGTTCCTCGCCATTTTGTGACTCACTGAAATGCGCCGTTAAGGAAATTTTCGGCACAGAAAACAAGCATATAACTTCAACAACTTTCACGTGTCTGACACGACACCAATACACAACACCAATAATCAATAGTTAACAATGACACATTATGCACGACTCCGCACGCACTCGTTTGAAAGGATACATTTGCTCGGGCACATATCTGATTTCGGCGCTCTCTGTGATGGGGTTGGGACGGTCGCTCTCCAGCACTGCAACATAGTCCATGGTTACACACGAGGATGTGACGGAAAGCTGCGAATATCAGAATACAGCAACATGACACAATGTGGACGATAGATCCGGATACACAACGAAACGGAGCGAGCAAGAAAAAAAACTGAAGGTTACACCTAGATTATACATACATAGGTACCTCAGACCTGCGCATTAGTTACGTTTGTCCCCATTACAAGTGCGCTTTTGTCGATGCTCTATATGCATCAACTGGCATCAACTGCGTAGTGCATATATTTTACGACATGCCTCTTCGCAGTACTCTTTACACCGCATTGTGCTATGCGCATCTCTCAGTTTTAAACGAAGGTCAGTATTTATTATTCGAAAGTTCCCCGTCGTCATTTACCATGTAAAAATTCCCCGTTGTGATTTGCAAGTCCATTATTTCACGAAGCAATGACGTAGCAAACAAAGGTAAATCAAACATGTATGCCTGAACGGGGCCTCGTCTAGCAACGCAGATAATGTCCCTCTGCCAAGACCTGCGCTGCCCCCCCCCCCCCACATACCGATCGAGACGAAGTCGTTATCATCCAGCACGTCCGAGACGAGGTCCTGTCGGTCGAGGATGGCCCCGCCGCGTGTTTTGCGCACCTCGGCCACCACCTGCGGTCGACCGGTGTAGGTGGCCGGGCGGAGCCGCTCATAGCGCCGCAGCGCCTCCTCGGACAGCCACTGGACGCTGACATTACCTGACGGGCCGACGGAGGACCGGAGAGAGGTCAGTAGGGGGTGAAAATGCAAGAGGTAACTGGAGGGGCCACTGGACACTGACGTTACCTGACGACCCGGCATCGGATGGGGCAGGGGTCAGTAGGAGTACATGCTTATTGCTTATGCAGGGTGCTGTAGGGATGCAGTGGAGGGGCCACTGGACGCTGACCTTACCTGACGGCCCGGCGTTGGGCCAGGGCAGAGGTCAGTAGGGTACAGGGGTGAGGTCAAAATGGCAGAGGTAGCTGGAGGGAGCACTGGACGCTGACGTTACCTGACGGGCCGGTAACGGACCGGAGAGAGGTCAGTGGAAGTGAGGTCAGCTGTCGGGGTGGCGCAGGCAGTCGGAAGGACCACTGGACGCTCACTCACTAACGCTCACTGGTGCCAGATAGAGGCGACTCGGTTTAAAGCGAAACTTCAATAGACTTCATGGAGGGTCTAGCCGGTTAAAAACGGCACAATTTCGACAACTCCTATTTGGTAGGCGCACGTGCAGGTACGGGCACCTGGATGCTTCAAGAGTAATCAATTTATGGGTGTAAGGGATAAAGCCACCCAGCGGAGAAAATGCTGTTGTAAAACAGACGAACTTTTGCGAAGAAAGTATCCTCTCAAAATAGTTACAGACCTGGCTTCCTCGCACTTCGTACTCCCGCATTCATCAATCAGCACTGGTTAAATCCTGATTTTGCGCTTATTCGTAACATTTGAGATCACGGCTTAACCTTCGCCCCAGTGCAGTGGGGGGGGGGGGGGCATATGTTACCACCCTGTCGCGTTTTTCGCGTGTGAATAAAAAACCGTGGCGCGTAGCGCCGCGCCGCTTAGGGTAGCTTTTTGTACATCAATTTTGGACAATGTGTGAAATTTTTGGCCCCAGGTCATGTCAGGTCAGGTCACCAGGTCAAGTTAACTGACCAAGCCTAACAAAGTTTGCAATCATGTCCAGCCTGCAGTGTTTGTCAGAAAGGTTTCAAACTTGGTGGATTGCATGATGTTATGGGCGCCTACAATTTGTATATCTCGGATTTTTTATATCCGTGACCTAAGGTCAGGTCAGTGGCGTGACCTTACCATTATAAGTCAATGGAGAAAAATGAAAATGCCTCTAGATCCGTATGTACGCATAGGAACAGTCCAAATATTTCAGAATCACAATGATTTGGACCATCCGTGACGACCAGGGTGTCGTTATTGCTGATAGCCTCTAGAAAGGTCATCCGAGGTCATTTGAGGCTACAAACAGATTTTTGCCAATAACTCTCGATCGGAAAGAGATAGAACGCTGGGGATGGTCTCATTGTGTTTGTCTTGCCGAGACGCATCGACTGATATGCAACATGACCTTTTCCGGTCAGGTCATGACCTTGACCTGAGGTCAAATTTTCAAGTTGACCTTTGCAAGGTCAAATTATAGTTCATTCGATGCGTCTTGGCGAGAGGAACACGATCCTGGCAATAGAAATGTCGTGGCTTTTTTTAGTCAAAAATTATTGTCGAAAAACACTTTTCGTAAAAACAGCTATTTGGAGTTTTTGCCCTCTGGAGGCTAAACCGTTGACCTGAGGTCAATTTTGATGATGATCTTATCGAAAGAAGAGTTCAAGAGCTATCGATTGCTTTTCCATGCGTTTTCCTAGCTATCATAGTTCCTGAGATAAATGCATGTTTTCGGAAAAATATAATGACATTTGACAAATTTTGACTTTTGATGACCTCCAGTGACCCCAATATTGCTCTAAGATGAAAAATGACCGAAATACTTTCAAACTTACGCATTGAGAGCTATCGATTGCTTTTTACCGCGTCTTTCTAGCCCTCTTAGTTTTTGAGTTAGAGGTGGGTGGTAACACATGCCCCCCCCCCCACTAGGGCGAAGTTGGCTGAGACCGCCACTGGGGCGCGGGCTAAACCCGAGATACAACATTTAGCTCAGGGAACCATCTTTTTAACAGATCCAACGAATGTTGTTTGTTTGATTGGTTGATGACCGTTTAACGTGGAATAGTGACGCGTTATTAACCCTATTCCTGGCGGGCTCCGCCGGGACAAGAAACTGGCGGGGGGGGCCCGATTCGCCCCCCCCCCTGAGATCTCGAGAACGAAGCAAGATAGCGACAAACGGTAAACGGCATCGGATACGCACGGTCAAGATCTACAATTTTTACTAAGGTCATTTTCAGGTCAGGTCAAAGATGACGTCACAGGGGTCGAAAAAGTCAAAATGGCGGCGCTAGATATGGAGATAGTTTTTCTCGAATAACTTTCGAATTAGTCAATATAGGAACAAACTAAGGGCATCATCGTGATCCTCTCGTCAATCCGCATCGAATGATATATATGTTGACCTCGCAAGGTCAAGGTCAAAGGTTGACCTCAGGTCACGTGACCTCGAGGTCATCATGTATATCATTCGATGCGTCTTGACGAGCTGAACACAATGAGACCATCCACGCGTCTGTATCTTGTTCCTGTACGGAGTTATTGGCCAAAAACCTTTGGTGACCTTTGATGACGTCACATGACCTCACAGCTGCCCAACAGCAAAACAGACCTCAAGGTAGTGAAGGTTGATCGTATATGAAGTCATGTATGGTATATGGGGCCATTCCGACCCGTTTTAGTGGTAAAAACAGGGAGTTGATTTTTCCCCCATTGACTTATAATGGGGAGGTCGCGAAACTGACCTGACCTTAGGTCACCGATATCAAAATTCCGAGATATACAAATTGCACATACTGGTACCCTAACTAAAGCCTGAAGAGAAGAAATTGATCGGTCAAAAACTCTAGCTCTGGCGTGATTGCAAACTTTTCTGAGGTAGGGTCACCAAACCGCCTCTGGTGACCTGACCTGAGGTCAGATCAACTCAAAATTTTCAGACATGTTGCGTAGAAGCCTTTTAGGAAAAGTCAGAAAATTTGAGCTTCCTAGCTCAACGCGTTTGGGAGAAATATCCAAAAAACCTCAGGGGGGGGGGGCTCCTGAGGCCCCCCCCCCCCGCCAGGAATAGGGTTAAGTACCGCCTATAGGCACAATGTCAAGCCATTACGTCATTCAGTCGACTTCCTCATATCTGTCTAGTTTTTAACAACACACTTTCTCAAAGGTGAACGATTCCCTTTAACCGGTTCCTTTGACGCCGTCGGCATAGATGCCTGCAAGACAAGACTTGGCAAGTTGCTTGACCCATGCGTGATTTAGGAGTATTCCAAGCTCACAACTGTTAGACCACACGAGCTTGTGCCTTTTTGTAACTCAAAGTATACGTATTGTTGAGTGCTAAAAACGTTTCTGTCAAAGCTTTCCTTCCAATAGAATATTCGCATCTTTTGCAAGGATATTCATACTTCATCCATCATATCCATGTGTTTTATCCATCATATTTCATGCTGTATACTTTTATCACAGTGTGTCTTGTTCTTAGTATATACTTTTATTAATTAGTCATATTTATATTAGGTATATTTTTATAGCAGGTATATTTTCACCATATTCATTTTTATTAGGTATATGCTTGTATTGTGTAGGCATGTAGCATGCAAAGCTAGTAGACTCTTATCTATTCTTGCTTTCGATGAATTCGTATGTTTTTGACTTCGCCTTTCAATGGGCACTGCCTGTTGGCGATGTTGTGAAATAAACAAATAAACAGATACAACGTAGGCCCTCACCTATTAAAAAGTGAAGTCATGGGCCACGGTTGTTAAACATAGCACGCTATATAAATATCAACTTGACGATAACTCGTCAGGCAAACAAGGGCCGATTTTATGGCGAGCTTTTATACTCGTATCTGTGTTACGTTTAGGTACTTTATCATTCACATGTGGCGGATATTGCAATTTGCCCGTGTTCGAAAATTAAATAAATTACATTGAAAGGTGGAGTAAGGTCTAAGTAAACCCCTTCTCTCTTTTCTGTCAATACTCTTATGTAGCAGCTAAGAAGCGTAGAGCTTTGCATGCCAACTGAGAGACCGAGAGGGTTTATTGTGAGACGACGCACAGCTAACTGTTTGGTACTCACCCTTCTGACAGGGGACCATGAGCCACTCGCCGCGCACCCTGACCGAAATCTTCACATTCTTGCCCTGACTGCCACCGTTCTCCGTGGGCCGTTCCGCCATAATTGCGAACAAAGACCAACTAACTGAGCCAATTAAATCACCACAACGTCTTACTGAAGATCGGTCCACTCGCGTCTACCGTGGTGTTCCCGACACCACCTCTTGATCAGCTGGTGACGATCCGTGCCCCCGCCACTGTCTGATGACGCCGGCTGTCGGCCCAGGGTCGACACCGGGGCTTGGCAGGGGCACGACAGGACCGGCCCCCGGCACCCACCAATGGGAGCACGCCGAGCCACGACGCAGCCGGACCGGACCGGGTATCGGGCCGACCGATCGGCGACGGAGACGGGTCACGAGGCCCGATGGCCGCCCAGATACGGGGGTGAGTGGACACCAGAGGACGGGCTGCTGCCGCCGGACGACAGTGACATGGGATGACTGACACGGGCACTGGCATAGACCGGAGAGACTGTGGGTGGGGTGAAGCAAACGGGAACTGTTATTGGCAGCTCTGGTTAGAGACTGTTAAGAGCTGATGATTTTGAAGCATGCACCAAATAGGACGCCAAGAAGAAGTGATAGGCACTATGCCCCCATAATGGCGAAACAGCGGTGCACCAAGGCACAGAGCCCTCCCCACTCCCTTGAACTGCAAGGAAAATAGGTGCTTGTCAATATCAAAAGGCTGTCTTTCAAACTGATTCTTCACAATCCTTTTCAAACTCGATAATTTATGTGCCGTTTTCGAATATTAGTTGTACTAATAAACGGTATACTCGCAATGATGCAAATGTGCCTTTTCGTGAGCATGAGGTACCAAATAGTACGAGAACGCATTCAAACTCAGTAGCGGCGGAACACCTTCAAGTAAGGGGGCACTGCCGACTTTTTGTCCCATTCTTTCCATGCAACGCCCATAGGGCTAATGTTAAAATGCCAAAATCAAAGGGGGGTACGGTGCCCCGGTGCCCTCCCCGTTCCGCCGCCTATGTTCAAACTGCCTCCCTGTCCTAATCGCTCAACTGACTAATTATATAAGCTGCCATGCTTTCGATGCGTAGCTCGTTAGTCGTTAGTCACTTCTACGGAGCGTAGCTCGTTAGTCGTTTATAAGACAGGTTTAATCGGTAGATAGTAGTGGCGTCCCAGCAGCACTAACGACCAACAATAATAAATATGGAATATCAGGACTCCGCTATCGATTGGCTCATAGGTGAGCAGACACACCCGATTTCACTTTGAACAAACTGAGCCAATACCGCGACATATAGGATTATATATCAGGACTATTCAACAAGTACCAGGGTACCCCATCCGATATTTACATAAGATACCCACGTAATGACTTGATTCTGCGCAAGTGACTGCTCAAGACAAGAAAACTGCGTCTGTCCATCAATAGCTAGGCCCGGCTGGTGCTTGGTGCCGGGTGCCAGATGGCCGCTGCGCTCGGCGGCGGTGCTGGGTCGCCGCTCTCTGGAACGACCGCTGACTCGTCTTTTTGATCTCGTCTTTGCGTTACCGTCTGGTAAGGCACTGTCAAACTCCCCAATATAACCTTTAACACTAACTGTCCGTATTCTAACAAAACTAACACGTGAATCCTTATCCGACCAATCCCGTTTGACAGTGCCATAAATTATAAATTGTTCAATGTGTGATTCCAAATTATATTCAATAAACGGAACGGAATGGAACGGAACGGAACGGAACGGAACAAATGCACAGAACGGTATCCTGGAGATTGCAAGAGATGCACAGAACAGCATCCTAGAGACTACATTAGACGCATAGAACAGTATCCTGGAAATTGCGACAGTCACAGAACATTGCCATAGAAACTGCAATAGACGCACAGAACATATCCTAGAGACTGCAACAGACGCACAGAACAGTATCCTAGAGACTGCAACAGACGCACAAAACATATCTTGGAGACTGCAACAGCAGCACAAAACATATCCTGGAGACTGCAACAGGCGCACAAAACATATCCTAGAGACTGCAACAGACACAAAGAACATAGCCGGGAGGCTGCAACATACGCACAAAGCAGTTTACTGGAGACTGCATTAAACACAGAACAATATCCTGAAAACTGCTTCCCACATAAAAACAAATATCCTAAAAATAGCGTTAGAAAAAGAGAAGAATATCTTCGCGTTCGATGTCTCTCGGACGACGAAGATTCTACGCCGTTCGGCCAATCACGTTCCATAACCGCAGCCGAGCCCCATCTGACCATAGTATTCTATGACCGTGCCTCTGACCTTGAGCGGGATTGGCCGGACGACGTAGAATCTTCGTCGTCCGAGAGACATCGAACGCGGGGTAAGTTAGAGAACGCGTAAACGGTAAAACTAACAAAGCCAGGCGACAAATGTCAAAATTAAACCAATATAAGAGTCATGTAGAATTTTGAAATGCCGACCATTCTCCTCAACACTTCTTATAACTATAAAGAAGCCATCCCTGTTGAGTCCTTTTTGGAGGTCGTCTGCTGCCTTTCTAACATGCAAATGGACATACGATCAAAAATTACGATATCAAAATGCCGATTAGAATAGATGTTTTTCGGCTTGGTTACCGGTGCTCAAAGTCACCCACCAGCCTAGAAGGCATCATCTATACTCCCCATCACTTTTTGGTTCTGTAACTGGCTGAAACCGGAATGGCCCGGCACGTGCGCGGTGCGGGCCGGGCTCGCGGTGAGTCCCCAGTGTCGCTGGAAACACCGAGTGGGGTCGGATGCTGCGACGTTCGGGCTGTTCGCCGATGCTGATGCGAATAAATGCATGGTATGCACATGACGTGTGTCTGTGGGTGAATGTTGTATGCAAACCAAATGCGTCACGTCAACAACAAATCCTTTGACTACGTCTTAGGTACGTGGAATAATCACCGTTTCAAACTTCACGCTTCACGGTTCACCCCCCCCCCCTCCCATCTATCCCCGGTGCGATTGGCGTCGAGCATCGGCCCGGCGCGGGTTAATGAAGGTTGTCAAGAGCTTAACCCGCGCCGGGCCGGTGCTCTGAGATTCCGCGCCGGGCCGGGTGTCTGAACACCCCCTTCTAACTCGGCTCCTGGGCCACGTAGCGACACGCGGTAAGCGGCAATCGAAAGAACGTCCAAAATAAGGACGAAAACACCTGGTCATTTTTTCGGTCAGGTCAAAGGTCAGGGCACCAGAGGTCACCAAAGGTAAAATGTTGACTATTTCAACCTTTTGGAAACTGCCAACGGCTATCTCGGGAACCGATAGAGCTACAGCGCCGCAGAAAAGCGCATTCGATAGCCCTTTTACAGACCTTTCTGACTAATGTTCTCAGATTTCACCTCAGGTCAACGGTTTAGCTTCCAGAGTGCAAAAACTCCAAAAATAGCCGTTTTTTACGAAATCGTTTTTTTTTTCGGTAATAACTTTTGACTCAAAAGAGCCATGACATTATTTTTGCCAGCATCGTGTTCCTCTCGTCGAGACGCGTCGAATGAACTATAATTTGACCTTGAAAGGTCAAGGTGAAAATTTGACCTCATGTCAAGGCATGACATATCAGTCGATCCGCATTCCGCAACGTCGAGCCGAACACATCTAAGGCGTTTTCAGCGCTCTAGCACGCCTCTATCAGAAGTTATTAGCGAAAAACTGTTATATTCTGTTCGTGACCTGAGATGGCCTCGGGGACATAACGAGGGGTCACAGTTGTTATTTTCCGGTTCAGTGTGTCAATTTTACCTACATATCAATGTTTGAGAGTGTCTAGAATAGCGTTCGAGCAAAACAGACGCTTTTCAATTTTCTCCCATTGACTTATAATGGAGAGGCCGCAATATTGACCTGACCTTAGGTCACCGATATCAAAATTCCGAGATAAACATTTGATAGATATTGTTGCTCTAATCAATCGCTGAAAGTTTCAATGCAATCGATCAATCGGAAGTGATGTAGCTATGACGAGCATTCTCATTTTTTTCTGAGGTGTGGTCACTTGGCGTGACCTGGTGACCTGACCTAAGGCGACCTGGGTCTGAAATTTTCACAACATGTGCGGAAAAGATGCACAAACAGGTGTGCCAAAAACCGCAGGGGGGTGTTCAAACACCCCCCCCCCCCGGCCCGGCGCGGGTTAACCATAAAAGGCTACAGTGCAAGATTGGTGTGAGCTCTATACGAACTCAAAAACAATTTTGCATTTGACAAATATTTGTGTGTGACTCCTTTGAGGATTATTCGAGAACGGATGGCCGAAGCATAGCATAATTTTTCGGACGAATTATCCCCTATGGCATTAAACTGCACCTGCAGCGCTACGAGCTCCAGTTCGGCAGGAGGGTCTCCTCATTTCGCGCAGCTTCTGCCTGGATCAGGCAGTAGGCACGTAGCCACGAGCCCAGGGAGGGGCCACAAGTCGCGGCCTAGTGTCGTACGCGCTCCAAAACGGAAAACTTCTCGGAGCTGGCCCACTATTTTTGGCGGTGTGGGGTAGCTTTTCTTATTTATTTTTACTTTTTATTAAATTTTATTTTATTTTTCGCCTTCAGGGGGATAGCCCCCGTGCCCCCCCCCCTTGGCTACGTCACTGGCCTGGATCGCGCTCCCGAGATCAGTGTACGACTCGCCAAAGTAAAACATTGCACGCTTTGTGAGTCACTGTTTTCGTCTTTTTATCGCGTCTCTTTTCATTTTTTATCTGGTGCATTTTATTGATAAATTTATTGTGGCCTAATGTGAATCAAATGTGAGTCTTGTATGTTGCGCTTCGTCCCATGTGGGGCCGTTACAGCCACGATGCGGAAGGCTCTTATTATCGGAGCGAGCGAAGCGAGCGTAGTCTTTCCTTAGATTAACGGAAATTTCTGAGTATGAGCGGCCGGCCGGCCGGCCGGCCGTGCGGACGCTTTTGCGAGGCTTATATCTCAGCAACCACTTACATGCGGTAATTTTTGTAGGGTAGCTTCATTCCTTCTACCAAGTATTGGACTATTCCCGATGCATGTGGGTGACCCCTTATGCACGTGCCACGTGCAAAACGAGGAGGTGTCACTTTTGTAATTGTTGCAATATCTCTGTAACTACTTGGCCGATTGCGCTGAAAGTTGGCATGTAGGTAGGCACCCACTAGGCACTGCATATCCATGTGCCAGAGTTGGGGTGCTGCTGCACGTGCGCTGCTGCACGTGCGCACGTGCAGGGGTTGTTTCCAGATCTCGAGAACGGCTCGAC